ATGAACCTATCCACAAGCTGATCTACGCTGCACAGGACTCATGCTGTGTAAATGTCCATTTGGAGTTATAGATATGTAGTCACGAGCGAGGGCCTCTTGACTTCCACGTCCCCATCTGCTGTGTCGTATCCCCTTGTCTCCCCTGTCTTCCCTTGTCTGCTCATCGATACAGCCAACTAAATAGAACTAGGTCTTATAGTTTGACGGTCCACTCACGTCCAGCGCGGACCAACAAATCAGGCGTCTTCGGTCTTGGCAATTAGCGCTTACGACGCCAGCCTGCCCGAAATATGGGACCCAGCCGACCAACGAACTCATCTCATCGGTGTATTGGGCTTTGGCTGCATATTTCATGTGCAGAGCAGACAGGCCAGGCAACCAGGTTGGCTGACTCTTCGGCGAGTGGGTTACATTTGGGATGATGGATGAAACCTTGGCCCGGTGCCAACTAACCGTTGATTGGGCTGTCGAGCCCTCGTATCTGCGAATGGCGGTTTTTTCAAGTTGATCGTTTTTTGACAGGCAAGACAGGCAGCCCTTTTCTGATCAAAGCTTCCATTCTGCATAAGACTGTGTGGGTCGGGCTCGCGGTAGTTGTGCTGATTCAGTCGTGACATGGCCATGAGCCCTACCCCTTGGCGAAACACGACAACCCCTGGGGTCGCGACCGAATTCGTTCGGCAAATTAATGCGCATACACTTTTGGCTCTCGAAAACCGTCCAGAGCCATGCGACGTATCCCTTATTGGGATCCAGGTGGAGGCATTGTCCCAGCCCTTCATCTCATTTCCACGACAAGGCGGTTTAGCGCAGATATGCTGGTCGCCTGAAGTTGATGCAGCTCTCACCACCCTCGCCTTGTCGGTTTTATTCTTGGTCCCTGGCCTTAATTCAATGCCAGCTTCTAGAATAAAGAAACTATACTATGTATCCTGAAATGGCAGGAAAGGGGGTGGAGAATCATGATACCAACTGGGCGGTAAGATGCGGTAAGGCCGCGGGAGGAAACAGATCCTATGGAGCCACGACAATTATCTGACGATGGAAGTGCGTGCGTATCTTGCTTTAAGAGCATCTTAGTTTCCAGTAATATGGTAGTTATGCATGTTATATCTGTTGGCTTTCCACCTCTCTAACGTCTAATCCTCCTCCTCCCCACCTTAATGAACCCCTCGGGTCTAATAGTTGCTTAATCAAGATGAATATTTATTCCTTAATGACCTTTTTGCTGCGGTTCACGCAGATAAACCGAGTTAATCAACAGGCACTCAAATTCCAGAACCCCCTGCGCAACGGGACCGCAGATCCATCCATGGTGTGGGCGGATGGCCAATATCATCTGTATGCTGGATGCTAAAACATCATGTATTTGGTAGAGGCTAATTCTGGGCAGGACCTACACATCTGGTGGGCAACACATCGAAATCACCCGGGGTTCCAACCTGAAGGACCTGGCGCAGGGAGAACCAAAAGTCGTTTGGGAGGACAGCAATTCCACGAGGAGCGCGGACATCTGGGCGCCGGAGATCCACCAGATCGACGACGTTTGGCACATCTTCTATTCAAGCCGTGATGCCAATGTTATCGGGAGCTACAGGACGAGGGTTCTTCGTGGCTGCAACGGTACCAACCCGACTGACTGCGAGTACACGTTTGGCGCCGACCTGGTACCCCCCGTGGGCAAAAGAGGCGGCCCCGATGGGAAGAACGCATACAGCATTGACGGCACCTACATGGAGATCCCCGGCAAGGGCCGTTACCACGTGTTGAGTATGCGTGACGAGAACAACGTACAGTCACTTGGCATTACAGCATTGAACACTACAACCTGGAAGGTGGATCAGTGGCACGTTATATCCCGCCCTGACTATGATTGGGAGAAGTACATGGGAAAAGGGGCCGGCGCGCAGGCCCTCTCTGTTGGCGCTGGGTTGAACGAAGGACCTTACGTGAGTTATTGATGCAGGCAAGGGTGATTTACCAGTCAGGGAGGCTAACTGTATAAAGGCTTTATACAACGGGGATGATGTATGGCTCTCCTACTCCGCTTCGAGCTGCGACACGCCTCAATATGCACTCGGTTTACTTTATTATAATGGCGGCGACCCGCTCCAAGCATCTTCATGGAACAAAACCGGGCCAGTCTTTCAGTCAGCGAATGGAAACTACGGGACCGCACATAATTCCTTTTTCAAATCACCCGACGGGACGCAGACATGGGTGAGTTATGCTTCTTCGATGCTTGGGTTCTACACTGACGAATTCTCAGAACCTATTCCACGCCACATCAAACTCTAAGGGAGGTTGCGGGATAGATCGATACACCATGACACAACTGTTGACGTTCGACGATGACGGGACTCCAAACTTTGGACAACCACAACGCCTCCATCCCGACATTACTCCACCAAGCGGCGAGAGCTGGATTTAATCTATGTTGAGATGCTCAACTATCATGTGATGAACGACTGATTTATGCCTTGAATATACGGAAATATTTAATTGTTTAATGTAATGAGAGAGGATTTTAGACCGGGATAGACTCAACTTTTGGTCGCGGATTGGAAGAACGAAGGGCGAATGGGACAGGCCACGCAAAGATGAGGAAACCCACACGGGAAAATAGAGGGACGAAGACTATATATACCTGTTTGAGGAGATGGAGCGAAGGCCACGGCCTAATTTAAATATATCCTGGACAAGCAGATGTCTTGATAAGCTTAGAGTTGGGCGGACGAGAATGAGACGCCGAGGCGTCCTCGTAATTGATAATCTTTATTCGGAATCAAGAAAGTCATGATTTTAGACCATCAAATACTCGAGCGGATAATACGCGACTATACCGTTGGCCCTTGCTTGCTCTAGATCACATCCATGCCGGAATGGACAGTTCATCGCATCGACCCATGCATAGAATCAACCGCTTCTCCCTCGTGCCATCTCAGCCAGGCCCGAAAAGAACGACTTCAAGAATATCCTCAATAGATTCTAAGTGGGTGGTGAAATTCTTGGCCCAGACATGGCTTAATCTACGTCTCATTTAGGAATCCGGAGATGAATAAGTGAAATTCGATTTTCGTAATTTGCATCTCTATTACACGCATAAGTTGGATCAATGTATTGAGTTGAAGTAGATGATATTTGGTTCTAACTTTATTAGTGACTACATTGTCGTTTTGTGTATACTGTTGCTGGAATTGAGGGTTGAATCACCGTATATGATGAGCAAATCACAGGGGCTACAAAGAAAGAAGAAAAATTGGGAAGGTCGCTCTAGTCTCTAGGGGCGAAGTGTTGGAAATGGCCCCAAGGTAGAGTTTGGGAGAGGCTGGTGGCAGCTGCGTACGATCCAGAGCTTCTCGCTAGCTTTCACACGAGACAGTTATACTCAACATCTATAGTCGAAGAGCTGCGGACGTATTCTAGGTGTCTGATTACCTTTTCAAGCTTCTTGAAAGGAAGAGTTCAGGGCATTGATGGACTTACTCATCAGTCGTTTCCTTGCAAGGCAGCCAAGAGAACGCCATCCATCAACAAAGGGCACGTTGACCTATGGTATGGGGAGTCAATCGAGCTTCCTAAGGGCCCAAGGCGGTTTCCGCCAATGCTATGCCTAGATCTAGTGGGAATTCCGACAGATTATTGCTGGACGCTATTAAGAAGTCTGATGGTAGAGGCGCGCCCTTGGCCTGGCACTCATTCTGAACGTATTGTGCTGAGTTGGTCTTGCTGTCACGACCGTTGGCGGGGTATTCATGCTCAAGATCTGGCAGCGTAAAAGCTTCATCGCGTCTCAGGATTGACCCGAGTGCTTCCTCCATTGCCGCTCTGGAAGGCAGAGGATGCGTGCGAGAAGGTCCTTTTGGGTTCCCCTCAAGTGTTAGTGCGTTTCAGGAGGATCGCCAGTCTTACGTGCCCAGGGGTCGAATCCCATTTCGATTAGCACTCAAGCAGATGCCACATCACTCCAGGAATAGCTCAATGTACTGGGGGGAGACTAATTAGGCCCCCAAGTATGGCGTATAGGCGGATTGGAAGGACTAAACAGGCTTGAGTAACAACGATGTGCAGCTTGCAGAATCCTGACTGTAGCTGCCAATTTAGAGTTGAAGGACTTAAAACAATAAGAGACTTCGACAGACTGGTATTATAGCGTGACGCCCATAAAGCAACAACATATTGGCTAGGGGGGTTGGAGTCCTTGTCAGGACCCATTGGAAACTAGCCAACACGAATCGCCATCATTCGAGGTTCGGCTAGCTAGTTGATTCGGTGATTTTGGTTTGCCAACGGAAATTCTTGAGTTTATCAGATAATTGACCCCCTCTCTCTGCCAGAGCACGAGACTCTGGGATTGGGGACAATGTGATAGCTAGCCAGAATAAAATAAAGGAAGCGTGTTTGAGAGTCATTGATGTCTTCTCTGAAACACTGGAAGTAGATGCTCCTTCTTTTTTTTTTTTTTTTGCGATAGTCTGTGATCAAACTCGCTGCTATTAAATGTTGAACTAACTTGTTGGGATATCTCAGCCCAGCGCCATCATGTCGTGCCCCAAGGCGGGTGATAACGGCATGGCAAGTGAGAGGAATTGAGGAATTATCGCCAAATTGTCCAGTCGTAAGCTGTCGGAATCATCGAGGAGGCATTATTAGGTAGACTCTGATTCCATCCGCCATTGGAGCTCAATTGATGAATTTCACAAGTTGAGAAAGTCTTAGGTGGAGATAGAAAGTGACTGCCTCAATTACAGGTTGTCGTGTAAGTACGTCAAGCATGGCATGTCGGATACTCTCCTCCAAGTTACTGTGCTTGAGAAGGGGAGGCCATCTCAAATAGTCGCCGAGGCAGACTATGGCTGAGACTTGCGGGAAAAGCTCAAGACTCGGAGTCGCGATATTGCTGGGGGCTGAAGGGCGAAATTACGACATCGGGTTCATGCGCGCAAAGGGTGATGCCTTATATACAAGTTCCCCGGGCATTTCATTCAACAAAAACAGTAGCCCCTGTGGTGCAGTGGTCAGCGCGCTCCGTGCTGCCTTCTCATAATGTACTCACACTGAAGACTTACCGAGCATACAGGCCCCTCCACCAGGTTGACCTTGTGTGGGGGGTGGTCCTGCCTCTGGGTGGTAATTCTTCAGTGTGAGTACATCAGGGGAGGTGAGGTATGGAGAGACCCTTGGTTCGATTCCAGGCAGGTGTGTTTTTTTTTCTCTTTCTTTTTCTTTCAAACAGCATTTTGGTTCAACTCACTATGTGCCCTTGGGCGGTCGCACATTCCTGCATCCCCGTTGCTTCGTGTTCGCAAACCGTGGCAGATAACGGAGGTTCTCCTAGAAGTTTCGCTCCGGGGACTATTATAGAAGGTTGCCCCTCACTCTTTCTTTTGCTTTAGATCTTCGAAAATATGGTAACTCCGGTGGAGGAGATTCGTTGTGAGGTTGGCCGGTACTGTTAAAGGGCTTTCAGAACTATCCATACTAGACCAGCACGTTCTAGCCAGAGGCGCCATGCCCCGAGCCATGCCGCACACCATAGCCAGCTTCGGCTTCATTGTCGGAGGAGAAATAGGAAAGACCGTGCTGTGTTCTGTGGTAAGACTCGGCGAGATCATCGGCCAAATTGATGCGACGGCGACTCGTCACGACCTACAACGCCATTACACAAATGGACACTGTCCAGTGACTTTTTGAGTGTTGAACTTGACTGATGGAGGGGACTAACGTCTAATGACGTTATTCGCAAGGTATGAGCGGACTCGGGAACCTCGGCTGAGCCTGAACCGCCATGGTGGTGGTCATGAACGGGACAGATCCATCTGTTTGTCCATAGGGCGGCCATATGAGTTGGCGGCGTTGGAGAGGGTTCATCGAAATTTGTTGAGCCAAGCTATCTTCTCTCATGAGCCACAGTAGGCATGGCAAGAACTTTTACGTCCTGCTCATCGAGGCGAAGGTATCATGTTCTGTCGAACGGAGAGAGTTCTCGCTTGCATTGAATGGGGCGAGTAGATCAGCCGCTACGCAACGATACATGGCGGGGCATGGGATCGTATTTATTGATGAAATTGACCATCTTTGCGGTAATGTTAGTTCAATAGCGACTATCAATTCATTTTATGCCATGGTTAGCGATGCGACTCTCAATCCTCTCCCCCAAGCATATAAGAGGGTGGTTGGTAATGCTTACATGGAGGTACCTTAATCAATAACAGCAACGGGCGTGGAGGCGGAGGGGAACGTTGATGATGACTCTGGGGAACCTCAGTAATATTTGAGAGGGATGCAGCGCTATCCCTAAATGCGCTGAGTTTGGTGAGCAGGCTGCTTATTTCGGTCCGAAATGAACCACCGGTATGAGTCGAGTTTTCATGTCATGTCGCTTCTTCTCAGAGGATAGCGAGTCGCTAGCAAGTGCGAGGTTGATCAAACATCCAATCCAAAAGGATAGGAGTGGTTGGCTGAAGTGAAGCCCTCCAAGCTGCCATCGAGAGGGTCGGCAACGGCGAGAACTACGGTCATCACTCATGACCGCTCGGGAAATGAAAGCGACAGGCCCCTTGGAAACCAGAGAATGTGCCATATTTACAATCACAAAACAGCTACAAATGTTATCACAAGGGCAAGAGGGTACGTGCTCATGGTGTACTTCCGCATAATAGATCGATTCAATGGGAGGGGGTGTTGAACTCCTCAGAAAAGGGAAAATAAATCTCACGAGACCTTGACGCGCAAGGCTCGTTTGGCTCGGACTTTCGACTCGGCCATAGGGACAAAGAAATCCTCCAATCCAAGGAGTGTTGAACGCCTTACTGTAGATACTCCGGCACCACCTCAATAGAAGAGGCAGGCTCCTTTTTCCTCCATCATCTATGGCTCGGACTTTCGACGCGGCCTAAGATGTTTCCAGGGTCCCAAGTTTAGAGGTTAAACGTGGGGTTGTTGTAGGGGATTTCCACCCCGACAGTCTCAGCAACGAGAGCCTCGAGAGCTGGGAGCTTCTCGAAGTTGTACTTGCGTTGCAGGTACTCGGAGGAATGGGGCATGAGGACCTTCATGAGGCCTCCAATAGAAGTGATGCCGTTTCTCTCACCGATGCCGAGGACGGTGGTGTCAATGTGGGTGGCACCAGCCTCGAGGGCGGTAAAGGCGTTGGCGTTGGCACAGCCAGTGTCGTTGTGGAAGTGCGTCTCGATGTCGCAGCTCACGAACTGGCGGAGAGTGCTGATCTTGTTGTACACCTCCATAGGGGTGGCACCGCCGACAGTGTCGGCGATTCCCACGCGACCGGCACCGAGGCGGTCGCAGAGGGAGTACAACTTGATAATTTCATTGAAATCGGAGCGGAAGGAGTCTTCGCCCGAGAAGCGGATCTCGACGTTGTGTGCCTTGACGAAGGCGATGACCTCGGCGGCCTTCTTGGCAATGAAGTCGAGATCCTTTCCGTGGGAGTTCTCCATGAGTTGCTTGGAAGTGCCGATGCACATGTTACTGCAAAGAGGCTGTTAGCGGCTGTTCCACATAGACATGTAGGATGGGAACGGGCTTACATTCCATCGACACCAGTGTCAATGGCAATTCGGGCATCGTCCATGTTGCATCGGATGTGGCAGAGGACCTGGGAGGGGCAATTGTTAGAGACAGCTTGTTTCTCGTCGGCGGTTCGAGGGAACGGTTCAAGCATACCTTGGCCTTCAGGCCCAGCTTGCAGATGGCTGCGCAATCATCGCGGGACTGGGGGGAAGCGGCAGGCGAGGTAACCTCAATCTAGATGCCGAGCTAGGTTAGCGATCGAAGGGACAAGGACAGAGTCAGGGCGGGAGGGGGCCAATGGCAAGGCCGGCAGGTGGTTGCGCAGGCTTACATATTCGGCGCCAAAATCATCCAAAGCTTGAGCAATCTTGAGCTTCTGCTCCGTGTTGAAGTAGGCGTTGGCAAATTGTTCGCCCTCACGGAGGGTGCTGTCGATGATGCTGAAGTTGGAGGTATTTCCGAAGTTGGCGTAGGTGGAAGAGGCAGCAGAAGAGAGGGCTCCGGTGGTCAGGTCGGAGTCGAAGTCGTCATCGGACACGGTGCTGGCAGCGGAAGAGGCTGGGGCAGAGGCGTCGTTGGTGATGTCGGTGGTCGTGTTGTTGGTCAGGTTCATGTTGTCAGTAGCGAGATTGGCTAGGGAGGTATCCAGGACACCTCCTTGATCGCTTCCTACAGCACCAGGACCGTTAGCATTGCATCCAGACAAATAGAGACGGCATCACGTACCGTTGCTGGCACCGCTGGCGGCGCCATTGGCCATGGTGTGGCTGGTATGGTGGTGGACACACTCTGCGCCATTCTGTTTACTACCGCTGGAGGAGCTGCTGGCACCATTATCCATGGTGTGGCTGGTGTGATGTGTGATGGGGTGAGTAGAAGACATTGTGCCTGTCGCATTCAATGTGGGCAATTGCAATCTCAAAGTGGTGAACGCGGACAGAGAGTTGTGTTGTGTGTTGATGATGGAGGGAGAAACAGAGAGGAAGTGAAGTGGGCGAGATCGAAGGAAGTACTATGTACCCCGGAAGTACTGCGGGGAGGCTATTCTGGGGCGTCAGTCTGTTGCTCGGCCATTCGAATTGGAACAGTGCTGACTGTCCTCAAAGAATTACTAGCTCGAGATTACGCACCGAGGTTTAGGTAAGCTATTTTTACAACGGAGATCAGAATAAAGGCTCAATGAAGAGTGAATTCTTCCGAGCGCGTGTGCCTGTGCCTGTCTCGTGCCTTGTACTGCCAGGTACTGAGCCTGTCCTTAGCGGGTGGCGGACAGGCACAGGCCGTTCGAGGTGGCATCACAGCGGTCGAAACCACTGGAAGGGGGGGCGGGACCCCTGATCAGAGACTGTAACAGGCTCAAGCTCCAGGGGCCACTGTGCCCCTCGATCCATTGACTCCGCGGCTGTGACGTGACTGGCTGGCCTGAGTCACCAAAACCCCACCTCGCCTCCGCTGTCGGTCTTGGAGGGAAAAAATTTCAACAGGCAGCCCCAATGACGAGCACGAAGCGAGGTGTACCCAAGTACTGGCCAGGACTGACGGAAATGGACAGAAGTGTGCTCCGCGGCATTTGAAAGCCCTGACGAAGGCTCTGACCGACACCCACACAAATTTTCACCACCACCCACACTGATTGATGCACGCTGCACATCTACCACGCAGGCCACCTCGCAAGCCCAATGATGCATTGCAACATTACCCCAGCCACACATTTAAGCTATCTACCTAGGAAAATAATGATGTGATGCAATACTACCCCTACGGCGAGCGTGCCCAAGTGCTTCCTCCAAAACTGTCCCCCAGCCGGGGACGGGCCCACCCAGTCAATCTGAGGGTGGCTCAGCAAACAAACCCCTCTCGCATCTGGAGACTGGAGATGAGATGCAAATCGGACATTGGTCCATAGCATGTCTCTCAGTGGCCAGATCTCCTGGCTATGCCCCGCGGTTCCTCCCCAGCCCTCCCAGTCGTCATCCACCCAAGCTCAGCACAGCACGGCAAAAAACAAGGTGAACGCGCCCGAAGCGCTCATGCAATTCAAGCCCGATGGCGCGCCCAAATGCGACCGTCTCATGCAGGAAAATATCATCAAGGATCTTCCCTCCCCATGCAGGATAAGCAGCTCAGCTCCTCGCAAATGCGAGTTGCCCCCCAGGCGAGCGGGTTTTGTCTCAGACGTACGTACACCGCCTTGTAACCTACCCTATGGCAGCCCTTGATGCACCTCATCTACCTAAGGAAAGTTTGCGAGTGCAGAGTGCAGAGTGCAGAAACGACGCCTAAGTTCAGTTCAGGTCCCTATAGTCCAGTCCCATTGATGACACGTTTCCATGTTTCATTATGTACATTGTCTTGGCCAATCCCATGACGCTTATCATGCAGTATGATTAATTGAGTCTTGCCTCTGTGTAACCATTGTCAACCCATTACCCCGCCACTAAGGCATGCTGTCGTAATGCGCAGATGAGAGCGAGATCCATCCTAACGACAGGCTAGGAAGATACCTCGATATAATAGAGAAAAAAATTGCCCAGGGCAAACCTATAACGGTCTCTAAATTTAGGATGACGAGAGGAATGCCACCAAGTAAAGAATGGTGCCTCACTAGAAGGTGGGTGGATGGCCCAGGTTGCCAGGCTAAAAAGAGAAAACTCCGTTATGGGCTTCCGGTTTGGGAAAAAGAAAGTTTCGACGTGGGCCTGATTCGAACAGACGCTCCCGAAGGAACAAGATTTCTAGTCTTGCGCATTAGACCACTCTGCCACCACGCCATGCATAACGAAGGGTGTATTATTGACTATGAAGCCCAGGTTATTCGAAGTGGAACATGACAACGGCTATTCGAGAGATTCCTACACGTTCGAATGATACTTGTCTTCATTTAGAGAAGACCGGATTTTGCTTTATATTTAATTGTATGTGTGATCACTATTAGAAGCATACACTACCTCAATGTTTCTTAGGAACTTTAAATACCACAGCACATGTTCAGTACATGTAGGCAGCACACTCCAATGGTCACATCGCCTCCATTGCACGTATGCCAATAATAGGAGTATGTGATTTGTTGCGCGTACGGTAGTGGAAAGGGAGTGTTGGGAGCATAGGTATTCGGTAAATCTTAGCGTTCGAAAGTCAACATTGTGTTCTATTTCTATCCGACATGTCGCGAGATTCAGAATTATCCACCCTTCCAAATACATGGGTGACTTCGAATCATGTGAAAGATCATAATTCAAGCCAAGGTTCTAGTGGGCTTCATTTTGCTCAAAATTGTGCAGGTCGCAATGAAAACCTATGGCGGCTTTCCTAAATGGTGCGTTCCGCAGAGGCAAGACGTATCTCGTCGGGCTGGTGCATCGGATTGCATCAGGCAGCCCAGCAGGCAGTCAACGCACGCGTGGCCGGCGGGGGAGAAGACGTCACATTCGACACAAAATCAGGTTTTGAAAATGCAGCAAAAGGAAAGAAAACGTCGCAGCGAGCCTTTCAGCAAGCTCTGCAGAATGTTTACCTAGTTTGTCTTTGTGGCTTGCAGGTGGGTAGCTGAGCAAGTTCTGCAGAGCAGAGCCGAGACTGAGCCAATGTACTCTGTACATCATCATGGGAGTCTCACTCATGTCGGCTGTCGCGAGCCTTGTGCGAGATGAATAGCATGGAAACCAGATGTGCCTTCGAGCATCGCTGCAATCAGCCTTTCTAGCTTAGATTAAGTGGAACCGACGACAAATTCCTTCTATCGTTTAACTCCTTTTATTGGAGAAGATAGAGTAACTGAAAGAACAAGGGGATATTTACCGGAGGGAAGATTCCCATCTTCTCTGTACCAAGTACCCTCTACTGGTGGGGATTCTCCTTTGTTACTATTCGTTTCTCATTTTTCAGCCGTGGCGTTCCGTACCCCCCAACCACTTCAATGTCTCTCCTCTGCATGATTACATTGCATAGGAGGTGCCCTGAGCGTAGCTGCAGAAAACCGTTTTTGCTCCGTCGCGGCGGAGTTGCTTGGGTTCCCCCTCAAACCAGGGAGTTACGGAATGGGATGGAAACTCATTTCGAATTATTTTTGGAACGGGAAAAAGAAAAAACTATAGTCATATTTTGAGCTTTCAGAAAATTTCCAGCTGTTTTCTCGTCTTGAGAAACCTACTTACTAGTGGAGGGGGTGTCTCCCCCCTGAACATGCCTATCTGTCGCAGCCTTACTTTTGGTGGGGAGGGGAGTATGGACGGCAAGTTTTCGGATCCGGTCCCCTGCATCAGCAGCTACGGAAGGGTGTCTATCTAGTTCATTAGACCTACTGACACGGCTGTGCTGGTCATCTGTCGAAGGTGTACCACATGATAGATCAGCATGTCCGGCTTCCGCGACGAATAATAGGTGTTCTGGTTTCTGATGATGGTCGCCAATCATAAGTCAACATAGGCTTGGATCTTTGCACGCACACTCTATCTGTATCCGTGTCTATGAAAATAATGGTTGGACTATCCTATAAGGCTCCGAGACCCGTAGTAGAGGGATCCATAGAGGTTCACCGCAAAGAACAGTCGGCTGCCAGTCGAGCGGGAGCCGGTAAAGGCTAGTAAGTAATGGAGGACCGTTGACCGGCTGTTCCGGTCACACTAGGCCACCCAGAGGGACCGTGTGTGAGGCCGGGCAGATACGAAGGTAGATGTGTGTGTGCCTTGGGAGCCACCATCACCTATCAGAGGCCGCCCAGCCTCGCCGAACGAGTTATTTGATCCCCGATTGGTTGAAGCATGAGATTTGATCCTTGATTGGTTGAAGCATGAGGATGATATTACGAGAGAGAGCATATTTGTGCTTCTCCTACGCTTCTCCGGTTGCGTGTGTGTACGACTGATGTAAGTGTGCGTGCTTCTAGGCCCTAGCAACCCTGTTCAGCCATACATGCCAATCGTTCAACTTTCACACTGACCGACTCTTTATTACTAGATCTAACTTTTCCTCGATCTAACCACCCAAAAAGAAAGCAACCAAAGACGTCAGTCTTCGCTTTAGTCTGCTAATATACCTTTGAAATACTTTTTAAAATACCACGAACGACAAGGCTGTTATTCAGACTCTTTCTAATCACTATAGTCGCACTACTTTGGCAGTATTTTCTACGCTATCATGGCAAGTAAAGGGCCCAGTGATAGAATGAAGTAGGCTCTAGTGATGCTCCAGTAATGCTGCATTAGTGAATGCATGCAATATTACTACACGGTCCTTACCATTATTTTCATCATGCTGTGTAACAACCAAGAGGGGAATTTCTTGCAGCCCCAGACAGACCCCACATACCCAAGATACCCTACCACATCCGACGGCACGTCATGCTGCTCAGCCGATTCTAGGCTCGTAGATCTTGCTCATTTTAGGTGAAAAGAAACGGGAATGCTGCTCATTTCTGTGTATTGCTTCCCACATTTGATGGTGGCTTTCAAACAGCCGTTTTTCACCAAAGCGGGTCGATTGCTCAGTCACTTTGCTAATACACTATCAAAGTATGCTTCATGAGAAGCATAACGGAATCTTGCCACGGGTGGATACTTGTTCAGCTCCCCGCCAAGGTCTGACCTGGCGGTGCAATCTGCAAGAGATACATTAGCCCGTCACTTGCTCCGGCCGAATAACGTGTTCTGGTTGGTAGATAACCAAGCCCCATTGCCAAGACGGCTCAGTGTTTGTCCAATACCACCCCAAGTGAAACAAATCATGGACCGTGGAGGATCCTTACTGGACGCCTTCAACAAGCCTCTTCTCTCCCATGCTTGTTTCCCCTCCCAAAGGCCTGTTTCTGACCCTTGGTGGCTGCCAAATATTGGGTGTGCTTATCTCTCTCGAGGTGATCGATCGTCTGCAACTCGCTGGAAAGGGAGAGTAAGCTGGAATTAGGTCCCAGCGGCATTGAGATTTGCCCAGGTTCCAGATTCCCAGCCCAGATTTCCAGCTCAATCTCGCCCATCGGCCCGGTAACTGGGGAAATTTCCCTCGGCTCGCTACGGGCCGTATCGTATCGATACTTCCCCAGCCCGCCCAACCTGACGCCAAAACATGTCTAAAGGACTTTTCGACACAAGCTGACGAGCTTGGATTTATTTAGACTTTTACCTTGCAGATCTAGTTGGGAAGATCGGTTGTAGCCGAGGCAGCCCTGAACTGAGCTTGGGCTTCTGATATTGCGCCTGCCTGCATACTCGTGACTAGGTCAGTCCCTCCTCCGGCTTTCCAGAACGTGCTAACAAGGGGTGTAGGCGGGGATCGATCTCCGGTCGGGACTTGTGTCTTTGGATCCTGTGATCTATCATAAAAAACGAGCATGCAATGAGCGATAGAGGATGGTCTAGTGCTGAGCCCTCTAAGTAGGATATACATTCCACCCCATGAACAAATACACAAATGCACATTGCTTTTCTTGGCCCTGCGCTCCCAGAGCGCCTAGGACACGAGATCGACTAGGACCGACTATCATGGTTCTCCCATGGCCCGTGTCATGTCACTGGGACTTCTGACGACTGGCACCCTCTTCGACATCTCTCGCATCCTCCTCAGAGCTGAGATCATACCGCGTCATGGAGAATGATGAGAAAAGAGGCCTATGTCCTTTTTGACTCTAGCTCTGCCAGCTGTCCGTGGATAGCTGCGGCAGTCGCCAAAGAAAGGTATCCGATCAAGGAATTCGGCTCTTGCGAACGGCCCAGAACCATGTCAACCTTTGCCCATTGGTTAGCTTCTGAGACATTGCGATTTTTTTTACCCGCCTATCTATGCAGTGGTTGCGTCTGGGCGCGCTCGTATAGTTGCGGTATGCGAGGTGCAGATGGTGAGGTGCCCAAGATGATTTGGCGAAGCGTATACTATTGACTATCCTTTGACATGCAGCAGACGAACAACAAAGGTATAAAAACCTGATCTGTTCTTCAAGTTTAAAGGAAATATTTCGCTCTCCATCCTCTCTCAAACTCATCAAATCAAGAAGCTCCTCTTCTATTCATTGTTTTGCAACTGCCGACAGGCTTACTATGGACACCGACAATGTTCCTGATCCTGATCATGCCGCTCTCGCCCTTGAACACCCTAGTGTTTGTCTCATGTGCCAACTCTGGGACCTTCATGTAAGCCCCTCTTTCTTCGATACAAGACAATGGATGTATGCTTACGTTACAAAGTGCTGGCCTCAGGATCGAGCGCCCGGCGAGAGGTGCGGTGGTTGCGAGACCAATGGACTCGTTTGCCTCGACCCAGAATCTGCCGTCCTTTTATTTGGCACTGACGCTTCCTCTATACTGGGCATCTATCCTCTCGGGCTACTTGATGGTCCCATTTATTATGAGGGCCCCGAAGGTGCGAATTCGGGACTGGCTCGGCTCGTTCTCCGTCAAGTCGCAGCATTGGCTTGCGCCATGCCCTCCCTCAGAACCCTTGCAGGATCCGACCAGTTTGGTCTTCCTTCTGCAGGTTCTGATGATGGCGGCGAGGCTGCTTCGGGCGGTACACTAGTCCCCGGCCCTGGTGATGAAGCAATGTCCACTTCTACAACCACTTGGCAACCAAACTCGATGGTTCCTGGTGGTTATGCCAGTGTCTCAATGCCAGAACACACCGTTGCTAGAAGAAATCCCTTCACTCAACCTTTCGGTGCTAATGCCCGTCGGGGAACCTACTGGAACACCGTTATTGTCACGCTATCCTCCATTCCGTCCCCGCAAAGCTACTTCTCTGTCCCGCATGCTCTGGGCGCGGACTTTGTCCCACGGGAGGGCATCTTGAACCGGGTTCTTCAAAGCCTCTCCCCTGGACCCAACACCAGTGACCACAATGTTATCTTCCTAGAAGGCCTCCCAGGGTCTGGAAAGACCACGATGGCTCTCAATGTTGCCTACGAAGTTCGCGAGCGCTATCCAGAGCACTCTGTTTTCTGGCTGTCAGCGACAAGCTTGAGCGAGTTGCAGGACTCTTACAAACGAGTCGCCAATGTTCTTGGGATACAACTACACCAAGATATCGCCACTGACCATTTGCAAATCACTCAAGCACTTGAGCAGCTTGACCAAGGCCATTGGCTTTGCATCATCGACACTGAGCAGCATATCCGCCCAGATGGTTCCAACCCTCTCTGGCAGTACCTCCCACGAAATAAGAATGGGATGATACTCATCACAGGGAGGAGCAGCCAGGCCGCCGCGAGTCTCGGCGCCCTGCCAGAGAACATCATCAACGTGTCGCGCATGACTGATGACGAAGCCGTCAAGCTCTGGCGTCAAAGCATGTTTAACGACGTTGAATATGACACTGGGAGCAGACTGGAGATGATCAAACATCTGGGGCATTCACCTCTGGCAATCAAGAAGGCGTGCAGCTATATCACAATGAGCTGGAAAATCGCGGTTGAAGCCATCAGGGTTGGCGATGTCGTCGCCGAGCAGCCGCCGCTTGTGAATGTTACAATCTCGCTGGCAGAGAAATTCGACCCTTTGTTCCGCTTGATCAAGCGTAAGGAGCCATTTGCGTGGAAGGCTTTGTCCTTCATGTGCTATCTTGCTGCAGCTCCTATCCCGTTGTCTCTGCTTCCAGAGCCACCTCAGGGAGTTGAAATCTATGAGGTCCTCCAAAGGCTCAAGGAATACTCCTTCATCCTCCCTGGCGAGGAACGCCCGTCCAGCTCAATTCAGATTGATCCGATTGTGCAGCTTTCGTTGCGAGTTTGGCTGGGCAGTGAAAATGAGCAGGACCAGGTGGTCAATGCAACCATGATCGAGCTTGCTGCGAGGCTGCCGCCACCCACGACCAGTTTGTGGGAGGAGTACTTCCCGCATCTGTGGGCTGTTCTTAGGTTCGCACACAACACTGAGCTGAGCCCTGAGATCATGGTACGCTCCAAATTCGGCCTCGGCCTCTGGGAAATGGATCAACGCGACGATGCGCAGATGCAGTTGGCGAATTGCGTCATGCTCAGCACACTAGGCGAGCGCCCGAAACCCATGGGCTTGGCCTTGTGTGTCGAGATTATGGCGCTGTTCATGAAAGAGGACGGCAGACTCGATGAAGCTGAGGTCTATAGACCAGGCGCTCCCGATTCGAAATTGATCCCACCTTTCTTGTGGAATCTACATTTCCGGTATAACTGTCTGGATCTTGCGGTCCAGAGGCAGCGTATCCTGGAGCAGGTTCACCTGTATCCTAGCATTCAGAGGATCTTGCAGAATCAACTTGAATGGAACATCTCTATTTGAGAAGAACGTGGCACGGCAAAGACGGTTGGAGGGAAAAGGGGATGGAATTGGGATGAAAAGTACTTTTTCGAGGAGGAACAATCTACTTGGCGAGATAGTGATCTTGGACCACGCTTCATTGGTTCTTAGGACGTGTACCAGATTCAACATCTGGAGACTTATGCGACTTGGCGAAGTCTGCTTGATTTCAGAGCAAGTATCGGGAAGCTTTCCATGACGAACTTGCAGTATTATTATCCATAATGAATAAAAAAGCAAAAAAAACGAATGTTTGAAAGTCTACCGTGAATTGGGATAAGGCGAAATAGCTGTCCAACCAACCAAAAGACCATCTGCTTTCTTTTCGCATCCGTACTCCTCCATACAATATGATTGTTCCTAGCAATCTAGCCTACTTCGAGAGGGTTTAATAGTCATGACTGTGAGGAGCGATCGGCTTAATACATAAGGGGTCGGCCGGGGGTTGTTGCGTAATACAACATCCAGCATCAATTACACACATCATTAACCCAAATAAACACTCATTATTAGCCGTAATCGTTTGAATCCAACACACGCTATGCGAGGCATGGCTTCTTCTACGGCACATATTCACTGCGACACAGATTTGATATTCACCGACTCGGATATCCGGGGCTTTGCCTAGATGTTCCAGGAGGAAAAGCAAGCAAATAGTATAGAGTGTATTGGTCTAGATATATGTTACATGACAGGAAAAGAAGGGTATCGGCTCTCGGCGAAGTTTTTCGTTAATTATTAATTTTTCTAATCCTAATACTCTCATTGCGCGCGACCAAGCCATAGATTAGGCGTGGACGGCAACATGGACCTCCATCTCCGCGCCCGATGACGTGAAGTTTTTCAGGTTGGTGGTGCCGGCCTTGAGGTAGCAGTCACCAGGTGCTTGATTGCCGAGAGCCATCAGGATGTTGGTCCAGTAAGGAATGTAGGTGGCGGTTGTGCAGGCTTTTGATGTGTAGTTTTTCTCGTCGAGGTACTTGTTCCAGGTCGTGCAGGCTTCCATGCAGCTGTTAAAGCTGCCGGAGAAGAGCGAGAAGATGGGGCCCTCGGGGCTGTCTTTGTTGCAGTACATTGTGTATTCCGCAAAGTCATAGGCTTCACGATACATGTTAGTAAACAGGTCGGGGATGTTTGATATGCTTCAAGCATGTGGAGGATGTACTGACAGTGTGTCGAATATTTCGTGCCGGTTACACTCGCGGCTCTGTCTGAGCATCCATTCGTCAGATTGGAGTAGCTTGTGACAAATTTGGCCGCTGAGAGATTGGCCGTGGCTGCTGAAAGGTTGGCGTTGGCCGCGTCGAGGTTGGTGTTGGCCTGTTGGTAGTTGTGCGTTGCGATGCCAAGGCCAGCTGCCAGGCCGATTATGACGATACCCATGATTGCGACAATGACCGACAAGATGAAGACGAGGATGGGTAGCCCGAAAATCTTCTTTTGCTCCTGAGTGTCGGGGTAGCCACCGCCCCCTCGAAGGACTTCCTTGTGCTCCTGCCCGTAGATGATATCATTGTCATGCTTTGCATACTGGGAATAAACTGTCGTCGGCGTTTCTGACGGCGCTGTCGAAGGGCTTTGGTAATGCTGCGGGTTGATCTGGGCCGCTTGCATGTGGTGGTCGTGGTGGTATGTCTCGGGGTACGAGTGGGAGGCGACCTCTGGCGCATCATCGGGCTATGAGTTCAAAACATGTTAGCAAAAGACTGGTATCAACAGTTCATTGAGCCAACTTACATAGCGAGACATGATGGCAGCGGCACGCGAGCTGCATGCGAAGCTTCCTCCAAACAACTACTCAGGCGCAGTGGTGAGAGAAGGAAATGCAGTAGGGGGCGAAGGCGAAGGCAGGTCAAAGGCGCGCGCGGTTCTCCCACCTCCATGTATATACACTCTGCCCTCTTGTCCAACATGAAACGTAGGAACAGGACCAATGTCGTCTAAGTCACTGGGAGCATGGGGGGCCCCTGTCCAAGTGACTGCCGCCCGCGTTGATAAGTGGACAAAACGGCTCACGCCATTCTCCAAGCGGGTTGTTCTAATTTCTGCTCCTTCGGCTGGAATACTCTGCCGTTGCCAAGCCATGTCACATCTGACTTTCCCAATGGAAACTGCCGTCTATGCCACAGTCTGGACTCGTGCTCGCGATGCTGATCAGCACGCTCAGCCCTCACTGGCTGCATAAATGTCTGATTACCGAGCGGAAGGCTCCTGTCGGCACCGAAATTGGATACAGGCTTAACTCCAAGGAGAAAACTACTTCGAGCTGTGCATAAGCAAGAATTCACAGCCAATTGAGAGCCTTCATTGGGAAGGCCGCCCATCAACTCATCTCGCTTCACGACAAGCACGAATGTGGCTAAGTTTCCTCCCCCAATAGCAGATGCAGCCTGCCCCGTCAGCTGGGCTGAAACAGCTCCAGGCTAAGGCACTGAGGTGGACCGTGGCGATGTCACTCTTCCTTCGGGCTATTACGTGAGGTGTGCCGTATTTGCGGACGCTGTAGATCGGCGAGGCTGTTTCATCTTGGACTCGTCTGGATGCTTTTGGAACGATCAGGCCTCAGCTGCGAAGCTCTAAATTAAGCCATTTCCTGCCCTGAAAAATGCTGCTGCTTTCGATCCTACCCTCCCTTGCCATCTCCACCATTTATCGATACTCGTGGGACCGTTGAGCCTGCTTTTCTGCAGGTTCCGTATAATGAAATTCCACCTGCATTAATAAGGGCTTACAATGTGGCGTCTCTTCCCAGGGGATGCTGACCAGAGCTGAAGGCTAAAAGTGTTGCTGGGCTGGACTCTGGAGTCCAGATCGCCAGCAGGACCAGCCTCCTATGGGGGAATAGGTTAGTGTATCATTTTGGCGTCATTAGTAGTTTCTGATTCAGCCCATGGGTGTTAATTAGTGCAATCCCGCGCTCACAGGATAATGCCTGTAACAGAGGTGGACGGACCTCCTCCACATCCCGTCTGGGCTGAGCAATTCTTCTGCAGGCGGTGGAAGATGTCTACCTATACAAGTTCCAGCGACATGTTCCAAAACAGACGTGACAGCTAGGACGGTCTTATATACGTCCTTCCCATTGTAGCAACGAATCCAGGCTGAGGCCCATGGAAACAACATCTATACCGAGCTCATTTATTTGTAACCCCGATTGATTGCTGCCGGCCGGAAAACCGCTTTTAAGATAACAAGGTAGGGCTTAGATCCCCCATCCTAGCCTCGTGGTGAGCCTGATTTCGGCTCTTCCGGAGCAAGGATGTATGCCCTGTAGGGCCTTTGGGGCCTGTCAGCACCTATAAGCGGTGAAAATACAGCTGGAAGATACTGATTGTAGGTGTCATTTTTCTTGCTAGATGGTTTTGCAGCACAGGCATAAGTCTGCTAATGTCGTATATCATGACGTAGAGCTGCAGATCACATAAAATCCGTACGTGCTCATAGCCTTTTCCTTCAAACTCAAGTACTGCACTATTATGTACAACTAGGTAGATCTCAAGACTTGACATGTTTATTTTGAGCTTTTCGAGGTCCTAGGATGGAGTCATTTTACATCTTTCTAGAATTGATCTCCGTCTCAGCTGTCACGACGGGCTTTATTTCCATGCTCCCTCAATTGAGATCCTGATTTAGCGCTATTGAGATTGAAGGAAAACCGTTGAAAACCCAGACCAATTATAGATGGCTACACCAACCCGTTGGGCCTGGCTGAGTGTCAATGCCATGGTATGAAGTTGGTTAGGGCACTGTTGCCGCTCGCTTCTAGAATTGTGGTCCCAAGACAGTGCAGGAATCCTGGCGAGATAGAAGAGGAGCAGCCTATTTGCGAAAAAGTGCTTGTGACCAGGTACCACTTCCTACAAGAGGGGATCCGACAAGGTTAAACTCAGCAGGCGCCGCGCGCGGTTGGGAGTGGCGAACATGGTCTCTGATAGCTTCGCGTTCTATTGTTGTCTTTTATTGAGTATAGGATAGTATAGTACGGTGCTGTAGAGGTTTGGTGATGCGATAGATATGTCCGAAAATGCGTGACGCGTGGAGTGCTTTGTGTTGATCGCAAGTCCGGGGCATTCGTTAGGGATCAGATGCGAGAATCTGTGTCTAGATTTCCAAAAGAATCAGCATTGTTCCTGTGGCGAAAGAATCACGTACATGAATGCCCTGCAGAATCTGGACAGCGAGGAGCGCGTGGAAAAGAGCCGCGATCCTTGACGGCATTTATGATGAGGAGCTGGGTAGTTGGTGGTCCTGAAACGGTGGGAGCCGATCCCATGTGTATACCCTGTCAACGAATCTCCTAGACGATCAATATTCTATACGCCAGATTCCTATCGTCGACTAGGGATTGGTGCTGCTCTGTGCGGTAGCTACTATCAAGATATTGATACTTCGACATGAGGGAAAATTCAGCTATTCTCTCCTGAAGCTATTGCGAGCCACAGGACAACAATTCACCCCTGGCTACATCTCGGTCAGCTAACTACCCTACAGCTGCGTTTCCATCCTCGACATAAACTCAAGGTACTGCTCGGGCAGAACGCGTGCTAGTTTGTTTATGTAGCTCTCCTACTACGCGTCTACTGCCAAGTAGAAGAGCGAAGCACCCGATCTTGGCTCGCATGGACAGTTGAAGTGATTATCGAGTGGGAAATCGGAAGCAGTAGCAACACCAGGAGATTTGTCATGGGCGAAACCTAAACGACCCCTCAAGGCCGAATATTCAAATGTGTTTTGTTCGTATCAATCTAGTTCACATAAACCTCCGTCTAGTTGTCATCTAGTCATCTTAGGCCTAGATCGCGACGGTTCCTTTGTACTCCAACACATTTGCAACTTTATCCGTCGTATGATCAGATCATCACCCTATTGACCGGCTTCTTAACACAAAGTATGGTGGATCCCCTTTGTCGAGCTTCACCTGTGCTTTACCAAGATTCTACAGAGTAGAAGCTCTCTTCTGCCTGTGAAGCTTTCCTTCATCGTCACTCTCGGTCTCAAGTTTGCGCTTCAAAACGTTATCGCTAGATCTCTCGTTGCTCTCGTTGCCTGCGGTAGGGGTATCAACGAAAATTGGCACATCGGCATACTCAACACCATCTTCATGTGTGCCATATGAGGTAGCCATCGGTGTATCGTTCTCTGAGAGGTATGCGTCGAACATGTCCAGGTCGTCATCCGTTGGGTCAACGGAGACGAAACCCCGCTCGGCGAGAATGTTGGCGAAGTCGCTTCGAGAGATGCAAGACTCGTCATCGTCGCTGTCTAGATCACCAGAGCCATAGGAAGCCCAGTACTCAGTGGTGTCGAGGTGGACAGGTTCCTCCATGAGTGACTCTTCAGCGACGAAGACGGCGAGGTCAAGAGTTTCCAGGTGGTCGTTGTAGTCTTCGTCATCATCGACAATGACAATCTCGAAAGCTGTGCTCTCGGAAGCAGAGAAGTTGACTCCTTCCATGTCGTCGAGGTTTGTGTTTGCGAGTGGTTGCACGTACGGAACAACCGCGGCCACGAATGTGCCTTGGTAGGGTTCCCCTCCCCCCAGATACTCCTCCTCTTCTGTGGCCTCGCTGGAGGAGAGAGAATCCGAATCGCCCCAGGAGTCATCGCTGCAGTAGGAGCCGTTGTCACTGTCGTACCCATCCGCATCGTAGTCGTAGTCGTCGTAGGCGTAAGAACCACCGCCGTATCCTAGAACGGCGGGGTCTATCAGAAGAGAACCTTCGGATGGACCAGCTGGGGGGGACGAGCCCTACTCGTGTCCCTCAGCTGGTTCTCCCTTCATGATGAACTTGTCAGCGGAGGTGAATGGAAGATGATGCACAAAGGAAGAAGTGATGAGAAGAGAGTTGAAAATGTGATGGAGGCATGAGTTCTTACGTGGTTCACTCTGGCGTTGCATAAGGCTCCTCTTGCTCTTTGAGAAGGCATGGTGATGAGAAGTGGGAGGATAGGAGGCGTGTGTTGTGGATGAGATGAGGAAAACGGGAGAAGTTTTTGGAGGAAGCAAGTGGGGATGTAGATGAAAGGAGGATTGTAGTGAGGGCTGGAGTGAGTGGTGGGAGATGGAAGAGAGTTGCTGTGCCCTAAAGGCGGACAAGTTCTTAGGGCTGGTTCTAGGGAGGCTTCACTGATACAAAGGATGAATGTCGAACATGCAATGACTCAGCAAACAAACAGGACTCGTAATCAATTGGGTAGAATGAAATTTCATCGGTGATTCACTGTCACAATACTTATCCACCACGCGTCATAAACACAAAGGCTACTTGAACTACCAAACACTAGGGACGCAGCAAATCACCCGGCATTGTCTGGACTTAATAATCGTACATCTTTTTCCTTGGCTGAGACCTGAAAATCTGAGAGAAGAGGTCTCTTGGTTTCCTTGATCGAAGCCACAAATCATGGAGGTTTGTTGATACCAAGAATCTAGAGATTGGGTCACGTCTGAACGTTCGCCTATGGGCATTATGGGCATTATGGGGATGGTGTAATGCCGAAATCCGGCCTAAGGTGTACTCGTCAGTATCTCGCGAAAGTTTAACTCCAGTTGCGAATTGGATGTAGGTACTCGAAGTGGTTGAGCTGCTTGTGTAACCATCTGTGGAGTGCTTGTGATGTAACGTGCCACCGCGCGTTCACTGAACATTAACCTCTATCATTGGTAATCTTTGTTATCTCACTCCTAAAATTTAGTAGCCTAATAATTATTGATAATTCTTCACTCCAGATGCTGTCCAATTCAATTCTATCTGACCTTGGGACTGATTCTCTAACTCTTTTTTCGCTTCAAATGGTCTCAGAAATTGCACATAAACCAAGATTAAACCAAGTTTTCTAGATCGGACAGTTAGAAGAAAGTTTGCCAATCAACTGACCGATTTCGAGTACTTCGTGGCCGAACCTGCAAAGCACCCAACGGATAAAGAGATCGAGGCGAAGTGCACACGGCTCGTCAGAGCAGCCACCAAGACCTTGGCCGAACACAACCACGAAGCTCTGTCCAAAACAGTCGACCATAGCTTCGAACGACCAAAGAAAAACAAAAGCTGGCAAGAATACGTCACGGAATCAGCCAGGATTATAAAACAGGTGGAAGAGCTACTCCTTGGACATCGACGATCACCAACACTAGAGCCTGCCACCCGCAAGAAGACCACCGCCACCATGCCTGGAGAGAACACTAGGTCGTCGTCTCGCAAAGACGAGGCGGAATCATCAAGAACTCCGGCCAAGAAGGCCAGTGGAAAGACTCCAGCTCCGGTCGCAACACCTACAAAGGCCAAGAAGGTCCAGGTAGTAGCTCCCGACGAGAGCCAGGGCGACCCCTTCCGTGAGCCTGGGCAAGCCCAAGACTCAGCAGAGGAGGAGAGCGACGACGAGGACATTCCGGCTACAACCGCCAAGAAAATTCGACGTGAGACGTCTCAGGAAGCCTCCGACAGAACCGCCCAGAAATTGTGCCCGGCCGTACATAAGCCTATATGAGGTTTAATACCAAAGGCTGTGCCCGATAATAACTCTTTCGTCGGCATCTCCTTTTGCGAACCTTAAGATGCTGATTTCAAACATTTGTCTCTTCACTCAAGGCATCGTTTCAGTATTCGTGAGAAAAGGATGTTCAGCCAAATTACCCCAAAAATCCACCTCGAAATCCTGCAATGAATGGCTCTCCCAACCATTCCAAGTCTCTTGTTCCTCCGGATTTAGAACTGAAGAAACAAATCTTGTAGCTGGAAGAATAGCCGGTTGAGAAGGTATTCCTCCCATTAACAACCGACTGATCAGGCTGTCAATAGTTTGGGAAGCACTCGCTAGGAGTCTGTAGTTTGGGTCGTCGGTGCGCACGAGGATACCTGTTTCCATTTCCGTTACAAGAACGCCAAGGTGCTGTACAGCTTTGGAAATGTTGATGTGAGTGCTCTGTCGGGTAGTGGACATGCGGTTTAGTAACCACAAGCAGATGACTCCTGCGGCAGAAAGCCCATAGTACGCAATCTTGAGAAAACACGCGAGTTAGGCCTCAGAATGCGAGTCAATGGAACGAATGTATTTACTCACCTTCCAAACCAGAGATGTACCGGAGTTCACAAGTTGGTCCTTTTGAATGATGGCGTCCACGACAAGGCCAAGTATCTCAACAGATATAATCACCAACTCCTTGTCTGCATCAGGAGCTTGTCTGGATAAGGCAAGCCGAAGCAAAAACAAAATATGTAGATGGTTCAGCCTGGCACTGACCATGAAGTCACGGATTATCGGTTCACGGTTGCAAAGTCTGAGGGGCGTCTCCAGGCGAAAATGCTCTGGCAAGGCCGACCATTGTTCTTTTGCTCGGGCTTCCAATAAGCTAACCAGTTGTCAACAAGAACTCAGATGGAAAATGTGCCACGAGATTGATCCGTCAAATGCACTCACCTCGCTCTATGGGCGCGACCTGGATTATCATCGGCCTCGAATAGATCCAGAATCTCCTCTTTGAGGATGGCGCATAATGCTGACCATTGAGTATCGACCAAATAGTCAAATGGTAGATCCATTTTCCACTGATGGTCCCCGAAACCTGGGAGCCTGAATCGACAATATCTCCTATGGATTCGCGGAGGCCTGCCGAGGAAGATGGAGATGTTCTTGTCTGCAGAATAAGCCCTTGCAAAGTAAGCACCGCGCAGCTCAGCGAGGAACGCGGGAGTGGCTGGACTGTTGCCTTCTAGCTGTTGGTGGTAACCTAGCGCGAAGAGCGAGCTTATTACGTCCCCCAGCGCTTTCCATGTATGATAACCTGATGTGCAAGACATGTGAGCTGCAAAGTGCACATACGAAAATGGTTTGTTTCAAGCCACTTACTTTGATCACCGTCTACGAAAGAATGGGAGATAAAGTTCTCGTACTGCAGGAAAAGTTGCAGATCATTGAGACAGTCTAACGAGATGGCGATGTCGAGGCAGCTATCAGCAAAGGTCATACTTAGGCGTTGAAGATCTCGTCTCTCTCTTTCCGACCCAAAGAAGGATTCGATGGATGAGATATCAACTGTGGCTCTCGATACGGCAGCAAAGAAAAGCCCAAGGGTCTCCCATCGTGCATTATTATGAGAGAATTGGGAAGTGAAGCCTTGCAGTGTGATATCAGAGCCCACACGCAAAGGACGGGAAGTGTGCAAGAACAGACTTTTGGACATGGCCATAAAGTCAGGTGCACGACCGCCATTCCCCTCAAGGAAAACATGTTGAATGGTCTTGGCACAATCATCCGTAAACACCCCAGCAAGTGCCAAGTTGGAGCCCTTTGATAGCCACCGTCGAACAAGCTTCTCACATAGAGAGAGCGAAAACGTCTGGCCCAGTTGCTCCAACAAGCTCGCCCCGCGGGCAATGTTGGACTCTGGTGCGGCAGTTATGGGTCGAGACTGGGTCGTATCATATGATGCTCCATCTACACCGAGACTCGCATTGTGGCTCCTCCCGGGGAGGTGGTTGAACAGCGTTGTATGGCTGAACGAGCCCAGATATCCAGGGTTGGGGTATTTGTGTGCCTTTGTGATCATTGGATCAACGGGTAACTCTGAGTCTGCAGCTCTCGCCGTACTTTGTGGCGATTCTTGCTGCGTTCTTTTATTCGGCGAGCCTTCCTCTTCGCCCATGGGCCGTTTCTTCTTCTTGAAAGGTAGCAGCCGATATGTGCATTCCGTGGTGCGGTTTGAGTCGCGGCAACGGGTGCACACTGGCCTGGAATGGTCGCAGGCGAGTTTGGCAGCTCGGCACGGGTCGCAAGCCGGGAGTTTCCTCGGAGTGCCCGGCTTCCTCGACACCATGGTCAGGGTGTCGTTTGAGAAGTCATTCGCGCTTTGGTGATGGAGAATTGTATCGAAAAAGCCGCTCTCATATGTGGTGCGTGCTGATTTGATGCTCCACTGAGTCCACTCCGTCTAGCTTCCGCTCGATTGCTAGTGAAGGAGAAACTTTCGGTAGTAGAGATTATAATGTGGCCACGATGACGGTGCCGTGCTGGAGGTGGAACAGCCTGGGGTAAATTCTTAGGTTTCAATCAGCCCCCCATGTAGTTGGGAAGCGATCCTGGGATGTAGAAGAGCCGATGGGCGGAGTGTAGCATTGCATGCCGGCTGCCGGGCTTGAAAGGCGTGCTTTTGCCTCCGCTGGAATTCAGATATCAGGGGCGTTTGAAGGATAGTCCGAGCCAAGGCCGGTGACTGAGGGCATTAAGTCTTCCGTTGAATCGCTTTGATGCCTTTCACAGTTAGAAGAAGAGAATGAGGAATCATTCACTGGCTGGTTGGTTCGTTCTGCTTCTCCCCTTGGCTGAGTCTCCATCCGGTTCGGGGATCGGTGCTCGGATATGATCCACACCGACGCCCTTGAGGTTGTTTACTTGTTGCGTCATCGGCTTCAAACAACAAGGGACACTTTGGCCGGCGGGAGACCTGCGCGTTTGAATGAGTCGGCTACCTACGGCTTAATAATGCAAGCGTGTTGAGCCCCCAAATCAAAGTCGTATCAATTCAGGTTGGCAAACTTATCTGACCTGACGGCTTGTTCAAGTATATTTGTGCATTGGCTACCTATATGAGCACTGGAAAGTGTCATATCGAGCCGGTAACTCGCCGTTTGCAGGGAGAGACACTTCCTTGCTCCCGTTTTGCGACTTCTCCATGTCCCATTTCTTGATCGTAGGCCCCTTTCTCCTCCCAGATTTATACAGCAGAGTGGCAAAAACCATCATAGGGACGAGAGACAAAACATATACAACGACATCCACTGGCCGCATGCTGGGGCCCTCTGATTGCCCTCCAGAGTCTCCTTCATGACTCAGCCCAATAGGCATGAATAGGGGCCAATTCAACAAGAAATTGACTACTCTAATGGCCAAGAAACCAAAAGAGAGAACACCGACAAATAAGAATATAGGAAGATAGCTAGGCCCGAGCACTGCTGGCAGTTTTGTCACGGGGGTTTTGTTCCAGTTCTGGTCGATGAAGCCTCCATTGCGTCGTTCTGCGGCAAGTTCATTAACCAGCTTCATATGTTTCTGAGAGATAATCGTCTTAATCTATTCTCTTGAAGTTAGCGAAAGTGTTATATTTTCTTAAGCTGATGCTTGTTTTGGTTTGCTTTACCATCTTTCGCTAAATCTTCAACCTGCTTTGAGTATCAGCGACAAAGCTTTCTAGCCCTTCCAACTTCATGGCGGAAAAATGCACAGTTGAGACAAGCTTTCTGTGGATCTTTTCAATCGCTTCACGACTTAAATCATCTTGATCGGTTACCTCGTCAATATCAAACACTGAACACATATCCCAGAATGTATCTAGTGCTTCTTCGATCCCCTCCAAGACTGCACCATAATCCTTGGTACTGTTTGACGTTGTGTCTCTGTAACATTCGGCCATCTCCCGAACTAGAGCATCCGTGTCGCATGGTATTGCAAATACCATCACTTCGCTGCCAGACTTTGCTTCCTGGCACTGAGCAACGTTGTATTCAAGCTGTTCGAGGCGCGCGCGGGCATCGTAACAAGATTGTGTCTTGTGCGCAGTCAACTGATAAGATGCTAAAAGAACCGGAAGTGAGATGGGATGGAGCATTTGCTGTGGCAAAGCTCTCATCTGAGCGACTACTTCTGCTAAATTAGACTTGGGTGACCCTCTGAGGTATCCGCAAGTGAGCCTGGTTTGGAAGGAGTACGACAGTATCATCTCACAAACATGCGCTTCTCCGTTATCGCCGTCAAATGACTGGCGATGATTCAAAGCTGTAGGTATGTGTCTGTTAGCCCTAAGATTTCTCGACATTGTATGACCATCAAACGGGAATAGAAACACTTACCGAGATAAGAATCACCATCAGCTCCGTCTTCGACAGCCCAAAATGATGAACCAGATGTAGAGCCTGCATCGACACTTCTCTTGTTTAGATGAAATGCATTGAACATCTCCCTGTAAAGCTGTTTAGGCAAGGATATTGCGCGACTGGTGGGTGTGTCAAGCTGAACTACACCCGTCTGTATTCTGGTGCACCTCAGTAAGTGATCGTGCCCACGTCTGAGACATCGAATGCTAAAAGGTAGATCTTACATTAATCTCATACCGCCAATGCATTTCAGACTATTGCCCGAAGGAACTGGTGGTTTAAATGCTCCCTATCACGCGTTCAGCTAATTAGCGCAACCAACCACATTTCCCGCCGTGGTATCTCGAAACTTACTCGGCGGTATAAGAAGTCGGACGCATTGTTAGAAAATAACTCATACTCTTTACACGAGTTGTACGCTGGGTCCTAGATTATGTTGCAATATCTCAGAGTCGGGACTTGAACAACGATAGAGGGAAAACAGTAAAGGCCGCAGCACAAACCGTGTAATTGAAAATCTCGAGGCCAGTCAGAGTCTCAGCAAACTCTTTGCAGAGCTCCAAAAAGCTATCAAACACATGATCTTCCATTTTGGACCGGTAGAAGAACCGGCGGGAGCCGCAGTGAGGTCGAGGAAAAAGCGATTGGGCGAGTGTCGAAAGGATTGAGAACACAGAAAAAGATCGGCTTATAAAAAAAAAGCGCAGGCATAAAACCTGACAGCTCATGAATCTCGCTTCCGGTTGAAGTCATGAAATAATTGGCTGCCTTGGAGGGCATGAATAGGATTCTCCACGTCTGCAGGCAGCATTCATGCGCGTGACGTGGATACACATAATCGACCACCCAGTCCTGCTATAAGCTCTGACTAGATTTTTTAATAGATATATTTCGACCCCAGAGAAGATGCGCAGTTCATATGGCAATTGTGAACCATGGCAGTAGTAGCTTTAAGTTGAGCCGTAAAGCCTTGAAGATTGGGCCCCTCCACAAAAGGTGTTCAAGGACGACCGTTTGTTGACGTGCATTATGCAGCGCTGCGCCTTGACAATCCCGCCAGCGGTTAATAATGGACTAAGGCTAAATCTCCAAAAAAAAGTATACTTAGCTGCCAATAAATAAGACAGAGAGTATACGAAGGCTATTTGTTTTGGACTGGGTATCGTTTCATTGTAGGCGAGCTCTTTCGCCATCCTGATGGTTCAAAAGGTTTTCTTTAAGAAGAGATCGCCAGAAAACTGATACTCTTCTACTAACAACTCTGTGAACTCCAATAGCTCAGTTTTTGACGACCAGTGTAAGGAAGGACTATTGAAATAGAGAGCAGAATCAACTTGTCTTGAGAGAGGCTAATTCTTAGACGCACATTTGGGGCCAAGCAATTTTGTGAGTTACCCTACTTTCTCCGGAACAGGATCCAAAGACAGAATAATGTGCGCCCATGAGTTTGTGCAGACCTATTTGAGTTCCTCCAACAGGCCCGGGATAGTGAGCTCCTCCTTTTTGTCTGAAGCCGTCTTGCTACACGGTCCATGCTTTACGACGCGGTGAGTTGGTGCCACTCCATCCTTGAATGGAATTTGCAAGGCAATTGCCGGAATATCTGACGGGTACTCGGTGTAGTGGCCAACTCCCACAGTATCAACGGCTACTATCAGTCCATTTTCGCCGTCTTTAATCCATAACTCGTCATCGCCCTCTGGAAAGGTGATGTGGGCTGATCCCGAGAGCAAGGCGAAAAACCTCAACTGAAATAAGTGATTGTTCCCTCATAGATAGTTGTTTGGGCAGGAGAGGACTCACATCGGATGCGGTGGTTTATGAAGGCCCTCACCAGACCTGGGTGGCAGGATGACATATGAGATATTGGACACGTCTGCAAGGCCATTGACGGCCGATCCCATAGTCGGGTATTCGGTAAAGGCAGTGGAAAACTCCCAGCATTCAAACGCGGCATTTTGGTCCCTGTCCGATACGACTGCTGTCAGCTGGAGGTGATGCTCTGGGGTGGCAGAACGAGCACAAGCGACGCCCAGCATGAGCAAGGCCAGTGAGCGAGTCTGAAACGAGCCCATTGTTTGGAACTGTGGTAGAATGTATAGTGCAGTCTTAGACTTTGCTTAGAGCGGTAGCGATATGCTTTTAACTTGTGTAGGCGAGATCATGGAATGGAGGAGCTCCGACAACGGAAGCTTACGCGGTGTCATCAGATCAGCAAGGGAGAGGGGAGATGTAGACGGTTAAAAGTCGGTGGGATGACTGAACCAAGGCAATCAACGTCTCGAACAAGGAAATGCTGGGGTTGTCAAAAGCAATGTGGAAGTAATTTTCGATCGTTTCCTTGGCTTAAAATGGATCTAGTCACGGAGAAAAACAGGTGAACCAAGGAGTTGCCGGCATATCCGGCTTCTGGTTATATGTCATTCAAAACTTATCGCAATCTGGTCCAGAGAACATTACATTGCCTCCAAGCAGCATGATCACCCATGATTTAAACATATCCTTAGACTAGCACGCAAGTCTATCTAGGTAGTGGAAATAAATAGTTGAGTTGGCAACACTGTAGAGAAGTTTTCGAGGTCGCAAGCAGTAGGCGAACAGAAGTGCAAGGCCAGAGAGTTGAGTTTAGAATATACTGAATCAGAATATTACGGTAAGTTGATAGCCTTGGGTCCTACTGGAAAGAATAGTAGACTAGGTAAATTAGAAGAACGCTTAAAGGTTCTGATTCCCCATGATATACACAGGCTACTATTAAGGAAGGTAAACGATATAAGATATAAGTGCCAATTTTGCTATTATTCGTCATTACATACGTCGTTATGAATGCTAGATGCTCCCATCGTTCACCCAAGTTAAATCAGCTCCCCCATCCAGGCGTCAATGAAATCCCTCTGTTGGGCGAGCCACTGTTTCATCTCGTTGGCATCAAAATCACGGCCGTAGCGCTTATGCTCCATAATCTTCTTGAATTGGTGACGAGAGCGAGCCTCAATGACATCCAACCTGTACCTTGAGTATTGGTAGTAGAGGTCCTCCTTATGGCTGATGGGACGGGAGCCAGTAAGGATGATCTCATCGGTAACGAGGGGATCCTTGGGGCGAAATGCCGTGACGATAGCGATCCGCTCGGGGATTCCCTCGGCAGTTAGAGCGGCGTGCTCGATATAACGGCCTTGCATGATACATGAGGTACCCATGCTGGGGCCGCGAACCTTCATGATATCACCAGTGCCCATGCGCATGGCTGTTTCGCCTCCGGTCATGCCAGTGCAGTCGGAAAGCATCGTGACACAAACAAATGGAAAGCTGTCGCGATGCCAGGAGAACGCAGATTTCTCGGTGCGGTTGGCATCAACTTGGCCATCCTCAAACCAGACATTGGTATGGCCAGTCTCCCAATCAGATGCGGGGACGAGATCAAGACCGGCAAGATCAGATATTACACGGAGAAACTCGGGACTGTTATAGGCATCGAAAATAAAAGGGGCGAGCCTTAATGGTTTTAGTATAAATAAGTAGCTCTCGTGGGAACTAAGCTGCATAAGATTGCACACTTACTTGGGACCGTAGCCACGGATCATGTTGGAGGCAAAAGCGGAAGCGAACTGGTTGTTTTCAAGAACTTCGGGGCTGAAGATCTCTGCTCGTATCTGCCTGATCGCTTCTGGGGTAAAGAGGCTAAACGGTTCTGAGGCAGCGATGTGAGATACACCCTCTCCGCCAAGACCGATTTCTTCCATGGTGTATAGCTTGGAGGGCTTCTTGAAGTTGAGGTGCTTCGTAGCATCAAATTGAACAGGCTGACGTGCTAGACCTTCGTTGATCATGTATTGAGGCAGCTTCTTGGTAGGTCGAATGGGGTTGGCGTTCGTGGGTCCGACTACCTTGGGCGGTGCTTTACGCACAATAGGCGTGGGCGTCACTTGAATAACCGCGGGCATTTTGCTTTGTGTAGTTTAGAATTACCAGGGGAATGTTTTGATGTGTTTAGAAAATCGATGAAGGCAACGCTAGGCTTCAATGTTGGATCTGATGCTTGATGCTGGACATGGCTACAAGAGCAATGAAGACCCAAGAGAAGAGGTTACCTCTTTATATCTATTACATCTGCCCAATGTGTTTCAATGACAGGCGCTACCCCAGCTTCCGCCTAAGATCCACAACTCTGAGTTCCGGGAGGTCTAGCCCAGCCTGGTTATCTCCATGAGAACTACGGTGATACAGGGATCGGATGATACGAGCTCGCTTATCACACCGATATGTACGTTATATGCATGGATAGCTGTTCCCAATCTATATAAATACCCAAGATAGACTCCACGAGACATGTAACAGGATGTTAGGCGGGTCCGTACCTGCCGAGTGCTGCTCCTATGTCTGGTCCTTTGAATGGGTGAACAAGGCTTATCAGGAGTCACCTGAACATCCCTTCCCTGCCCACATGACCTCTCACCAGGCATAAGACTCGTTCATACATATCTAAGCTGAGTCCTTGAACCTATTTCTCTAATAGTTATTCGAACGACATATCGTGCATGAGCACTCACGTGATCGGGCAACCCTCACGCCACCTCCCCGAGAACTCAGCCCGCCGGCCGCGGATAGATACTGAAATCCGACGGTGCCTGTTCGAAAAAGCTACTCACATATCCATGGTGAGGAAGCCAGATAGAAAAGTTACTCTACTCTAAGTAAGTACTATTACAGCAATTGGTTTGTGCATCAATTTCTGAGCTCGCCTTGACTTGGGCTGACACAATGAAACCGTGATGATCTGAGGCGGCATCTACGGAGTTGAAGCCGGGCAAACAAACTTCATGTCTGAAACTATTCCAAATTTGTCCACAATCCTGAGAGCCACCCATATCTCGCAAAGTCTCTGCGCGTGACATGATTATGCGCTATTGAATTCCAAACTCGTATCTGCTCTTTCCAATACAGGGTTGGGCATCGATGGAGTTGACTGAACCCTATCATGCTCGGATGGAAACAGTTCCAGCGATGGTGAAGCAGCATATCGAGTTCACCATACCATCATCATTAATCTAACTGGACCGCGCTCAAAGAGATCGAAGCCTATGCCCTTTCATGACTTCATTGAGATGGTTTAAAATTATTGGTCATGGCTCCAACAACTACAGGTAGGGTAGGATATCCTACGATATGGCTAGTTTTCCAAAATCTCTTCTTCTGCGATAATCAGTGACATAAGAAGGAATGCGTGCATTGTGTCCAACGGGAAAAGCGTAAGAGTAGATAGGCATTGTAACGGTAGCAGTTTGAGGAGCGACCACGATCGGAGGTTCAATCCGAGGGAGATAAGAGCGAAAGCCAATACATGTTCCGCCTGACTGGTGAACCGCCCGCAATTCTCGGCCTAATTCCCGGCTTGCTGAATCATTACCTTGATGGTCACTCCCGAGTTATGGACCATCTAGAGCCGAATTATCTGGGAAAGCACCCCGTTAAAGATTGCTATACGGCCAAAAGTTCTCCGAGACCGGAAACGTAAGTTATAAAGAGCAGATAGATGTACGATCACCCAAAGATTATCGCAGAAGGTGTAAGACGCATTCATATACTCGTAGATGGATAAGTATGGAGCATAAGCTATCGCAATGTTACACTTGGAACCTACAAGTTGCAAGTTCGGAATACTAAAAAGAAAAGAAGGTAAGAGATGATAAAAGTTAAGCTGAAGCGTGAAGACGAGGTTGAAGCGTATACCGGAGGGTGAGAGCATACATGTATCCTAGGATGCTATTTACATGGATGGTCATATGCTCTGGCGAAGCCCGAATATAACCTCACGGGAGCTAAAAAAGACCTTGATATCAGTAACTATTTCAAGATTATAGAGTTTTCAGAGGGAATATCGCAAGCCTCTGAGGGATCAACTGAGATGGCGTGGCTGGCCGGTCAATATGGTCGGCAGCATGGTCAACGGCGACCCTGTTGCGTTCCACAACCAAGAAGGGCACCCCGGATCGTGGTCAGGCAGATGCTAGGGGTGGCGAACAGTAGGATGCAGGAGCGGAAGCTTAACCTTGTGTTGATCAACTGCGGGACAAACGACGCCGACGTTGGCAACAATCAGGACATTCCTGGCACTAGGCGCCGGATGGAGGATGTGCTCGAGTTTCTTTATTCAAACATGACCGACGTCACAATCATCCTCTCAACACTCATACCGCACAAAGATACAGCTAATGCGAACGTCACCCTTATCATTCATTAGTATCGCGCTCTGGCACAGCGTCTTGAAAACGTGGGAAGAAAGATCGTGTTTGCAGAGCTAAACAATGGTTTATTGGACCCCAATACAGACTATGCCATGAACGATGACATCCTTCCCAATGAGAAAGGGGCTACGAAGCTGGTCTAGGATAGCCGGGAAGTGGCTGATGTTTTTCAAATTATCGTTGAGACTCGGACGCAAAACATGATTTTAGGGATGATAGTTACGAGGACAGGTGTATGCGTGTACGTTCGTGCGTTTGAGAGAGACAGTGGGCTTGTATTGGCTGGCCTAGCTATCTATCCCTCTCCCTGGTTTCCTTCCTCCTCTCCTCCCCAGTTGTGTGCAACCTCGGCAGCTGTCTTCACGCGAAGCAGCTAAAGGCAGCGGCGGTTGTGATCGCCTCTCTGCAACGATTTGCATTTTGAGATCAGATAAGTCAGCTAAGGGCTGTACTTTGCATCCTGAGGGCTTTCAGTTTCAAAATACTCCTCTTCAAAAGAGTTATTCTGACTATTAAGGTAGTTAGAGAGTTTAAAAAGGAAGAAGAGGAAGAGGATGAAGAATTCTAGGCCGGAATAACTCCTTTGAAGAGGAGTATTTCAAAACTGAAAGCCCTCTGGATGCAAAGTACAGCCCTTAGCTGACTTATCTGATCTCAAAATGCAAATCGTTGCAGAGAGGCGATCACAACCGCCGCTGCCTCTAGCTACTGGAAGATCACCGTGAAGACAGCTGCCGAGGTTGCACACAACTGGGGAGGACTGATGTCGAGGTTCAGAGGCAGACCGGGCGAGATCTGTTGGCAAGCGCAGGCTCGGTTGGATGTTTGAACTGGAGTGTGCAGAGTCGAATGGTTCGACTGACGGAGAAGGTGGTGTATTTGGAATGTGGCGATGTCACTTGACTTGTCTGTGAAGCGACGAAGGCAGCGATGTGTGACACTTGGCTTGTTTGCGACGACGAAGATCTGCGAAGATTGTCGATATGGACTTGAGCTGTGCAGTTCATTCAGGCCAGCAACAGCAGCCTTTAAATAGATGAAAATCAGCATCTTAAGGTTCGAAAAAGGAGTCATACCGGCGAAAGAGTCACTGCCGGGCACAGCCTTTGGTATTAATAAACCTTATATAGAATACGAATACACCTATTTTGGTATTGAACCTTAGATACGGCCGGGCACAAGGCTCGTAGCCGGGCATAAGGCTGAAGTTTATTGTGTTGTGATGCCTGGGTATGGTGTCAAGTTATCAAATAACTGGTATTTGGAATTTTCCCCTTTTTTTTCAGCAGCTGTACAGCTCCCTAACTTACTACTACTACTACTATGGGATGATATGCCTTGGGGGGTAACACAATCGGTAGCCATTGGGTTTCGGGTATCCTGATCCGCTACGTTCATATATTATCATTCGGCTTCGCAGAATACTTGAATAACCAAAGGGGCGTGAACAAAGTACTCCATTCAGCACTGAGGCGTAGACGGTGCAAGAATGATGGGCACTTGTCGCTTCGAAAAGACCGCGAATCATGGACTTGAAATGAAAATTATTCTCAAAATTGAATCCACAGCAATAATGAAAACCACGCATCTTTTTCATCCCCTTCGTGAAATACTTGGCCTCAAGCGAGAAGCTACAGGATTTAACTAGCTCCATTGTCTGCTCAGGGGTAATGGCGTGACTACTTGACGTTGAACGGCGAAATCACCCGTTACGCGATGCTCTATCCCATTGGAAGTTGAAGGGTCCACGCTATATAATTGGAGTGTTGTATTCGTACAGTTTTACGCAGCATTCCAGCTGTCAGCCACGAAATATCGGGTAAGCTTGGGGCAATAAACATGACTCATAACAGCTCATCACTCTTTCATGAAAAGTTTTCTCAGAGTACGTCTAAGTGGAGGACAGAGGCAAAGATGTCATCGCAAATGAACATTGGCCCCGTCAATATAAATCGCCCTCCAGCTAAGAATGATAGCTATGTGCCATTTCATACTCTTCACAGCCTAACTTTGTCACTCTTTCACTTCCGAGCCACTTATCGTCAACATGAGACTAAAGGTCAGGGCAGCGGTGCTCAGTGACATCCCTAACTTGATGGAGATATACTTCGTGGCGTTCAAAAACGACCTCGACAGGCTTTACTTCCCGGATACCCCTCAGAATCGGTTATGCTGGACAAAGGAGCTGCAAGATGATATTGTCGATCCCGATCAGCAAATTCAAGTAGCCATTGACTCCTCGAATGGGGCCGAGGCAATAATTGCCTGGGCGCAGTGGGTATGTTACGATGCCGAGGAAGTTGCTGTCAAGCCGACGTACCTGGATGAGCAATACTGGGTGGAAGGGTCCGTCGCCAAGAGCCCAGAGATGGAGTACGAATTGTCTCCCGACGTGGAAGCTTCCACCGTGCTCGACTATCTCACGGAGCAGTGGGCAACCCACGCTCGGAACGCCCCGAGAGACCATTGGTGTAAGACTTCTTCGGCCTTGGACAGAATGGTTAGTAGAATGAACACTGACCATGTGAAGATCTTGAAATTATTGCTACAGACCCTAACCATCAACGTCGAGGTGCTGGATCGTTTCTTCTTGAGGAAGGCCTGATTCGCGTTGATAAAATGGGGCTGGAGGTGTATCTGGAGGGAAGCCCCATGGCAGTGCCACTATACAAGAGGTTCGGATTCGAGGAAAAGGCATCAATCACGTTCACATCCCCAGTTCAAACACGTCATCAGATCATCATGCTCCGGGAGCCTGTGCAGGAATGAAACGGGGAGAGGCGCGTATATGCATCGAAGCGGAATATCTGAATGTGAGAGTTGGTGAAGGCGTCGATGACTATCCTGAACCATTTGATCCAATCTTACCACTTCCTCGGACCTGGATCTCTCAGTTCTGGAGGTCAAAGATATTCAAATTTAGAAAGGACAAAGAGTCGTTATATTTTGACTCTCGGATTGCTATTACCTGACTATGCTTCCTCCAGCTACCAACAAAGTAACACAAGACAAATGTCTCTCTAGAATTATCCCGAGTAGCCCGCTTATACTTTACTTGCCATACAATATAGGAAAGCATACTAGAGGCGCTTTGTCTCACAGATAGACAACAGTGATCATTATAGGAGGAGAGTTTGAAGACATTGTAATCTTACGTCTTTGTCCCAGTTTTGGCGTGATATGATATGATGAAATCTAAAATAAAATGAAACATGATATGCTAGTAACAAGAACAGAAAATGGTTGAGAAAACTGAAAGGTGCTCAAGAGAAACAGGCATTGTTTACCTCCAAACTCCATGCTGTCTTATTCTAGCACACCGGAACTTTGCAACAGCCATTTCACATTTCCGATTACCTCTTCTTCGCTGCTTTCAGCATCCACAGGAAGAACATCTACCTCCTCTACACCAGGGGCTTCATAGGTCTCCAGCTGCCCCTCAACCATTTCTTTGCTCATATAATGGTCCTTTCTCGACTCCAGTCTCTCAAGAAGAACCTGCTCGGACGCCTGTAAGTCCACAAATACTGCCTTGATGCCTTTCTGGGCGAGCGTCTCCCGTAAATTGGAACGGTACGACTGCTTTAATGCGGAGCACGAGACAACGGCGGTAGTATAGTCCAGGTCAAGCAGCACTTCTGCCGCGTGTGTGGCCAGGCGAGAGAGCCACCCGGACCGATCTTCATCGAGGATCGCGGTCCCGGAGCGCATCTTCTCAACAGCGGCACGTGTGTGCAAGCTGTCGCCTTCGACAAACGGGGACTCGATCCACTGAGCAATCTGCTTTCCGATTGTGGTCTTGCCAGTACCGCAAGGTCCAATGAAAATGATGGCAGTCTTGCCGCTGGCAGCACTGGGCGGCGACCACGCATTCTTCGTGAAATAGGTAATGAATTTCTTGACGAATGCCGGATCGAGAACAGGAGCCTGGGCGAGCGCTGGGGACAGAGAGCAAGCAACTTCGGTGGCGAATGCCTTTGAAGGTGAGAACTCCTCCTTGTCATACTTTGACGCGAAGAAGTCCACGAGCTTGAACGGGGGGTTGACCTTTGGATCTGGGTTTGATGCCCGAAGTCGGCGGATCCATTCTTTGGGCTCAACTTCCTCAAAGGAAAGGCCTGTATCCTTCAGCGCAGGCAACAGATCCCGGACGAAATCGAACGTCTTGGGGTGCGTAACGTTTGTGAAGACACTTCCGGCTTCAGAGAGCGAGATATCGGCAACTGCTTCGGCCACGATGTCAACGGGTAGCCATGATGGGGTTTCCTGCAACTTGGGCAGGGCACCGATAGTCACAGCCGTCTGCATCAGCATAGGCACGGCCTCTTGAGCATTCCACACTCCGTGCTTTGTATCGCCAACGATCTGGCCGACGCGCAATACTCTGGCCGTGACGCCTTGGCTGGCAGCCTCAGCACACAGGTGCTCGGCGACAGACTTGGACTGCGCGTACCCCATTCCCTGGGCCCATTCGAGGTTCGGCAGCTGCTCTGGGACCGGAACGACGGTAGACCGGGTGACGGTACTCACGGACGAGCAAAAGTTCATGGAAGCCTTGGAAGCGTGGCAGAGGGCAAGGAGGTGGTGCACACCGGCGATGTTGCCCTTTTCGAAACTTGTGAGTTGCATGTTGAAGTTGACCGACCAGGCACAGTGGATTACAGAGCGAAGGTTCTGCGACACCAGAGAGTAATTCTCGTCCGAGAGGCCTAGCTTCTGGTCTGCCAGGTCTGCTGGGAAAGCAAAGATCTTGCGCCTGGCCTCGAGAGACAAGGTGTGGAAGATCTTTCGTTGGATCAGTGATTCGACGACGCGCTTCTTTGCCGCCTCAGGGTTTGATGCGCGGACAAGGCAGTATACGTTTGAAATAGCAGGATTTTCAACCAGCTTGGATAGCACATGCGCTCCGAGCGAGCCTGTAGCTCCGGTGAGGGCCTTTGGGAGACATCATAGGTAAGTCAAAGCTTGGAGGCATGAAAGTAGGGATGATACTTACAACTGATGAAGCAGGTGAGGCTTTGAGAGTCTTATACTTCTCAATCAGACTTGACATCTCCCCCTCGATAGAGGCTCCCTCGTTTCCGTCCTGGCCGGTACTGAGGCTATACAAGTAGTCACTGAGCTTGGCAATGGATGGGTTCTCGAAAACAACGTTTTGGCCGAGCTTGATACCTTGTCCAAGGTCGACATTTTGGAGGATGTGGCTGCGCATCTGGATAGACTGAACAGAGTCGAGACCGAGATAGAAGAAGTCTGCGTCGTCTTCAATCGATGACTTGAGAGACAACGTCTTGGTGATGAGCTCTTGGACAAAGCGGCGCATGCCAGGCTGATCCAGCTTCTCGCGGTTTTCGTTGCTGGCTTCCTGCTCATCATAGGCCTCCTCGATTTGGTCCTTGAAAGTCTTATAGAATGCTTGTCGAATGATGCTTCCCTTGTCAGTGCGTGGGTACTGGCAGTCCGTTGGAAGCAGCTTGATCATGGTCTTGGATATACGGCCAAACCCGTCGACTGATGCGTTCGCTTCGTTGACCACCTCCCAGACGCTATCCAGGATCTCCTCTTTTGACTTTCCGGCCAGAAGTGAAGATGGCACAATCAGAACTCCCAAATATGGGCGGCCGGCACCGAATACGACGGCTTCGGTGATGAGCTTGCTAGACCGCATCTTGCCCTCCATACCAACAGGGCCAAACTTCTCTCCGTTGACCAACACGATGGTGTCATCCAAACGTGCAATGTACTTCCATGCTCTGGGAATAGTTGGGTGCGGTTCAAACAGATCTTTGGTGTGGTAGGACCCATCAGGCTGGTTGGACTGGACCTTTGCAGGCCACCCATCCATGACAGTACACTCAAACAGGTTGGGTCCTCGAGGGATCCATTTGAGATACGGTGAGAGAGCGTCATGCTCGCGCACATAGTTCCAATCCTTGTCGCCGTTCGGGCGGAACGAAGTCATGAGCTGGCCAACTTCAGTACTGCAAGGCGTTAGAACCTAGTTTGATACGTGCTGCGAGAATATGAGATGTGACTTACGCTCCATAGTGGCCGACGAGATTGACGCCATTCTCTACCAATGCGTTGCCGAGCTCATCTGGGCACGCTGAGCCACCGTACATAACCATGCGTAGGTCTCGGAGAAGACGGATACCCTCATCTGCCTCGGAGAGAAGCTTGAGGGCATAAGGCACGCCGTAAAAGATTTCGAACTTGTTCTGTCGAAGAATTCGTACCAGGTAATCCTGCGTCAACGGCAGGTCTGCGTTATAGAAATAGATGGGCACGCGAGCATATATGGCGCGGAATAAATTGCAGATGCCGTGGTTGTGGTACAGTGGGAGGGTGATCAAGGCCTTCATTTCCATGCTCTTTGCGTAGTTGGCAATGCAAGCCTTGTGTGTCTGATAGATGGGCTTTGGAAGACCCGTAGAGCCTGTATAGTGTTAGCGAGGGGCTCTTAAAGGACCTGGTTTGGTCAACGTACCGCTGGAATGAATGATGAAGGCAATGTTATCCTGCTCAATCTTGGGGTCCAAGGCCTGGTCCAGTTTGGTCTCGGCGTGGACCTCGATTGGGAACTCAAAAACGCTGCGAGGCGCAATCTCGAGTAACTCGATTGACATGCTGTCGGAAACTTTTCCTGCAAGCTCGAGGAAACGGGCTTCAGCAATCAACGTCTGCGCGCCCGTAACATTCATCAAGTTCTCGATGGCAGGCTGGGGGATTCTGGTAGAGAGTGGTAGAACAGTGTGTCCCAGCTTGGTGAGGGCGAGCAACGTGATGAGATATTCCAGGTTCGAGGGGCCCAAGAGCGCAATGACTCTAGGCTTCTCCGCAGAGGAAGAACGGACCGGCAAGGACTGCTCATATTGCTTGGCTACTCTCCAGGCAAAGACGTCGAGTTGCTGGAGTGTGTAATTGACAAAGTCGATGCCAGAAGAAGGATATGAAATGGCATGAATGTCGGGGTTGCTCCTAGCTCGCCGGCGAACCAGCGAGTCAACTGTGAAGAGATCGGAATCATCGCCGATGATCTCTGCCTGCGGTGGAAGAGTCTGCTCGCTCTCTGTGACCTGGAGGGCTCCTGGGGCGTTTTGAGCACTAATGGAGGCAAGCATCTTGGATATCTTTGGAAGAGAAAGACCCAGTCTATGCTAAGGAGTGTGTGAAGACGAGATATCTATGGTCTACAGATCTCGTGAGGACCTCACTGCTTATGAATAATGGTAGCACTGGAAATACCACGGCTACTAACATCGAACTCCACGTATAAGGACCACATCTGGTTAGGAGGCATTAACCAACGGCGGGATTATCGGCAGGTCGACGGAAAATTGCCCGTCTGTTTCCCCAATGGGGAGGAAAGACATGGTCTCGAACAATTGCAGACCTGCAGTGCTCGAGTAGCAACTCCAAGGCGGGGAACAGAGAAGCCCACCTTGGAGAAGTGACACTCTTTGCGGAGAGTGATGCTGGGCCATCACAAAATCTACGGAGAGCGGATTCTACGGCTCCAATTTCGGCATAAGAAGGGTCGGATTTCTATATCACTGGCTGACTGGTTACGGGAATGACGTTAACCCCTGAGCAGTTTGAAGCTTCCCCGCATCTCCAACGGCCCAGAACAGAAGTTCGGGTGACGGCGACTTTTCCGTATATCCTCATCTGGTAAGCTCCATTCATCCCCCAGTGTACACTAGAGCAGCCGGTTGTCACATCCGGCACATGCAATCCGGGGTGGGTGTGGGGAGTAGAACCATGGAGAGAGCAAGATGAGGGAGTGACATGCTACGATTCTTCCCAGCAACCCGATCAAAAGATCTATATCATCTATAGCATGCTCCTGAAGCACCCGAGCGAGAAGACAGGAGCATCGCCATCTTCCTTTCAGTCTTCACTTCATCCTCCATCTTGTTTTACGTTGTGATACCCAACCGTGACAATGGCCGTTCCATCCACCGAAAAGCCAGACATCACAATGATTGATGATCGGTCGATCGACCGGGCAGACGCCGAGAAGGGGCAGAACATCCGAACCATAGACAACTTCCGCGTTCTAGGTTTGACTGATGATGATGTCGACTTCTACGAAAGCTTTTCCGATGAAGCGCGAAAGAGAGTAGTTCGCAAGGTAATTCCTTCATACTCTGTTGAGTTTAGGGGCGGCTCTCGCTAAACACCGCAATAGGTTGACGTTCGCCTCATCCCCATGCTTGCTATCCTGTATCTTATCTCTCATCTTGATCGTACGTGCAGCGCGTGAAGTCTTCTATTTCTGCCCCAGATCTTTTCTCTGACCCTTCCATAGGAGCCAACATCGGAAACGCCAAGATTGAGGGACTCGCAGACGATCTACACCTGACTGGACTCCAATACAATCTAGTCCTCTCTCTATTCTTCATCCCTTATGTCCTCCTCGGTAGGTATTTCTGCAACGACTCCTTGTTTCAACCACTAACACACCCTCAACAGAGGTGCCATCCAATGTACTTCTCAAGAGGTTCAGCCGGCCCAGTCTTTATCTCGGAACCCTCGTCACGTCTTGGGGCGTCATCATGACCCTCCACGGCGTGACCAAGAACTTTGGCGGCCTCCTCGCTGTCCGGATGCTCCTGGGTGTCATGGAGGCTGGATTCTACCCCGGCGCCGTCTACCTTTGCACCTTCTGGTACATGCCAAAGCAGCTGGCCACCCGCATCGCCTACTTCTACTGCACCAGCGCTCTCTCCGGCGCCTTCTCCGGCCTGCTCGCCGCCGGCATCGCGCAGATGAACGGCGTGGGAGGCTACGAGGGCTGGAGATGGATTTTCATCCTTGAGGGCATCGCGACGGTCGTTCTGGGCGTCGCCTGCTTCTTCCTCCTCATCGACTCCCCCCGCCTCTCCACCGGCTGGCTCACACCCGACGAGATCCGCTTCCTCGAGCTCCAGGGCTTCATCAAGCAGGGCGGCCGCTTCAGCGACATCGAACAGGAGAAGAAGTTCAACTGGCACGACCTCAGGATGGTCCTCACCAACTGGCGCCTCTACCTCCAGGCCTACATCCTGCTCGTGCAGTCCGCCTGCAGCTACGGCACCAAGTTCACCCTGCCCACCATCGTCAAGGGCATGGGCTTCACCAGCACCAACGCCCAGCTGATGACCGCCCCCGCCTACGTCGCCGGCGGCATCTCGTCCATCCTGTTTGCCCGCCTCTCTGATCACTTCCACTGGCGCATGCCTTCTTGCGTAGCCCCCCTGACGATCATGACGATCGGCTACGCCATCATCATGGGCCTGCAGGGAGATCTCAAGGGCTCACACATTGGACCTGGTTACTTCGCCATCGTCCTCACCACAATCGGCATATACCCGTTGAACCCCGCCGGCAGCGCCTGGGCGGGTTCCAACCTGGCGCCAACAAACCGCCGAGCCATCGGAGTTGCCTTCAACATCTGCGTCGGAAACCTGGGCGGAATCGTCGGCAGCTACATGTATCTTGACAAGGAGGCCCCCCGGTACCAAACGGGTTTCGGCCTGTCACTCGCCTTTGGCGGCACTGCGATCATCGTCGCTCTTCTTCTGGAGCTGAGCTATAAGCTGGGCAATGCTCGCAAGGCCAAGTTGACGGAGGAGGAGATTCGGAACAAGTATACTGAGGATGATTTGTTGAAGCTTGGAGATAAGAGTCCATTGTTCAAGTATACGCTGTGAGGAGCTTCACACACACCGAGTTGGGAGCGTTCTTTGGTTAGGGTTGGATTGATATGAGCTATGTATGCGTATGGTGTTGGTAACTCTGTATGCTGGTAGAGGGCTTGACTTGCGTCTCAACCAGTTGAAAGCGAATGATCCTTGGTATCTTCTAATTTCGAAAATTTTAATTCTTCAGGTGCCGCAAATATGCTCGCTAAAAGTAACCATTCGACAATTAAACAACCTATCGTACGAGCTGGCTTTGTTCCAGCAGCACGCCATCATGAACCGTTGTCTCCAGTTGGAAAAACACTTTCAAGAAGATATCGTCAATTAATATTGCAATTAAGTTCCGTTTCACTTTTGATGATGATGTATTGCAATCACGACCAATATCTCTTCTCACTCCATGCTCTTCCTAAATATCATAAACTCCAGCCTGCCAGATCTGACCAGCCAGCACTCACATCGTCATAATCAGGATGTGGCCAAAACGCCTATATCCAATGTTAGCTCTGTACCAGACACCAAGTCATAACAAACTTACAGAAGAATCAAGCTGCAGCCAATCCGTCGTCTGCCAAGAATCCAAAAGGTCAAAATCAAGCATCGGCGTCTCGCCAACCGGCCCAACCACATCGAGGTGGGTTGGCTGCGCACCCAGCTGTCCATCGACCGTCCCACACTCCACCGTCTCAATCGGATTGTGCAGCGCTGGATCGATTTCCAGCCTCGCCTGCTGGCTGGTGGCTGCGGAGCGGAACTCCTCGAGGATGACGGCGTACCGGCGACTGGGCGAGTTGCTCGCAGTGGCTAGGGCCAGATGCTGCTGGCACTTCTCCGCCAGCTCGAGCAGGTTTGTCCGGGGATCAGTCGCCCCAAGGATTGGCCTTCCCAGGCGCCGCTGCTGTATCTCAAATACATAGACAACGAGGAGGGAGCAGAAGGTCACGTAATGCGTCCACCAGAATGCGTGGAAGATTGGTCCGTCTTTGGCGAGCTGGTCGACGCATTTCAGGACGGTTTTCGCGGCCGCTATACAGCCCTCAACATAGGGCTGTTGGATAGGATTCGAGTCTGTTCCGCCGAGGATGAAGAGGCGGGAGGCGTGCATTATGGCGTGGGAGTAGGCAAGTTTTAGGACAATCGCTTGGCGTCGGAACGACACGATGAGCGTCGAAGGCCGGACAGAGCCAAGGTGAAGAGGTAGGGAAGCGCGCCACTCGTGAATTCTTTGCACATGGCGGTATGCAGCGTCGATCCGCTCTTGGTGCGGGATTGGCTTAATCGTGTAGACTTCCCTGGAGATTGAACCAATCATTTGGGCAATCTTGGCATGATATATCAAGGCCTCAATATGGTAATCACCCTCGTCTTCTTCCGGAGGTTCGCATGGCTCGGACGATCCCATGTCTTCATCATGGACACAATCAGGATAATCTTGATCAATGTCATCGTCATGGAAATGGCGCGGCCGTCCAAGAATCACACCCAGATAATTATCCAGTATATATGCAGTCCAAAACGTGCGCATCCGATACTGGGAGTGGATGTAGTCTCCCGACACATTTTGTCGCTTCGACTGCCCCCGTCGGTGAAGTCCAATGGCCGAAATTATCTGCAGCGTGTTCCCAAACACATACCACGCTCTATTGAAACGTGACGTTATCAGGAGATAAATCACCTGCACCAAGCGTGCCTGTGCGGACTCCAGCTTTGGGTGCCCTGTTTCATTCTCCGTCAAGCGCCCGGCGACCCCGAACAAGACATCTCCGAGACTTGATGTTCGGTCGACGCCCCCTATAGTCTCAGACTTTTCATGGTGAGAGATAGCTATAGCCAGAGCCACGAGGACAATCGCCGCTCTCGGGCGACCGATCTCATGCCAGACTGGGAGACCCTCCTTGATGTTGTGCTCAACTACAACAAGCCACCGCTCAACCGCAGGTCGATGCAGAAACCTGTATGTTGCTATGCAGACATCGAAGTACAGATCCAGCAGCATGCGGCTCTCAGAAGGACTCGGAAGCTGAAGCCTCGTGGCCTCGTCTGCTTCCGGCAGCGGACTGTCCCCCGCCATCGTGAGCGGCTGGCTCTCCGCCGCACGCTTCGCATTGTCCGACCAAGACTCAGTCCCCTGAGACAGAAGCTTCTTCCAGGCACGGTGCAGAAAGGTAGGGCTCGACGTAGGATCCAGGATCTGACCCTCGATCTCAGCCATGCCGAGCTCTGGCGACGCGCGAGACGGTGCAGTGCTCACCCGGAGCGGCGGGTCGATATGCGAAACCACCAGCTCCTCCTCGGACGGAGGCGCCAGCGGGCTTCCCTCAGGATACGGGTGAGACGCGGATCGCGGCGGCGTAGGGGGCCTCCCTCTGGTGTACGCCGAGTCGTACCGGCACGGCTTTCCTCTGGCTTTGCACCTGGCGCAGGGCTGGTTGCCGCTGCATTTGGTCTTCCTCGACTTACAAAAGTCACACGCCCGGCTGACCTTTGGATTTCCGCGATTGGCCGTCCGCGGCGTCTCGGCGGCATTCGAGGACGAGGCTGAGGGATCAGAGGGTAGTCGACTACGTTTCCTCGGTGTAGCGACTTCCATCGACCTCGAGAATACGATGACCCGAGGGCCTCGATTTCTTCCAGGAGACGGGGAAAGTGTGGCTTCCATGTTGTTTGGAGAATGTTGGGATGGTTTGTCGATCGGAAGAGATGTTTTGCCCCAAACGGGGTAGATGGACGGAAAAGCGGATGCGGGGAGGGAAATGCGGGGGAGTGTTTGGCCTGACTCGTTTAGTTGGACGGACGAAGGGCCTTGCCACAGAGGAGCCTGGTCATTCTCGTCTTGGCTAGGGCTGGCATGAACCCTGGTTGTTGCCGTTTGCCGTTTGCCGTTGTCCCGTTATGCCTGGAGGCTGTGAGGTTGAGACTCTAAGTTGGAGATTAGTTACTTGGATGGGACATGGTTACAAGCCGGCATGTTCAGATTGGGGGCAGGCAGGGTGGCTCGATCACTTCAACATAGTCAGAATGACGCCTACGAAGCAGACAAAAACATGCGAAGGGGTGGCAGTACTCAAGTGTTACGGTTCAAGCATGGCCCTAGAGATTGTCACTATGAGTGGAAGACCACGAGGTATCGTAAATGGAGAACAGAGGAGCGCTACAAAAAAAATGGGAGAGGATATGATCGTCGACCTGAGATCATGCATTTGGAATAGGAAGGGCCGCGCCGTTGGCAGGGGAAAGTCAACGCGATCATAGAGGCCATCCGGATAGGAGGCGTCGAAGGAGAGTAACCGACGAGAGAAGCGCGGCAAGCTACCTAGGACCTGGTCAAGACCAGGAAAGACCACAAGTTCACAGACGCTCAAGAGCACATGGGCCGGCAGCAAGCCCGTGAGCAACCCGACGTAGCTCAGGCTACATCGGTGCTAGAGAATCAAGGCTCAAGCCATACTCCGCCAGGTCCGGTGAACCAAAGCAACAGTTAGCAGCAGAGGCGACGCGACGATAGACGCTTCACCACCATTATCTAGCAGCACCCGAGGCTGGATGATCGACAGGCGTACGGAGGGATAAGCAAGTCGGGCTGGAGAAGGAACATGACGCGGTCGGAGGAAGCGCGAACTAGAACCAAAGTTCGAAGGACTCTAGGGTTCAGAGGGGCTGCTCTTAGCAGCTAAGGCTTTGCCATGAAGGCGAGGGTATGGAAGATATAAATGAAGCTCGGCGTTTCCCTACGGGGCAGGGGCGGGGCATGCGGCTCGTCGTTGCATCCTCGAGGATAGCTTGTGCGTGCTTGATTTTTATGCCATCGTTCGGGTCATTGTGCTGTCGTGTGCCGTTCTCCAGTGACGGATAAGGCTGGCTGGTCGAGTCAAAGCGGCTTGACGGAGAAGTAAGGCGCTGCGTCAGTGGAAGGAGACAGGTCTTTGGTTCTTGTACGATTGATGCTGTCGTCTTGAGGGATTGGAAACACCTCTCCCTGCCGAGGCAGAAGAGGGGAGAGGAGGGAGGTTGATTCAAATGGATGGTTTTCAGGTAGGCAGGGGCACTCCCAGTAAGCACCAGCACGAGACACTGGGCGCAGAAGGAGGAGGCCGGCTGCCGGTTACCATGGCAGATAGGTCGATGGCCTTCTGGGTAGGCATGAACAAAGAATTAAGGTGGTGGATTACACCCAACAAAGAGGTTCGAAGTGATTGGATTGACGGACAAGCATCGGATAATCGTTGTCCCTGGAGGCTCCTGCGCATATCGCCACGTGACCCCAGGCGATAACGGATAATTGGTTCAGTCGCCACTGTGTACTGTCTACCCTAAACGCAGCCATCACAGATATCGGAGCAAGCAATTACCACGTTAATATTAGAATATAGCTCATACAGTGAAGAAAAACTCTATATATTTGATATGTTTTATCTTACTGAGCTTGGGCTTGACAAATTGCTCCCTGGGTGATGATGACTACTTGGTGTAGGTATTTACAATACCTTGGTTGGGCGACGATATTGAACAAGTTATACAGAGGTTGCCTGCTGACCTGCGTAAGAGAAAATAGCTGGTTAATTTATAAGCTTTAGGCGCTTCTTGCATTATTACAACATTGTTTATTCGAATATACCTCTATATCTCTATGGTGAATTTTTGATATTTTTGGTTTATTTACCAAACTTTTTCAAGTTCGCGGGTCCAGCCTCCCTTGCAATTCGCTTCACCTCCGCCTCGCCAACCTCCTCAAAGATATCGTACCCCCAGTGCGATTGCCAGTGCAGTCGCTTGCTGCGCTCCATGCCATTGAGCTGCTCATAAACATCCTCGGGTAGCTTGTGCACCTGCAGGTTGGACTCGATGCGGCTCGGCGTGACACTCTTGGGGAGAACTACATGGCCGCGCTGGACACCCCACGAGTACAGAACCTGGCCGATGTCGAGGCCCGTCTTCTTCGCTATCTCGGCGACCAGTGGGTCATCGACTGTGCGAGGCTCGCCGATTTGATTGTTGCCCAGGGGGGAGTAGGCCGTGACCTGAATGCCCTTTGATTGGCAGTACTTGAAGAATTCGGGCTGCTGGAAGTAAGGGTGCACCTCGATTTGGTTGACTGCCGGCACGACGGTCGTCTTTGATATGAGGTTGTCCAGCCTGTTTTTGTTGAAGTTTGAGACACCGATTGCCTTGACCTTCCCTGTCTGGAGAAGCTTCTCCATGGCCGTGTACGTTGCGGCGGGATCAATGTCTGCGAGCTCAAACACTCCCTCAGAATCGATGGGAAACCAGTCATCTCCAGATTTGAATGCTCTAGTAACGGAAATGCGATGTTAGCGTTCGAGTTTGGTGGCCAGTGGCATGCGACAACTTACACAGGCCAATGCATCAGGTAGAGGTCCAGGTATTCCACGCCAAGATCCTTAAGTGACTTGTCCAAGGCACCCTCGACATCTTCAGGAGCATGCTTGGTATTCCACAGCTTGCCGGTGATGAAAATCTCGGAGCGGGGGACACCACTTTTGCGAATGCCCTCACCGACCTCGACCTCATTTCGGTAGATGGCCGCGCAGTCAATGTGCTTGTAGCCGCATCTCAGAGCAGCCTCGACAGCTTTCTCGACTTGGCCGGGGGGAGCCTGCCAAGTCCCGAAGCCCACGGCTGGGATCTTGGCCCCTGTATTCAGTGTAAAATGCGTAGGAAGCGCCATTGGAATAAATTGCCTTTGGTTATTGATACCTGGTTTCCAAGTAAAATGGTTATTTTATGAGAAGAACCAAGCGGAATTGAATGCCAGCCTGACCTATTTGACAGGTATTAGAATACGGCATCATAGGATATCGCTTTGTCTTTCCGATCACCAACTTTGCCAGCGTGAATGTGGCGACGGATTAAAGTCCGAGCCCACGCAGACGTACTGCTCCAACGGCTAGCCTCTGGTATATGCCAAATCCGACGTAGTTTAACCCTCGGGTACAACATGGAGGCCTGCTTTCAGGCGCATTTGCGAAAATCCGACTACTCCAGGGGGCTTTCTCCAGCTCGGTGGAGAGGGCTGAGTGAAGACTGAGCAAGGACCGAGTCATCTCGATGATCCCGCCCTTGACGTGAAATCCATGAGCCCGCCTACATGCCGAGGACTCAGTCTGGCTGGGTGGATAATGACGTCTACACTAAAATTTTACACAATTTACAATTATTTGACCTTTCGGATTAATCCGTGCAGGCGGAGGATGTCGCCGGGTGGTTTCCGTAGGCAGTTTGAGACTCACCTGGATTAAAGCCACTTGATTGATGTCTTACGTTACAGTATTGACATTGTTGGCCTCCGCTATGCGATGCTGGAGTTGGATAAATAGCCGCCAAACTTATTAAAGAAAAGTAACAAGAGCAGCTAGTATGAGTAATAACTAATTCAGACGGTCGGATTAATTGCCAGGAATCATCTCCGTGCTGCGGCCAATGTTTAGAGAATGTGTAATTGCAAGGGAGTAATCAAGTTGATATTCTTCCTTTAGAAAGATATATAGCCCTTAAAAAAGCTGCCGAGAAACACAACTTGGTAACATGCAATATTCATTGATGGGCCCGCATCACCTGCTCCACGTATTCTGGGACAGCCATGAAGAGCTTGCTGAACATCCCGATCCCCAAGTCACATGAGCCAGGACATGACAGTTTATGCAGCTTTGTTTTCGCCAATTGGATGCGCTAGTCAAGCTAGCCAAGTGCGAATATTGAGTCAAATGGAAAGACAAGCACACTCTCATTGTAGTATCAAGGGATGAAGTTGGCGTTTCTCACGTCAGTCTGCCGTTGAACTACTGCAATTACTGCTGGGCTGCAGGTAATATTGGTAGAGCTCAGCAAGCCACAGAGTCGGTGAGTGTTCAATGTGATGGTCTCAACCAAGTGAGCTCTTGGCGATGCAACTCAGCCTCACCTGCCGCAACGCCATGGAGCTAAGGCGGACGCCGCTTTGCCCAAATTGCCCGAGCGTGCGTTCTGAATACGAGGTATTGAGGCATCTGCGAATGAGATTGGTCGCCGAGACTCACCCTTTCCAAGACAATATTGCTCCTCGGGGACTTGATTGCATAGCATATGGATCCCAAGCAATGTAGAGCGTCGAGGGAGCTCTGATAACGAGATGATGAATTAATCTTCACTTGCCGAGCTTTGCTGTCAGCGATTTCGCCATTGATGCAAGAAATTTATCATGATAGAAATAGAAAATAGAATAAAACATGGTCGGCCTCCCATGATCTTGCTTCTTTGTGAGTTCGACGCTTATTTTCTGAGTTCCTCATATATCATTCTGTCTCATTACGAGACACGGGATACCGAACCATGCATGCAGCATGTGGAATGGACGCATTGAGCGCAGCTGAATCTCCAGCGGCCAGGAGGCCCCAATGATACAACTACAAATATCAAACCGATTCCTCTTCTTCTCCTCGCTGCTCTCTCTCTTCCGTCCCTAGCTCAAGTGCTAATTATCATTCGATATCTCTCTGGCGCGCCAAATCCATTACCTCCATTGCTGTATCATCACTGAGAAATCATGAAGATCACTTCTTTCGTTCTCATCGCCGCCTTATTCTCCTCGTTTGCCGCGGCCACGCCTGCGAAGACTGCGTGTACTACCTCCCGTGCCCCCGAATATACGTGGACTTGCGCGCCTGAAGGACGTAGGTATCAGGGACTCTCGAACAAAACCATATCTATTTGCTGACAACTGTGTAGGGGTTTGCAAGAAATTTACGGAATGTTGTTCGCGATACTGCAAATACGGCCTGCCCGGTACTTCCATGGGTAGATGCATGCCATTGAATTGATTTGCATCATTGGGGTGTAGCTCTGATTTGATTGTGATGGCGGCTACCGGTATCCCAGAGCTTTCATGATTACTAAAGCTTCGACGAATGAGCCAATTTAGTAGTAAAATCATCTTTAATAAATTATTACATTCAGATCATTTGTATTGTTGTAAATAGAAATGAGAAGTGAGAAAGCATGTGTAGTACAAAATAAATTAGTCAGGACTGGGACATGGGGATTCGCAGTATATGCAACAAGAGACTGAAGGCTTTTACAGTTATGCGTGAGAGAGTTAGAGTATAAAGTTAAACAGCAATGGAAGATGCGAGCCCGACATCTAATCACAATGAAGGGCCTTTACAGTTATACATAGCCATGAACGTCTATCATACAACTTGGCATTAATGGATCTTATTATGTGACTGTATAGCTGAAAGTATAGCTTAGCAATCTACGCCATACAAGCAGACTCCCAGGTGGCATCTCGATACAAGGGCCTCCAGCCACAACTTCGGTCAAGTCCGACCCTCAAATAGGATACTTCATCCAGCCCATTACGGCACCTGGCTCGTCGTGGGCAGATCTGGACGAATAGTGATTTGCTGACCGTTGTGTTCAAACCCTTTAACAGATTCAACACAATTTCATTTTGTTTTCTGATTTGCCCTTTATTCAATGAAATTTCGAACATACTCCGTATATCACTGCGTCTATCGAATTATTTGATTCATTCCTTCACTGACGCATTCTTTGAGGTGCTTTCTGTTGTACATAAACCCGAACGAGCGTCCTGGGCTGAATGGACGGCCACGCTATGCTAAGAGTCTAGAACATTTCTCACGCGAGAAGAGATGTTATAGAATGCATACATTGAGGACTGCGAGGGTATTGTAGAGTGTAATTGCGGCGGGGCTGAGCTCGTGAATGGTGGAAAAACATTCTCCTTGACCCATAACTCTAACTCATCCCTGATATTGCAGTTGCTTAAATTTGCCAGCCCAACACTGCAAAAGTAAGTGGAACAAGCCAAAGGGGGAAGTGCCATGCCATCATACGATGAAAATGCTTCAGCTGCAAGACATAAACTCCTGCAGGATAAGAGTGTAGTCAAAGGATTGATGGATTCAATTCGTCATTTGACCCTTGCTTGATGTCGGGACCGGAATCTCGCTTAGATTTGTAAATATGAGTAAAGCAGGTTTAACCAAGGAAAAAGAAGATTCCTCCCTGCTTATACCTGCGCTTAACCGCCCGTCGACTCACCGTAGGCCTTGCATCTGGTCTTCTGGGCAGTGGGGGCAGCACGGAGAATTTGCAGGATGCGTAAAAACTCCAAGCCAGTTGGCTCATTCACAATCTCGCTGACCCGTCCCTGTTTCAGGATGGCCACTGACCCTGGCACATCAAGGCCCCCACGACCGACCGACCGATTGTGATCGGCTCTCGTTAATAGTTAGTAACTGACGTAGTTTCTTGAATTTTGATGTCAACTGGTTGAGTGGACGAAATATTCAATAGTATCTGTCAATCAAATGGCAAAAGGGTGGTCAAGTATGCATGGAGAGACCTTGGCCAATTGGTGAGTTCGGATATTGCTTTCTAATCCCTCCTCTTGACTCAATATTCTCAAGACTGCCGACAGCTCAGCAAAAGTCAGCGCAAACAGCGCAATCAATTGGAGCTACCAGATCGCAACTGAGATGCCCTTGCCGTCAGTCTCCGCCCACCTGGAACACTTGGATTACGAACGGCGGTTGCCACACTGGCCGATCGAGATACAGAAACAATCTCGGTGGATGTATCTCCGAGAGCAATCGTAGATGGAAGGCAGAGTATTACTGTGCCTTGGCTCTGGCGTTTGTCCTTTGGTGCGGTGCGTGCTTCGATTTCCAGGCTGGTGCAGGCATTGATGGTTTCATCCCCTGCCAGACCAAGAGAAATGCGCATGAGAGATAAATGAGCCAGCCAATTGCGGCACTGCGATTGTTAAACACGCCTACGGTAATCTGAAACAGTGCCGTGATCCTGTAGACAGTAATGGATTAGTGTTGCCTCCGAGCGGGTCAGGGAAGGCCTGATACACTTTCTCTAACAGGACTCTCCGACGCTTCTAGATGCGTGCCTGTCAGATTGTGCAATGGGAGAGGGACAGATGAAAGGAAGACTGCTTCTGTGGGACCGCATCCTTGTCAAGCAGGGCCCCTGTTGGGATCATGCTCAACCCTCCACCTGCCAAGAGCGGCCACGAGGGAGATGGAGATGAGACTGAAGTCGTTTGAATAAATATCAGACGCCGGCGAGCATGAATCGTTCTGTCTGGTTCACGCTTCTCGCTAAGCTTAGCTTTCTTTTCCATTTTGCACCTCCGCAGAGACGGTTGTGCTGTCATTCATTTCTTGTGCAGTCAGTTAACCCCGGTGGTTAACGTCCCTTTCCTTCGCTTTCCAACACACTGCTCGACGCAGTCTCCGAAATCCAGTCTTTACAATCCAAAGAAACTAAGTCTTTCGAGCGAACAAGCCTATCCGCCATGCATTTCAACCTGGGATTAGCCAGCCTTCTGGGGCTCGCTGGATCGGCCGCTGCTCAGCAGACCTGGGCATTCACCGATCCCAACACCGGCATTGATTTCCAACACTATGCCTCTAAGAACTACAGTTTTAGCATTGCGGTCCCCGAGACTCTGGGAACCGACTTCATTGGCCAGCTGGTGGTCCCTATCACCTCGACGGGAGGATGGGGCTCTGTGTCGCTGCGAGGTGGCATGTTGAGGAGTCTGCTGTTTGTTGCTTGGGCAGACGGGGAGGACATCAAGACCTCGTTCCGAATGGCTGGTTCATATGCCAATCCTGATGTCTACACCGCAAGTACTGTCAACGCATTGCCAATTGCCAACGGAACTTTCGTCAACAGCACCCACCTGTCGTACACTTTCCTCTGTGAGAACTGTGTCAACTCCACCGTCACCAACCTTGTCAACGAGACCCCTATCCTTGGATGGGCCATCTCTGCTGAGAACCCAACCACCGTCACTGATTCTGCCAGTGCTCTGACGTACCACGCTGCCGGCTTCGGCCAGTACGGACTGAACATTGCAGCAGCCAAGTCTGCCAAGTATGCCACATGGGCCTCGTGGGCATCCTCTGGAACAACTCCTACCCCTCCAACCACTCCTGGAACTCCTGGTGGCAACAGCACTCTGCCTACACCCATCACTTCCAACGTGACCTATGACACCATTGTGGTCGGTGGTGGACCTGCCGGTATCATTGCTGCTGAGCGCATTGCCGAGTCAGGAGCCAGCGTTCTTCTCATCGAGCGTGGACCTGCTAACACCGTTGCTCTGGGATCGTCTCTGGGTCTTCCATGGAACAGCAGCCTGACTCCCTACGATATTCCCAGTCTCGGAAGTAGCTTGACGGGAATTTCTGGCACCACGTTCTGCAGTGATACCGCTTCCACGGCTGGTTGCCTTCTCGGAGGCTCCAGCTCCGTCAACGGCCTGAACTTCATCCGCCCCCCTCAGCAAGATTGGCAGCGCTGGCCCGCTGGATGGCAGTGGGAGGATGTTTCCGCGGCCGCTGACCGCCTCTATGAGCGCAACCCCGGCACCACAAACCCATCGGCCGATGGAAAGCACTACAATGACCACACTTACCAGGTTCTCTCTCAGTTCCTGGGTGCCAAGGGCTGGGCCGAAGTTGACTCCATCGAATCGCCCAACGAGAAGCACCAGGTGTTCTCTCGCCCTGCGTGGTCTATCAAGGACCACCTCCGTGCTGGACCTGCCCGAACCTACATGCCCTTTGCCCAACAGCTTGACAACTTCACCCTCAAGTTGAACTCCAAGGTCATCCAGGTCAACCGAAATGGCAGTGCCATCACTGGTGTTCTCACCCAGGAGGCTGACGGAAGCACCCAGATTATCAACCTCAAGGCTGGCGGCAAGGTTGTCATCGCAGCTGGTGCTCTTTCCACTCCTCGTGTGCTTTGGAACTCGGGTATCGGCCGAGCTGCCGACCTGGCCATTGTCAAGAGCGGTTCGGCCCAGACCGGTGTCACTCTCCCCGCTGAGGCTGATTGGATCGACCTCCCCGTTGGTCACCATCTCCAGGACCACGTCCAGGTCACTCTCCAGTTCAACGATGCGTCCAACTTCACTGCCTACAACTTCAAGGGTATTGCCACCGAGCCCATTGCAGATGATCTGGATCTCTACTACCAGGGCTCCGGTGTCATCACTCAGGCCGCCCAACGCATGCATCTCTGGACTTCCGTCGATGGCGCTGATGGTCGCAAGCGTTTCCTCCAGGGAACTGCCAGTGCCATGTCTTCCGGTGTCATCACTGTGCGCACTTTCTTGACCCACGGTACCTCTACAGTGGGCAAGCTCGGAATCTCTGCTTCTGGAAACACCGTTCTTGAGACCAAGCCCTGGCTGATTGATGACAATGACCGAACGGCCATGTCCGACTTCATCCAGTTCTGGCTTGACCTCACATCGACCAACAACTCCACCCTGACCTACGTCGCCCCAGACTCATCCGTGGAGGACATCATCTCCAAGAACCTCATCAGCGGTGACCACTGGGTCGGCAGTGCCAAGATGGGCGTTGACGACGGCCGCCAGGGCAATGGCACCAGCGTCGTGGACCTGGACACCAAGGTCTACGGCACCGACAACCTGTTCGTCGTCGACGCCTCCATCCACCCCGACCTCCCCACCGGAAACACGCAGTCCATCATCATGATCACTGCCGAGCACGCCGCTGAGAAGATCACAGGCATCAAGTCCAGCCCGACCACGCCTGAGACTCCCTCAACCCCCACCCCCTCAGCTTCCTCCACCCCTGCGGCCTCCTCGGCTCCCTCTTGCAGCACCAAGAAGCGCCGCAGCAAGCGCACCTTTAGGTTCTGAGGGATCTCGGGACCTTCTTGATGAAGTTTTCCCATGACTGGGTCCTAGAGACGGGCCATATTTTCTTGTATTTTCAGCTAAGCATTTTGTGAGCGGCAAGTTGTCGCTGTTTAGATATTAGAGTAAAAAGCTAAAATGTATAAATTCTCATATTGATGATACTTTTATGTCTCTTTAAACCATTAATTACTTGCCGATGTGTGTTTAGAATTTGAAGTGACGGCATTAGTCTCATGACATAGAACAGCGCAAAACGAATGATCTACTGCCCAGCGCCTAGACCCTTGATGATCAAGCCTGGCAGAGGTGTGATCTTCTGTTGGTATTCATCTGCGGAGCGATCCAAAATGGGGCTCACAGATAGCACAAGCCTAGATTGCTTGACTTGTCCATACCTAGCCCTGGGTTCCGATGACTGTGATTTTTCTTAGACACGCGAGTTGCACTTGTTCATAGGAGCCCTTGGTAAACACGAGACTAGGAAATGGCAAACAAATTCCCCCTCGGTTGAAAGAAGAAAGCCTAAAGCCGCGGAGCATATCCTAGCACCACACCAACGTTATCCATCATCATGCTGATTGTTCAATCAGAATCATTCCCCAAACACCATCATGGGTGTCAGCCGTTGACCCCTCACGCCGACCCCTTCAACCTATGGCTTGACCTGATGTCATAATTACGACAGTAGCATCGACATCTTTTGTCAGAGTACAGTCATATTTGATTGATTTATCTATAATAATAATTGCTACTCCCCGCAAAGGGAAGTGATGTTTCGCGGAGACTTCATCTGTGGTATTAGCCACCGAACCCCGCACATCCAGCATATCATCAACAATAGCCCACCATGCCCACTGCTGCTGAGAGAGCAAAAGCCAAGTATCAGGCTGTTATAGACAACCCGAATAGGAATGATGCTTCAAGTAAGATCCCTCGCGTCCAAAAAAACTGATTACTCTGCTCACTAGTAAACTCATCAGATTACAAAAACCGGATGATGACAACAAGGCATCCCTCTGGGGGTTGTGATATGGCAAACTCGGTCACTCGTCGCCCAAGCCAAGGAAGTGAAAATTCGGACCACGGTCAGATTCGAAAAATGGTCAAGAATTGGATGTCTCGTCCGGCCTTCTAAGGTGGGGAGATGGCCTCTCAGTAGGTTCTACGAAAGGGTCATTAGTCTCTTTTGCGTGGTAGTGATCTGAAGTAGTTGGCCATTGGACACAAGTCAACACGTGAAATTTAATCCATAATGTCAAAAACTTGAGCTTGTAAACGTGCAATTGAAGCGCTTGAAATTACCCCGTTCGGAAACCGTTCAGATGAACACTTTCCTGTCACAGGCTGAGGGAATATAATGAGCTGGACTGCGAGCTGCAATGTCATCACCTGTTTTCAAATATTTGTCCTTAAGTTTGAGATTACAACACAAATAAAGGGTCCCATCATATTCTAGGCTGCACCATAGATCGTAGCGGTCATGAATTGTAATGAGTCTAGGTCTCTGAGAGAGAGGGAACGTTAGAGCATAAAACACACTATAAATTACAGATAGTGGAATAATAGAATGCTCGCCTTTCAATTACTATAACAGAACGGACGAACACAAAGGAGCTCTGTTTAACAGCTCTTCGTTGCTTTGTTTGAACAATTTCCCGTAGTGGTGGCTCATTTGTTGCTTGTTCTATTTCCGGATACAACAGCATTCAACTCGGAGACATTTCCGGAATATGATTTGTTTGTTGAAGATAGTTCTTTCTCCTAGTCTTGCTGTTGGAAAAAAGTTAAACATGCCTTATGAATTTTTCCTCTCTCATAAACAAGGGAAATCCCAAGATCAGCCCTACCGATGAGTACAATAACAACAATACCTAGACCTAATAAACACGAAGAATAGACTTGGAAGGCTAAAATTGATTGGACAGGTACAGGCACATATCTCTAAAATTCTAAAGACAGCCGGAATAATACCGAAGACCCTACGTGCCGCTCCTAACTCGCAATGTTGCGCCACCCCTTGAGCCAAACACACAATCATCAATGTGAGTTGTTGATGCATGTCAAAAGAATAAAAGTAGTCGGTCTTGCTAAATGATGCAGACTATTATTCAGACTCAAATTTTGATTAAGATATTAATAACTGCTCTATCGTATGCTCTAAGACTTCGGATGGATTGGTGAAGAAAGAACAACAACCGATATGCTGAAGGCGCTTTCTTTTGTTGATGGAGACTTTGTTCGTTCTTGAACAATGCATATATTCCCGTATTAGATTTTAAAAGCTTTCGGATACATGATAGTTCTTATTCTGAGAGTAGTTCTTTAGTCCTTTGTTTCTTCATATGTTCATAGATGTTCAACGTTCAGCACAGGCCACATTCATAAACTTCTTATTAGTCTGTCTACCTTGTAAAGTACATCCAGTATAGACCATTTTAATCAGAATAAGCAAAAAGAAGAAGTTATCACTCGCTACGATGATTGATACCGTACCAAAAACTTCTTTTGAGCCCGTCCTCATCGCACTCCTGGTGCTAACTTCACTCTTTATTATTATTCAGCTCGTTTTTACCGCCATTATTCGCAAACCATTCGGTGGCGAGGACATTTGGTTATTGTTATGCTACATTTTCTCGTTCGCTTGTGGTTTAATATACATAGACCTGTTAAAGGTTTACTTTCGAGCTATTGATTTGGCCGGTGGACCATATCCCGACGCGGACGGTGATGCGGTTTTGATGCAAAAGTGGATATTTGCGAGCACCATATTATACTGGTCTTGTCTATGGTCTGCAAAGCTATCCTTTCTTTGCTTCTACAAGAAGCTTTTCGTACAGTTGCCTGTTTATGTCAAGCTGTGGTGGAGTCTGGTGGGCATCTGTATTTTGGTAAGCAGGTAAATCGTATGAGATTTGAGCAAAGTACTAACAGAAAATGCGATCGCAGACATATATAGGTTGCCTAGTCACTCTGGTGTTATCCTGTTCTAGTATGGAGGACTGGTTCAGGGCAAGGGCATGCACGACATACCGTGATGTTGTTGCTGGCAACGTCAGTAGATATTTTGGTTATGGTGTGGACACTGTGACTAACATAGTGAGTGAGTAATGACATGACCTCAAGTTAGAAGCATGAGGGCCTAATATAGAATTATAACTGACTTTTTCCCTAGTTATGCTACTTCCACTGCAACTAGTCTTCAAAGTTCAGTTGCCTCTTTGTCGAAAGATCAGTATTGCAGGCTTGTTCTGCCTGGGTTCGATTTGCATCATCGCTGCTACATTCAGAGTAACTCAAATCGGAGAAAGGGATTCCCGACCAACTGTCCAATGGCTTGCCTTTTGGAGCAGTATGGAGAGTTCAGTGGGTACGTTGATTCATAAATTTCATCGGCTTGGACAAGTCAATACTAACAGATAATTTAGCATGTGTAACCTGCTCAGGTCCGGGTCTCTATAAAGCCATCAAATCTTTTTCAATCTCCCGCCAGTCTGAACCCTCGACGAGTAAGAGAGAGCATTCGGGGGGAGGGAATAACGGATTGCCGCGGGGTGCCACTATTGAATTGCAGTGGACACCTCCAAGTCCTCGCCATGTCATTACTGAGGAATCTATGTTGCCTTTGAGAATGAGAGGCAGGGCGGAATATCCAGTGTCTTCGTCTTGGCCACCGTCAAGACGAGCATTTCATTACCCAAGCGCAAGAAGAGAACCCGACGACAGTATTGTATGATAAATAAAACAAGAAAATAAGGACGCTTAGATGGGAGTTCGTTTCTTCCTAAACGCGGCACCAAGGGAGGATGCTTTATTTCGTTCTACACATATATTTACCTGGGGCTCTGGGTATGCATAATGAGCATATGAGGCCTTTAAAGGCAATTTTTAAACAAAAGACCTCACAGTCTATCACGTCCTCAGAGGGACGCCCTTGCTAGTCCCGGAGTCTCGGCAATCCTAAATACATATTTCACAGCGCTCGCTTTACCTCCTTTCAAATTTTTCAGCCCTGTCTCAATCCCCGCCAGACCTCCAGGGATAACCTCGTGAGGATGAGGAGTGAACCATCCTTCTTTTAGTCCATTGGAGAGAAGTCGGTAGAAAGCATACGCAAGCTGTCGCGATCCGCTCTCCAACCCTTCCTCGTTGTGAACTCGCCCGACGCTTGTGGTCTTCCACTCAATGGATTCCGGCAGCTCATCATAAGATTTCCCGGGAAGGACAACAGTCAGTTTTCCGCCGTCGTGCGTTAAAACCTTGCTTATGTTGACATAACTTCCCTTCTCACTGACAGCATCGAAAGCATGGAGCAGCTTCTTGCCGCCGAGGGCACGTTTCATGCCCTCGATGACTGCATCGTCTCCCTTGCGGTAGTCAATGACAGTATCGCCCTTGGTCTTATCAATGAGAGATTCCACATACGCAGTGCCTCGGCCGGCAACGCATATTAAGGGGTGGATGTTGGATAGACGAGCGAGCTTGACTGCAAAAGCACCAACAGCGGAGGCTGCACCATAGACCACCAGCGGGATTGACTCTTCAGCTTTATTCCAGGGAGTTGGGAGCGCGAGATTCTGATAGAGACCTAGCGTGGAGGTCATGGCAGCTAGTGGAATCGTTGCAGCTTCTGTTTCTCCTTCTTAGTGAGATTGTCTAACAGTTGAAAACTAGCACTTACCTTCGAAACTGGTGTTCTTGGGAATATGAAAGGTCGACCACTCCCATGCAATCGCATATTCTGCGAAGCTTCCAGCTGGCGTTATCATTTCGTGGAATGCCCCGACTCTATCCCCAACCTTGAACTCTGTCACTTCGTCGCCAACTGCATGGACAAAGCCCGCAATGTCATCTCCTTGGTTGAAAGCTGTCTTGATGATGTAGGGGACCTTCCAATCCTTTGGGTTGCTTCCGCTGACAATCACTTGGATCAGGATCTGTCTGGGATCGGATATCTGGGGGATGGGCACATCATGGATAGTGACCTTTACCCCCGGTGCGACGAGAGCCTCCTTCATATTGGGGATAAGTATGCCTTTCGAAGATTTCTCAGGAGCAACCAAAAGAGAGAGAAAAGAACTCTTTTCTTGGTAATTCAGTGCAATCAGAAGGGACAAAGGGTTCGACAAAGAAGTGTAGACCTATTATAGAAATCCACGAGCGAGTAGATATCACAGTATTATTATCTAAAACCATAAACTCAATCATTTCGAACGGAACAACAAACTCCCCGCCGGTGGTTATTAGTTGATGGTGTGATCGGATCCTCCCCCGGAAGATGATACCAGAGCCAATGGCATTGGACACAAAACGATGAGGAGTTGGAAGACCCACCACATGCCGAGGTTGGCTGGAATCCCGGACACTTGAACAGGGCGCAAAGTGCATAAACTGGAAGACTATTTGTCTCATTTGACTATTAAATGTGAACTAGTAAGCATATTCGGGCAAATATCTGCTGCGTATGCTTCAAGGATCCTCACATCGGTATCTTGCACATCCGACTGTTCCGACTTGCACTGATGAGCACCATGACGGAGGTTCCGAATTCCCACCCCCCAAATGCTAGAAAGAGTGTGTGAGATGATAAACTACAACATCGAGACCTATTGATCTTGATAGTGTTAATAATAATGCTGAAAAACCTTCAATTCTATTTCTCTACCGTGAGGTTCATTTAGACAGGAAAGTCCGATACCAAGATTCAACACACTGCCATGATTGACAATACCCGGACGAGCCTCAAGAATAGAAGCCGTCTCACAGTGCCGTATGAAAATCCAAGCTCATGACTGTCCAGTTCTCCTCAATTGCGATTGGATCTGACCGCCGAGGAGAGCTCTCCCCGAATCCATGGTACGCATTTAACTTCGGAAGTTGAAGGTTGTACATCCACGAAGGGTGAGACGTGACAAAGATTTTCAGAATATCTTTGCATGAAGTGTCTCCGTTCTTCAGCATACCCTCAGGGACCCTCATTTTGAAAAACTTTCGTATCATTTTAGGGTATCCCGGACCATTCTTAGTTGCAATCTTGGTGAACGTCTCGCTCAAGGCATTTACCACGCCCCACTGAGGTGAGAGGTTGTAGACAGAGACGTATAGGTCGTGCGGGGCTTCGTTGCGAATGATGATCTCTGCCTTCTTGTTGTGTCCGATGGAGATGACTTGAGATGTGTCAGCTTTCCTCTTGCCACCTTCTATGCTAGTTGCATTGTCAGGTCTGTCAATGTTGACAAACACCTCAACTTGAAAAGAGTTCTCGAAGGTCCCAGAATCTTCGGTGTTTTTCAAATCTTTGACATGATGGAATCGGACAAGGTGCTCTAGCAAATCGCTCATCTCGCGGATGTTGGGTTGCGAGCTATCCAGAGCGGGAATATGGGGCACTTTCTGCCCGTCCGAACTCCGAAAAACAAAGAAACCATCTTCAAGGTCCACAGAGAGGAGGAAAGCACGAGATTCAATATGTCCTGAACTCACGAACGCATTTAGAGAGCGCTTTCGAAGTTCGTCCAGCCATGAATCGCCGCCGGGGACAGCGGGAGAGATTTTGATAGGATATTTCCGAAGAGCAGCTTGGGAGCGGATGATTGCTTTCCATGACCGGCCCCGTAAGTTTTCCACAGTCGCGTCGACCATTTCCAAGACTGATCTGAAGGCTGTTGCCTTTGAAACATGTGCTATGATGGAATCTGGCCGAGTTCCGTCCGTTGCCGAAGTGGAAGCATAGAGTTCAAACTCATCGCCGTCACTAATGCCTTGAGCTTTTCCAGCTTGAAGCAATAGTCTGCCCCCTTCTTCCCACTTTACTTCAAAGTAAGCAGGATGGTATGGTGACGGTGCCGAGCGGGTACGTTCAATATACCCTCCGAAAAATGGCAGAAGCTCGTTCCCGTAGAGAATGGGATGCTGTTTCAATCGGTTGTGTTCGAATCCGAAGCACACCCGTGAATAAATATTGTGGATGCTACGCTCCAGGTCTGATCGAGTCTTTAATGTATCCAGTAGAAGGCGTGAAAGCTGCCCGTTGTATTTATCAGTCCCGGGCAGTTGGACCTCTGCGGCCTCCTGGTCTGGGCCAGTGGCCACCAGGAGGGCGTACTGGGATGTATCTCTGATCTTGAAGTCAAACATCATGTCCACATCGCGCATGCTGCTTGCTGCGAGTGCCCGTTCAGGTAGGGGGGGCTCATCATAAAACCCGCTGGCTCTCGCGATGTCAAGATCGGCTTTAATGCGCCGGATCATCCCTTCGCGAGTGACACTTCCCGAGAAACAACAGTCAAGGACAAGAGTGACTTTGAGGCCTTTTTCCACCATGTTATGTATGTGCCCTGACAGCACCTTTCCCCAGAAATACGCCTCCTCTCCGCGACTGTTGAGAAGAACTAGAGCTAGAGCACGCCCATTCGGACTGTCCTCGTCTTGAACCGTCGTCCCGTGACAGGAAAAATGAATATATACAAAGTCACCAGACTTTGAATTTTTGGTGACTCCACTCAATGCATAGTGAACATTCCCAGTGGTCGGCCATTGCTGCTTCTCCTCGATAGGGCCAGGGTAATCATCTCTTTTCGTTGCTGTAAATGTATGCAGTTGGACTGATGGGATTAATTCGGCAAAGAAGGCTTGGATCTCCAAGACATCGGGGACCGCCCCACGCAATGACTGAGTTTGATACCAGTTGACCCCTACCAGGATTGCGTGGTGGGTGGGTGGTGGACGATCCATTATTTCGGCGCACAAATAACAGTCGCGTCAGGGATCTCTCCAGCAGATGGGACAGGTTGGATGGATGGAAGAAGAGGTGGTGATAAGCTATATGCGGGACAATTTTGGGGCGCAACTTGGACCAGGGGAGAAGTGAGGAGAAACCACTACGACGGAACACCTCGCCCGTTGTTGCCAGCTTGGGCAAACTAAGTACCTCGTATCTCTATGAGAGTAAGGCACAGTGCAGAGTTTTTGGGGGTCAGAGTACCAGAGGGATTCGGTAACGTGATAGTGTGATTCACTTCTATTGGTGCGTATCACATATATGTAGTCAGCTCATCAGTCCATCCCCATTTGCCAAGGCAACTCTGCAGGCGGACCAAAGTGGTTCGCCCCCTCTCCCGTCCATTGGAGTCGTTGGGCATTGAATCCCTCCGTCGTGAGAGCATTCACGGCTCCTTGCTACCTAGATGCTACCTAGAGAATCTGTATCTCGGATATTTGCACGGCAGCTCCCCCATTGACTTGTCTACCGCTTGCATCGCATAATGTGCATGATAGAGGGGGGATCACTTTCTCAATGTAATAAGGCCCCTGCTCGCCGCTGGAAGCCATATAAAGCACCTGATCGCCGACGGCTGGCATCTACGTAAATCACATTAGTAAGGGAGCGCATTGGGTCTATGCCGGCCGGGGGCACGAACTGATCCAGAGGCAGCGATATATGGGCGCCCACCGGCGTCTTCATACTGAGGAGTCTGGGTACTATGCGGACAGCGTCAGTGAAATGAAGATATCGCGCATCAACATGGCAAGATGCTGCACTTACTTCTGGGTCTCAGACATGGCTGCGAGGACAGATCAACGCTTGAGTTCTGTGATTTTTAGATGGAAGAGGTTCGAAACAAAATGAAAAGGGTCAGCTGAGATATACTTGTCCTCCTTGGTGAGCATGAATCGCCTTGCATAAGAGTGCAAATCCTTCGGTACCCAACCAGCCCATCACTCAGCCTACTTCTCGGGGAAATGAATATCCATGATTGCTTCTATAGACCCCGCCTCTTATTTGGATAAGAAGTAATATTAAGCTCTAGGGAAACTTCTAGAACCTTTACAACTGGCTTGATGGTCTACGAAATGGCGGGAAAATGTATCACGACCACACCAACATAGACCCACACAACAGGGTGTGAACAACTGTAGATCAATCAATACTATACACGCTCGGTTTAATAATTAATTATTCACTTGAACAAGCAGATATCGGGAAACTAAAAATTTTGATCGTATATGAAGACTCTCCATGCACAAATAGAATGACCATTACTTGGGTAGATACCAAGTAACTAGCGAAGTAGAAATCTCGACGAAGAGATTTGTTCTCTCTCAATGGGGATCTCCAACCAAGTACTCATAGAATCCTAAAGTTTGAGTTAAGAACTGATTTTATTCTCCAATCGCAATTGCCGATCTTGAGTACGCCAGCCTGTCATGTTCTCAATTGAGACACCACTCTTCCCGTTGTCCGTAACATATGGGAAGTCACCACAAATGTAGCATAAATCAATGAATTTGGGCTAATCATTTTACCCTACCTATTAAGAGCCACGCATAATTAAGCGTTTAGAAGGCCATCTACACCATGGCCAAGAGAACTTAGATGGCTTATTATAGAGTATCGCCGAGGAAACAGTCCGTTATTATGGTATTTGATTTAGTATCATTAATGACCAAAAGATAAAAATATACTACTCTTCTCAACGTATAATGATTATATTTAAAGTGTGCCGCTTCATTAGCTTATCATTGGGCCTGCTTTGCAGCAATAGCCTTTTGGAACAGGGTCAGATCCAGTGGAATCCTCTCCCCCATCCATATGGCCCGCTGGGTATGATCTCGCAGCTCCGTGACAATGCTATCCACACCGGGGTCCTCTGAATTTGGATGAATCAACGCCGAAAGCGGGCCTCTCCAGACACTCAGCCACGGAATAAACGCGCCGAACTGCGCGGGTGTGAAGAGATTGACCTCAAACATGGCTACCGGATGAGGTCCAACGGGCTTGTCCCAGAAACGGTAGATTCTCAGCTCGGGAACTGTATTTCTTGTCATCAGTCATCGGTTATCCTTTTAGGGTAAAGTCAATGGAGTTATGTACTGACATTCTCGCCTGATTCTCTCCCATAACGCTAGAGCATGCTTCGCCTGCTCTTCATTATTCTGAAAATAGTAAATGTGGATGTCGCTATTGGCACTGCTGTTAGAAACCGATATAGTGTTTGATAAAACCAAGGAGGATTCTCACAAGCCGCCCCTCCTCCCTTTGCTCAGCGGATCCGGGAACTCCTCATATGCCTTGCTTAGAGAATCGTTTGGCGGGTTAACGTAGCTTTTCCCATCCTCAGCCTTCTCCTCCGGCAGAGGAGGTGCATCCTCGTAACCAGTGAGGGGGAAGGGGTACGTGTACGCAGCCGTGTTGTAGGGATTAGGTTGTGCCATTTTGTTAGTCGGAAGTGGATGATATCAGCACAGAGTATCGCGGGATGACACGGATTTATGACCAGCAGCTGGAATGAAAGTGTCGGAATTTCTTGGAATTTTGTCCAAAGCCTTCTCCGCATTCTTCAATCTTCTGATTCGCGCCTTCACTATTATTATTAATCTTGCGCGCGCTTAAGTTTATGGAGCACGCCATCTTTCACCACCCACCGGCCGATTGATAATCATCCCGCCGGAACGATTCCGAGGTCTTGGTGATGGATACAACGAGACAAAATCTTGACGCCCAGACACTTCTTTTATTTCTGTTCTTACCAAATAATCTAGGTCTAAATGTAATTCAGCAGGAAATCCTTTATCCTTTTTCCTATAGGTGGTCTAAAAAGCTAAGATTGACCGAGAGGGATAAGAGTGAACCTCACTCGACATTCTCTCAAGCCAGCCAGATGAAAATGTTCATCCTACTCAACTTCCTGGAATGTTTCACGCCCCGAACATGGGGTTTCAAACGGCTTTTCTTAAACACAGCATACCACACACACATCCTAGGTCCTCTCAAATGAAGGAGAATACAATAGATGGTGTTGACCGGAATGCAAGTGCAACCACCTCTTGGTTCCAGGGTAGCTACAATTGAAGCAAAGTACAACCCGAACTTGCTCCGGCACCAATAAACAACAGGAGGGGCTTTAGTTAGGTCGGATTTGGGCAATTGGGCACAAAACGCTCATCCAGACCTTCCTATTCACGGCTGATTTTATACCCCCGTAAAGAACTCGAGATCGGAGAGCTAAGTACGCCCATAGGCGCAAGTATGGAGCATCCTAGCCGTGAAGAAGAAGCTAGTACCGGCCCTTCTGCCGAGGACCGAGAGCCAACTCGGGCGGCTCGCTCGAACAACTGGCGGGCTCGTGACTCATTCTCGCCACCGAGGAATGACAATTACAACAGTAGGAATTACGGGAATGACAGACGCTCTAGAAACGACTACAATCAGGACAGGCTGGGCGACGGCTACAGAAACAACCGGCGCGACTACGGTCGTCGAAACGACTGGGGTTCTCGTCGAGACGATGGAGCCTCATTCAGGTCATCGAAGAACGTGGCTGAAGGTTCTGACGCCATTGCAGAAGGGCGCCGTATTTACGTGGGGAATATTCTCTATCATGTCCGCCCAGAACAAATCTCGGAGGCGTTTGCGGCAGAAGGCTTCACCAACGTTGATCAGATCCACATATCCATCGATCCAGTGACTGGACGTAACCCGGGATACTGCTTCGTCGAGTTTGAAACGCGTGAGGTGGCAGATAATGCGATCCAGCGCATGTCCAGAGTCCCCATTGAGGGACGGCCTCTCCAAACTGGTCCTTGCCGCCCCAAGAAGCAGCAGCAGTCTGCGAGACAACAGTACTCACGGCCATCTCGCGACCCTACGTTCCAGAGATGGGGAAACTGGGATGGCGAGGGTGGCCAGGTGATGGACAATGGGCAAGGTCCCATTGGAGCTGAGGAGCATCTCGCGAATGTAGTGGAGGATGACCAGCGCTGCAGAGTCTTTGTTGGCGGGCTCGACAAGATGATAAATCAGGTGCAAAACGATGAAGAGCTCAGGGAGATTTTCAAGGACTTCAAGGTGTAAGTGCTGATTTGTTCACTCGTTTATCCCCATCAACGACCTGAACCTTCATTAATGAGTTTGGCAATAGTGTGGCTGTGAGCAAGAGAATTACTCCCCACGAGTCTACAAGAGCAAGGCCCGGTAAACACCATTATGCCTTCGTAGACTTGGAGACGCGTGAAGATGTATCCTGGGCTATAGAGACCTTAGACGGCACTTTATGGAAAGGGACTCGACTTAAGGTTCAACCACCAGCCGGCATTCCGAAGAGAATTGTCGAACGAGGCACAAGGTGGAAAGATAGTGGTGAACAAGCTCTGGACGATGGGTTTGAATGAGGCAAAGCAGTTGCGGGTTGTTCGGGTTTCGACCAGAGCTTCGAGAGTTGCCTGTTCAATTACACACTTTCTATCTTCTCTGCTGATAGGTGGAATTATAACCGTTTAATCGAATGGTTGTCAGGGTAAGAGACGATGGTAGTTCGTCCGATGACACTCTAGAATGAATCCTTAACCCCTGCCGGCATTAGGGTCTAGCTTCGGTAATTTGGCAAAACATCGATTCGATAGTGGCTCTGGCAAAAGAGTAGCGCCCCAAGGAGCAACTAGAATACGAATGAAAAGAGAGTGATTGCATAGTATCGTGAGTCTAGAAGCAGATGCACGCTTGGCGTATAGACGGGCTATTAAACTCGGCACCACGGGACGGACCTCGTGGTTCCGGCCTCACTCAAGCAGCCTAGCTGCTCTAATATATTCCATAATCCTTGGCATCTGGGCCACTTTGGATCGTCTTTTATTACGGCATGATAAGAATGGCCCACAGCTTCCGCCCATTTGGTCATGGGGCTTGGCCTGATTCGTGCCGTCTAAGGTGAAGCGTGGTTTCATTTCCGATCTGGTAGTCTGAAACGCACATGGGGCTGGCAGTTGCCGTGCTTGCCGTGAAACTACCCCCAGTGCGTTCTCGGTTGACTTTGCCGAGCCAAATTGCGGGAATCTGCTGGGCACTCTCCTGATTCGAGATGCTCCCTAAGTGATTGTTCGGCTGACAGTTCCCGTTTTGAGCCTGGGACCGTCTCGGAGGCTCAAGTCAGTGCCGTGATGGCCGTGCTCGTATCGCCAAGAATGAAGCATACGTAACCATACTAATATTCATCCACGTTGTTGAAAGGTTTCTTATATATATGCTCCCTTAAGCAGCTTCATTTCCAGTTCTGAGAAGAATCAACGCCACCAAGAATCTGGAATTCTTTGCTTAGGTCTCCTCACTTTCATTCATTTCCTTGTCATTCACTATTCTTACCTCCACGCTTCGTCAGCCCAACGTTCTCGAAAATGCAATACTCACTCGCTCTCCTCGGGGCCTTGGCCTCTGCTGGCTTCGCCAATGCTGCTGTCTTCCCTCGCGCCAGCTGCACCTTTACCGATGCTGCTTCTGCCATCAAGGGCAAGACCAGCTGCACCAGCATCATCCTCAAGGACATTGCTGTTCCCGCCGGTACTACACTTGACATGACTGGACTCAAGTCCGGCACTCACGTAAGATGCACATTCCCAATCCTTCCCCGTATAATCACCGTATTAAACTCGAAGCATCACAGGTCACCTTCCAGGGAAAGACCACCTTTGGCTACAAGGAGTGGAGCGGACCTCTCATCTCCTTCTCTGGAAGCAACATCGTCATCGACGGTGCCTCGGGCCACTCCATTGACTGCGACGGCTCGCGATGGTGGGACAGCAAGGGCAGCAACGGTGGAAAGACCAAGCCCAAGTTCTTCTACGCTCATTCCTTGAAGGAATCCCAGATTTCCAAGCTCAACGTCCTCAACACTCCCGTCCAGGCGTTCAGCATCAACACCGTGACCAACTTGGGTGTTTATGACGTTACCCTCGATAACTCCCTGGGCGACACCAAGGGTGGCCACAACACCGATGCCTTCGACGTTGGCTCCTCCACCGGCGTCTACATTTCCGGAGCTATCGTCAAGAACCAGGACGACTGCCTCGCTATCAACTCCGGTACCAACATCACCTTCACCGGTGGCCAATGCAGCGGTGGCCACGGTCTTTCCATCGGCTCTGTCGGTGGCCGTTCCGACAACAACGTCAAGACCGTCCGTATCCTTAACTCAAAGATCTCCAACTCTGACAACGGTGTTCGCATCAAGACCGTCTCGGGTGCCACTGGATCCGTCTCCGACGTCAAGTACGACGGCATCACTCTGTCCAACATTGCCAAGTACGGTATTGTTATCGAGCAGGACTACGAGAACGGTAGCCCTACCGGCACCCCTACTTCCGGCGTCCCCATCACCGATGTGACCATCAACAAGGTCACCGGCTCCGTCAAGTCCTCCGGCACCAACGTATACATCCTCTGCGCGTCTTGCAAGAACTGGACCTGGACTGGTAACAGCGTCACTGGCGGCAAGACTTCCACCAAGTGCAAGGGCGTCCCCAGCGGCGCCTCCTGCTAATTTTGGTTCTACTCATGCACAAACGATTTTTTCATTTCTAAGAAGATGTTTTTATGTATTTTAATGGGGTTTATTGAAAGGCTCTGGTTAGGCTTGCCCACCCAGATTATTTACAAAAAGGTAGATGCCTGATAAATAACAAGATTTCTCTCTGCGGAATCAACTCGTGTCTCATGCTGAAGGGAATTGTCCGTCATCAGACCTCGTGCATCCAGTGATTGAAGTCAGCTCGGACGGGCACTTGACCTGCTCAAAGTTGAAGTCTGGGTTGTCTGAGCCCTTGAACCAGTCCCATCGCCAATAGCAGCCTTGCTTGAGTGCACTTGGCATCTGGTCGCATTGGTCCCTTGAAGTGACACCCCCATATCGCTCCCCAGGAATGCTGCCATACTGCTTAGAGCAGCCGTCAAAGGCTCCAACACCGCCACCGGGCATAAGAATATCAAAGTGGTTGTTTGAGAGATCGTACCCGGTGTTGGTTGATTGAACGACCATGACCTTTCCAGCAGCAGGTCCGCTCGTGAATGTCAACCTATAGTGATGATTAGTTTCTGAGAAATGATGCATATGGTGCAAAAGGGAAAACGCACTTGTAGCATGCACAGCACCAGCTGGACTCGCTGCCACCATTGATAGCGGTGGCAGCGAAGCCATAAGAGAGGTTATCGTTAACAGCCCAAGGCGCGTTGTTGGAGCAAGTGTAAGCAGCGCCTCCATCGCACGCACTCTTTGCGTCGACGTCGGACAGCGGTGAGTTGTTTGCGTCACAGGTACGCACGGGAGATGACACTGAGGCTTTGCCAGACCAAGCACATGATGGCTTGCAGCAATCCCAGTACCTTTACACGGTCAGGTAACTCATCTTTGGATTGTAGTACGGGACTCCTCCTCCAGCAGCTCTGGAGAGTTGATGGTTAAGTACCTTGTTGAGTGGCCAGAACCGCTGGCAGCCAATGTCAGGCTGGCCATGGATGCCAGGACAGAGACAACTTGAAGGGCAGGGGCCATCATTTTGTTTCGAAAGAAGAGTGATATACGATGTTGTTTATTCAAGAGTGTTGGAATGGTGATAGAGAGAAAATATGGCGACATTAAGAGGGTTTCTCTTCCTTTTATACACGATCTCTCAGGGGAGTGCTCCGCATAGCCCAGAACAGGTTACATCGTTTCACAAGGCTTTATTTGCATGACTCCTGTCAATCGCCGTTCGGGATCGCGGCGCGTGAAGATCATCTGCTTTTTTCTCCATAATATGCCGGCTCCTTGCAAGCCATCCCGGTCCGAACTGGCGGTGTTTTCGGGGCGTGCTCCGGAGTGTTACCTTCGGAGCTCTCCCATCCGTACCTCATGAGAAGAACGACTCACTTCTAGCCATACAAGGCAAATCACGATGTAGATGTCTGGTTTTTACGTATCAAACACGGTTAATATCCAATTGATCGGCCCGTTCGCCAAAAACCCATGTTACGAGAATGGTGATTTACACCGCCTCTTCCTATTCACCGCTCGGTCATCTCTGGGCATCATGCCAACAAATTTGGAGATTGGTGAAACTGATGGGCAACGGGGTAGGGGGAGAGGCACGAGATGCTGTCTCAGCCTAGGCCTTCCTAGGTCAATCTGCAAGGATTCACGGAGAGTCTGCCAACAGCTGCCAATCAAGGAAAGGTAGACTGAAGGAAGAAACTATGACATCTTTGCTATGGGGGAAACCATGAATCGTGATAGCGAAATCCGTTCACGATCAGCGGCTATGACGTTCGCATTTAGCAGATTCTCGTCATTCTTCGCAGTGCCTGGCCGCCATAAGTTTCAGTGCGGATGAGCATTACCAAAGCGGTTGGGCGTATGTGTACGCAGTAATAGATGTGGCCAAGGCGCCTGATACTTTCTGTGCCTCGAAGCTTCCCAGCCAGCTGTGCTCCTTTTTCTTCTCAGCCACAATATGCATATCGTCGCCGCCCGGAACTAAAAGAAAAGTAGGCTTCAAGCTCTTGCACGTTGGGAAGTCAAAATTACGTTCTTAAATTTACCATCGACGAGTTGATTTCAACTTGCATTCTCTCCCCTTACATGCGCGCCGAAAGGGGCATGAAGTCAACATAAAGACTTATGCGCCGCCCGGAACCATTGTCTGGGCCTACTTTACGGTCGTGCGAATGTATCCTAAGTTCCGAGGGAGAGTTCAGGAGATGGAATAATCAGCGTCGTGGCTTATTTTACTCTGAATTTTCTTTGTGTTGCTCATGGTAACGGTTGGGCGTCGAGATAGAAGCAAAATCTTAAACGCACGAAGCTCTCAATTGCGTATGTTCTTTACGCTGTTCTGAGACTGAGCTTAGATCCAAACTTCTACAAAAGCATGAGGATTCTCATGGAGGTCCTTCTACTTCTTCAATTTGGACCACACACACAACACACACATATATGCAATATACACAAATATGCAGTATATATATATACAACATACACATTTATCCACAGCTTCTATATCCCAAATCTCAACTACATATAGTCGATCCACCGTGAAGACGAAATAACCAGTCGTTTCAATTCCAAGAGAAGTCAATCTTATTTCAAAGATAACACACTTAATCAGTTCGACTCCAATACAATGGTTTCTTTTGGCTCATGGGTTACCGATTTGATCACTCTGGTGACCATAGGGTCTGGCACCAACACCCGTGTGGACGACGCCGCCTCCCTTCAGGAAGACGGCATCACCCAGCTAGATGCCATACCAGGCTTCCCAGAAGGTCCCTCCCCCATACAGATCAACACGCTGCAGCCAATACGCTACGATGCCAGGGCCCATGTAAAGCGTTCCCACCTAGAAGATTTTGAGGCCGTCAACGAGCAATCCCTCTACTTGGGCCTCGAAGACGACCCCATCGCAGAGGTCCATGTCCGGATAAAGAACGAGACCGAAGGGTTCGTCAACACGGGATTCTTCGACAACCTCATTGAGTCGATGAGTGATTTTCTGATATTTCGTGTCTGTCTTGTAGCCATCTATGAATCGTTGTAGCATTGACAGTTCCGCCAATACTTCAGAAACTACAAAGGCGACCTCGCCGTGTGTCGCAGAGATATCTTCCAGCGTATTGTCGTTCTTAATCAATCGCATCTGCTCCTCCTCGTCCGACCGTGGAAGGCAACTCAAAGCATCTGGTACCACGTTCAGCTTTCCGGGAATGTGGTAGACGTCTATATCGAACTGCGATAGGAAGATGCTTGCTGACTGCAAACGGTGGTTCATCTTGAGTACATCAGTCGTCTTCACGTTCTTTTGACGAACTATCGGGGCTATCGCCGAGTGGCCCGTGTGCACGATTATGCGATTTTTGCCCCAAAGATGGCAAATACAACTTGGAAATGAAGCTCTCCAAGGACATTAAGATGGACGATGTTTCGACGCTGTGGTAGTGGGTTCATAAGGCAGAGGATAACCGGCTCGTGTTCTTGATTGCCGATCGTGGCTGTGGATGGAACGAAGGTCGCGTGATATACTGTGTCAACGACATTGACTTCCTCCCCGACTACACCGCCGTCCTCAATGCTAAGAAGACCGACTGGTACGAATGCCTCCACAAGTGTCAGATTCGTATTGGAGTAAAGTTGATGCGGCGTCCGAATCCTTCAGGGCTCCTATCAAAACGTGGGGAGCTTTGGGATAGTATAAAGAACTGGCGAGACGCTCGTCAATACCCAGAACAAGGATATAACGCTTATCTCAGAGACTGACCTGGGTAATAACACGCGAGGCTTGGGCGAGACCGGAAGGCTCCTTATGCCGATTTTTGATAAGATCCCTGATTTCAATGATACAGCTATTCTATATACTTCCAGCAACAGGGAACAGGGAATTAATGAGTCAAACTACTTCGAGTCGGTGTTTAATAGCACCGCGATGGTCAGGAAGTCTATGATGAATTATACCACAGCTACCCTGACAGGAAGATAGCCTGGATAGGGTATTCCCAGGTACGAATCGTTTCGCCATCTATTGTTTTCCCAAGGAAAAGGTCAAAGAAAAGGTCAAGGACGGGATTAGTAAGGTTACAGAAGGCGGACACGACAAGCAATTCTCCATCTCCTTTCAAATGGACTCCTCTGTAAAGGGTCTGGTGTTCAGTATGGCAGGCGTTGATTATAATGCCCACTGTAAGGCTGTGAAGGCATTACCTAGTTCCAAGGATAGAAGGAAGTGGTCGGTCCCGGTGTGATGTGAAAGCCTTCAGAGCCTCCTATCTATCTCGACATCTTTATTTCTTCTTGTGGCAGTTTGAGACTTCATGAACATCGCCATAGACTAAGAATCAATATAGACCATAATTAGACAGACTAAATAATTGCGAATACACTAAAGTTTTTGGTGTCGTGGGACTCTGCGTAGTCTGGATGGAACTCCACTGGACAAGGAAGCCAGCGGAGCCTCAGTGGCGACGCCTTGCATGAACTACTTGGAAGATGAGAGGTTAGACGATAAACCCCTGTAACTTCAGGCAGTAGCGTAACGGTCTGATTGATTGTAGGTTGCATCGGAGCATCGGGAGACGATGGGACTGGGGTGCGGATGCTTAAGAACTCGCCAAAAACACCGGATCGAGCACTCCATCAGATAAACCTCAATACTAAAGTGCAAAAAGGAAGTTCTCCACTGTCGCTGCTCTGCCATGGCATGACGTAGGCTTAGGTGTGCCTGTTCATATGCTGAGTTCTGCATCGAAATGGCCATAACCTTCATCGTCCTGCTCTGGCACGGCCAACGTCCGAACTGCTAGGTTAGTTTTCTCTGTGGAAATAACGTCAAGTCAGCGATCCAAGCGAGAAATCCCAGCTTGGGCAGGGATGTATCCTGGCTGATGACACTGATTATGGAGACGTAGAATTCCAGCCCAACTGTCAGATGCTTGCCCTGACCAATAAATGCTGCTAAAGGGGTCTCCACGGACAGTACGGAGTGCCAAAAAAGGATTCGCCCACCTGTCAAAAGCCTCGACCTCGGTCCGAGAGGCATTTATTTGTCACAGGGTGGAACTTTTGCCGGTATCGGGAAACGTGGGAAACAAGATCCTTGCAAAAATCTTTCATCATCTGGAATGCTTTTGCGCTCGCAAATCCCTCTCTTGCTCACTAACATTTTCTTCACCTTTCTAGCACTCTTTAGCATCAACACTTGTTTCTTGTCGCGACAAATAATATTCCATTCCATAGTCCTCCACACAACCCCTTCTGCTTTTTCAACCACTCTGCAAGACACTCTACCCCTTTTATCCCCGCCGAATCCCGCGAGTCTCGCGCCAATCTGACACCATGATCGTCACGCGAGCCATTTCTGTGACCAACTTTATGGTGGCCAGCTCCGCGCTGTGCTTCCAGGTGTTTGTGCTGTACCCATGGCACAAGGAGCTGGACGCGGGATTCGAAGATCTCAAGAAGGAGCACCTCAAGGTCCTCAACGCCGTCGGAAGCAACATCTCTGAGCAGCAGCGAGCCACCCTGACCGAGAAGATCAGCGAGCTCAAGTCCCAGAGCACCAAGAAGTGGTGGTGGGCCTAAGCCTCCGCCCACGACACAAGTCGTCGCTTCGACCAGCGCCGTTGAGATGCGGCCCAACGTCGACCTCGACTGAAATACTCGGGCAAATTAACGCTCTCGGCAATCGGTCTTCCCTTCGCGCGGGTGAGATCCCCGCTAGATGGGCTAGGTTCGGAGCCGGAGATACCCGACCACACATCGCTCGCCAGGACAGGGCCTGGTACGAGTCAAATAAAGAGGAGGAAAATAGTAAAGGTCAGACGCGCAGGTAGTGTGTATTTTGTGACTCTTGGGACAGACGAAGCAAATTATACCTCGACGGCGAAAGCTTTGGCCTGGGCCGGCTGTATCGAACAACAAGGCAGACCGATGGGGTAGAGGATTTTATCGTTTGGGACAAATTGGAATATGCTTGTTCTTGCTAGATAATTGATCGAATCCATGGGGCCGGTACACCAATAGATGGATGGATGGCGAAAGGGCTAGGTGGCATACGTGTTTAGGGTTTAGAAATTTTCCTCAAGGCAGTCACAAATTTACATTTCTGTACAATTAAATGACCGGTCCCTGTAACTTTCATCATGCTATGCTACCTATCCGAATATCATGGTCATCAGATGACCCTCTAAACGATTGAATTCGCCCCAGATGAGTGATCAGTATGATACTCAACTGCATCGATGAGAGCCACTATGATACCAAACATCAGAATAATGTTACTGCAGGCCCGCTAAACTCACCTTTGCCGTATCCTCAGACCAGAATGATATTTGTCGCCCTAACTTAAAGACCAGCTGCTGAAGCAGAGTAGACCGTCAGTAGTAGTACCCAGAAGGAATAATAAGAGCCCTATAGATCCCAGCGGTTTGCCTCAGCTTCGGATCTTTGAACTCCGAAGATAATATCAAATGGTTCAGAGTCAGGACTTCAACAGACCGGATGACTTATCACTTAAGCCTCAGGTAAGCAAGCAGACCATGCTCCAGCTTTTGAGGTGAAGACGCTGAACATTCGAAAACCCGGCCTCTAAGCAAGCCTATTGCACATGATCATGCAAGGCGAGATAGACCAGTGCACCCAGAAGAATGCAGGGTTTCTATAAAGGAGACTTGAACCTATAATAAACTTAATAACCGTTAATAGACTAGCGCACTTGGTCCTTCCAGTGGGGAAATTATTAAAGTCTCGGGGAGCTTCATGAGGAAGCCCATTGAAAGCTTCATGTTGTCCTCATTCAAGCCCAGTTGCCAAAACCAGATCGCAGGTAAAGGAGGAAAGAAAAAGGAGCAACTTCTGATATAATTTCTTCGCTAGCTTAACCCGCGAGTCTAAAGCAAACCATGATATCTAACCAGACCCTTGCCATTGTCGGATGCGGTGAGCACATTGCCCCTCTCCAACATCAAAGGATGCGGAAACTAATAAGATGGCAGGCAACATGGGCTCAGCTATTCTGAGCGGACTGCTCGATGCGACACGGTCGCAATCTGATCCGCCCATCTTAGGTTTCATTGCCATCACTGAGACTGCTGAGTCTGCAGACCGTCTACGATGCCGGTTTGAGCAAGAGAATTCGCGGCTACTGGTGCGCCACGGCCGTGGCTCCAGTGTTTGGGCCATGGAGCAAGCCGATATTGTCATCCTGGGTTGCAAACCACATATGGCAGAGCTTGTTCTTGGGGAAGAGGGTGTCCGTGACGCTCTCAGTGGAAAGTTCCTAATCAGTGTCCTAGGAGGCAAGACGCCCCAAGTACTCGAAAGCTATATACACAAGAATGATGACACAGGCCGAGGGCCCTATGTTGTCCGCGCCATGCCCAACGTTGCGGCACGAGTGCGCAAGTCAATGACTATTATCGAGCATAATCCCACTCTTCCCCACGACTTAGACGATATCCTAAGCTGGATATTCAGTCAAATCGGGGAGGTTAAAGTTCTGGAAACGGATCAGTTTGATATTGGCTCCATGCTGGTTGGGTCCTCAATGGCCATTCTGTCTGTAGCATTGGATGGAATCCTCGACGGCTGCGTGATGGAAGGGATACGGAGGTCCGAGGCATTGGAAATGGCAGCACAGAGCCTACTAGGCATGGCCGAGTTGCTGCGTCAGGGCGAGCAGCCGGCAGCCTACCGTGAGGGTGTTTCCTCACCCAAAGGGGCTACTATTGCAGGAATATTGACTGTCGAGAAAGCCGGCGTAAGGGGCACATTTGCCCAGTCAATGATAGACGGGACACGGAGGTTACAAGGATAATGAGACGGACTAGTATACAAAGTAGAAAGCGGACAAGACGACTAGAGCACAGTACAGCAGCTGTTACGATAGCTAAGCTACCTTGCCATCATACATCCGTAGACAATCTACACAAGTTTCGAAACCAATGGCAACTTCTTCCAGATTATTAGAAATACAATCAATGAATTCGAGACTCTATTATTTACCCAGTTTCCACGCACACTATAACACAATGCAGATTTATCTCTTCTAGTACATCAGCCCCCACCAGGTTAAGTATGAAAAATAGCATGCCTACGGCGAGCCATTTCGCATTTTTAGCAAACTTCCACCAAGCCATTAAACCGAGGGACAAACAGCTAGCGAACAATGCCTAGCCATGATGGCCAAGCCTAAGCATGTTCTTGATGCACACGGCTCCCGTGTTAAGGGGTTCAAGACTTGTAACCGTCAGGTTCGCGGACAGACCAACTTAGTCGGTCTCATAAAATTCTTTATAGATCCCAGCGTGGTTATGTTTCTCGGCTTTCTCTTGCGCTAGATAATTGCATAGTCAGATTTGAATGAAAATTTTACTTACACCTCTTTCTCTGTCCTTCCTGGGACCATGATATGATTTGGTGAAGTCACAGAGCAACGCGCTATTAACTGATTTAGCCAGTCCTCCTGAACCATCCATTGTTCAGTCCTCCGAAGCACGCCATTCCTTAACAATGAAGCCATTGAAGAGCTCCATCCTCTCACATTGCTTTTCCCGGGCATTAGTCTCTGGCAAAAAAAATTTACTACTCATATCCTCGATGAAACAGGAAGCCATCGAGGTCCCACATAGCCCGTTTGAGGGCATGCGGACTCGCGTCTTCATCACCGCACCACGTCGAAAGGTGTGATGCAAAATTGCCACGGCCATGTGTTTCAAAACAATCCCTACGAAAGTATGGCCGCGGAGAGGGGTCCAAAGAGCGGCCGAGTGCGCCCAAGCCGGGACACTTCTCCATTGAGAACGGGCTTGATCGAAGCCTTCCGAGTTCAATACTGTCTAATGCGGCAGTGCAGCAGCTCGTGCCTGACTGCCATGTTGCATAGTGATGCAACAGCCAGGTTTCAGTGCTCGATAGTATCTGTTGGCTAGTACGGGGCTAAATAATGAAAAAAGGCCAAAGAATATGAACAGAGTCAAACTTGAACACTGTAGGCATTCTTTCAATTGTAGGGCAAACATATTCATCATTCATTGCATTCATTACGGGGATATCACATGTAGGAATTTAAGGTCCAACGTCAACTCTCCCCTAGCTCAAAAGTGGGCGAGATACAAGAATGGCCATTCCAAAATGAAAACCACATAAGCTGCTGATCGTGTAAACAGCGATTCTTGCCTCATTGGACAAGGAGAGAATAATACCATCAGCCCCGGTGCAACTAATAGCACTACTTAATGACGTAGTGATGAGCGGCCCTTTGGTCTTTTCGAACATTAAGGATCTGGGAATAGAAAAAGCCCGAAACAGAGAAAGGCTAAGGCAGGCGATATCGTTCCTCGCGGATGCTTTGCGCTGCTCTATCATGTGCATGCGGTGTGTGACCAACCGCATGTTGGGGTCCTGTAAGCTGACCGAGCAACCAAGCAGGCATTGCATGCATTCAAGACGGCCACCATGCATACACGGTCAACAGCGACTATTAAATGCGTGCAGCCATGTAAAGTTGGCTGAGACGGCAGGGGGCAAGGCCAGCATCCATGCGCATGACGCCGTGGAATGAACCTACTTTCCCAGCAGTGAGGCTCCTCGATTACACGAAAATGACGAAATGTCTTTTCAGGGCCAGAAGTGCAGTGAGGGATAATTACTGTGTCGGTGCGACTCGTCAATGCAAGATGATTATTAGCTGCCGCGGACTGCGACTGCATTGTACAGGGGCATATTGCTAGTACAGTCACTGACCTCTTGATTTACCGGCCATCCGTGATACGAGAAAAAAGAACGATCACAAGCACCATCACACCGACATCACTATCACGCTGATGCCGATCATGCCAGGGGTGGTTGGGGTTTGGAGTGCTGCAGCATTCTGGGTCCTCCTCCTCCCCAATCGCATCTACAGAAAAAACCAAACCCGTGCGGGGAGGAGAGCTTGCGAGCGGGCATAAACAACGCAGACGCAAAGGGATCCGCGGAACCAACTTGTTGCGCAAGTGTCTGCCCGATGCGGTGGCATGTCCGCAGGCACAACGTTCGGTAGTCGTAAGCAGTGTGATGGGCTGTGAGTGCCGCGATGACATGAAGGTCAGCGACTAAGATTAAGGTTATTTAAAGAAGATGGCAAAATAATGCTTCCTCGTCTTCCGGCCTGCCAGCAAGAATAAGGTTGCTCGGAGTAATGCGAAGGAATGGAACCAGCTCGAATACCTCCTTCGCTTTCAAGCGTACAAACCAAGCAAGCAATGAGGAAGACAGCACTGCGGGCACCAGCATGAGGCAGCGGCGGCCAGCAGCAGCACAGCTCGTATCCAAAAATAAGGGCGGGCGGACAGAGTGGGAGTGACACACGGGAGGACCCCCCACAGATTCTTCAAGCCAGGTTGGAGGCTTGGGATGTGTGATTGGGCCAGCTCGAGCTGACGAGAAGGGCTGGACGGGCTGTTTCCCGCGTGGCTAGCCCCCCTTGTGAGCGTAGAAACTGTTGTTCTTGGAAGCCAAAGCTGCATCTGCCGAGCAGGATGCACCGGCCCAGCCCCTCGTCATGTAAGACTGATCGTCGTGAGGTTAAACAAACATGGACAGACCCCTGTCCATCGCAATTCGCCCATCAAAATGGCCCGCCAAGCAGAGCTAGAGCTGCTGGTCAATGGTCTGCGCCTCGCCATGCCGCAGCGATGGTGTTGATGAAGAGGAAGATGACGATGATGACGCTGATGGTCGTGTTTTATTTTAATCTCGCTCGTGACACTAAGACGAGCACGTCCCAGGTGTTGCCTCTCGAACGACAGCACAGGCAAACACCAAGACATGTCTTCGAGGCTTGCCAGGGCCTTTGATTGGGGGGACCGTGATGCGATGATCCAATTCGCCTCGGGTCTATGCATGGCCTCGCCCACAATAACCCCGGTGCTGCTGCCAGTAGCCCGGCACTGCCCTGCTGTCTTGATTGTACGTGCAGAAGCTGATGGTGATGGGCGCTGGGCGTGATATCCTTGCATGCTTCCGAGACCAGCCTCTTCCTCCTCCACACCCCATCACAGCGCGCGCTTGGCCCCCGCTCCCACACTTTGACCTCTCGTTGAAGCGAATTGCGATCGTCTATCCCTTTGCATGGCTATATTAATACCTGGTGTGGCCCTCGTCAGTCCCATCCGAGTCATCTCTACACCTAGCCGCCCATCTTGTCTACTACCTACTATAACAACATCATCCACCATCTAATCATAATCACCACCTCTCCATAATCAGTCACAATGGTCCGCCTCGCCCAGACCCTCCTCTCCCTGCTCAGCCTGTCCGCTCTCGCAGCAGCCGGCCCCATCCGCTACCCGCGCGCGGACAACTCGACCAAGATCCGGACCTCGGAGATGCACTACATCTACCCCAACGCCCCCAGCCTGAGCAAGCCGACCACCTCGGCCCTGTACGTCGAGGCCTACAGCAACAAGTCCCAGGTCGAGCAGGTGGCCGTCTTCCGCGGCATCCCCGCCGAGGCCAAGTCCTGCACAGTCGGCTGGTCCCAGGCCGACAAGAACGACCGCGTCTTCATCGTCAAGGGCGACTCGGGCCACACCACCATGCGCCCTCTGATCGGGTTCCCCTCCGGCGAGGTCAGCTACGAGTCCGTCGCGCCGTTCGACCGGGACAACGAGGACCAGCAGTTCGGGCCCGACTTCACCTTCTGGGACGACGCCTCGTACGCGGCCACCGAGCACGTCGGCGGCGGCGTCAAGTGTTCTAGCGAGGTGTACATCAAGGTCCTCCTGCGGGATCCCACGGTCCAGGCGTCTGTCTTCCTCGAGCAGGACAGCAAAAATGGGCTCTGGCTGTCGTACACCACCTAGATGGCTCTTCCTGTGCCAATTGGCATTGCGCGCGCGACACAACAGAAATAATCTTTCACGACATCATGAATTTATCATTCTATCAGCGTTTTTGGAATTCACTATTTGTACATAGAGGTAGCCTTCGGTATGGGGAGGCACTTGTCTCGTAATGTTTGTATGGATCGACCGGTCGGAGGAATTTACATGGTTGGATATACCGGGAGGATAACCGGTTAAGCATTGCTTTTAATGTAATGGCACGACGCCTCGAGATAGACAGAGTCGACAATTGGCTCGCAATAAAAGAAACGAATCATCTACGTCCTGCATCCCTGTCATATGAAAAGCTCCAAATCGACGCGACAGACTCGAGATTGGAACGAGTTGATCCCTCCAGCAGCCTCACGGACCCTCCTCGATGTATTACGGCTCGCGGGGTAGTGGAAAACGTGGTTCGAAGCTCGGAGACTCGACGTATTACGCCCCGATGGGCATCGTCACTGGACGAGAAGCTCTACCTTCCTGGTTGTTCGATCAAAGGGTTGACCATTTCGCCGGTCGCGCACGCGGACTGGAGGTTCGATCGTTCGGATACAGGATTCTCGAGGCACGGAAAGTGGTATCAATGGTCTGGCAGGTTCACGTACAAGGTTGGGAGTTGGTTTGGTTGTTGCTTGGATTGTAGGTAGAATGGTCAATCATGACGATGGAGATTGCTGGTGTGGCTAATGATCGGGTGCTTAGTCAGCGGCATACACAACTGGCAGGTGCTCTCAAACTCGTTTTTGCTTTCCGCCCATCCACTCGGAATGGCTTCATTAACATTGACTCGGCATGCCCTAATTGCAATGCCAATTGCTCCATCTGCTCTTCCTTGGCATCCGAACACCTCGTACGGTTCGTCTCAGGATGAATCCACCCAAGTGAGCTGAGTGGCCCTGGCGTACCGCGTGGTACAGGGTAGCCCAAAACACCGTCTGCCGGTCAGCTTCGTCAAGAGCTGACGCGCGGCTTGTCTTGCCCGTGCAGCCAACCAGCCAACCACAGACTGCAATGTGAGGCCTCTCGCCCTTCCTACTTGGCGCTCTCGCACAGCTGAGAGAAATTGCAGTGCCCAAGCCGCCCTGTGTGCGTCGCTATGGGGTTTGCCAAGCCACACCAGCCGTCTTCCTTCGCGCCGCCAAAGCCGTGCCGTGCTGCCATATTTCACCAGCGCCACATTGGCATTTATTAAGAAGCCACATCAGCTGTGTGTGTCCGCTCGCGGCCGGCACTTCTTCTCGCTCATTTGCGCCGTTTAATCCTCTTGAACCAGCACAAGCAGCTGGACATTGCGCTCTGCTCTCGATCCAGCCTCCACAGGCGCTAGAATACACCCGCCAATCGGTTTCTTTTTCGCATCGCGCCCCCAGTTTTCATCATGGCCCAATCCGAGGACAAGACGGCTAAGCAGGACGACGGCAAGCAGGAGGCCAAGGAGAAGGAGGGGAAATGGGACAAGGTTGGCTCGTTCCTGTACGTATCCTCATGCTATTCGATGCTATCTGATGCCATCCATGCCTGGTCATGCCACGCCGCGTGCCCTCGCTGCCACACTGCAGCCATTCATTCATTCGCCCATCAATCAATCAATCAATCCAGCACACCAACCACCTCCATCGTATCATGCCAGGGTCAATTGACGGGAGACAAGGGGCAGTGTCTCTCCACAAACCCCGCTACCATTGTCCCTAGACGCGCGCATGGACGCACCCTCTCTATGGCCCGGCCGAAATAATGATGCTATTCTCGTTCAGACTGACTGATTCCGTCTCTGCAGCCAGGAAAACCTCAACAAGGGTGAGCTGGCCCTTAAGCATGCGGTCGGCCTCGGCCAGACCCCCAATGTCGTCCCGTTGGCACCCCCCAGATTCGACTGTGAGCCCCGCCCCGTTGAGGTTGGTTGGCATCCCGTCGGCGGCGTTGCTGGTAAGTGGTTCGCCGAGGACACGGGGCTCGGTAAGATGATCACCGAAAGGATCAATGAGTATCCGGATCCAACCCAGCATTGGGCTGTACTCGTGGGTGAGTATGCCCACCAGCTTTGGATGGTAAGTTCACCATCTCCGTCATATCAGACGGGCCCAACCGATACTCTGTTTTTCATTGTGTCTTGACACTCTGGATGGGATAAAGGATGAAAACTTTCACGTCATCTACACCAACGCCAAGATTATTCGCGAGGAGTGGAAGACATTCAGTGTCGGCCAGACCGGCTTCAACGACGATGCCATTCGCCGTACAGGTAAGCACATTTGGTTCGACTGCCTTGCTTGTATGCACCGCGAGACTCACATGGATGTCAGGCGAGACTGTGATCCAGACCATTAGAGACGAACGCCCAGCCTACAATCTCATCACCAATAACTGCCAGACCTTTGCCCTCCGGCTGCTCGACGCAATCAAGGTTGAAGGCCAGAAGGAATTCGGTACCACCCTTGCTGTCTACGAGCGACTCCTCGGACCTGGCAAGATCAAGGATCTCTTCGACCCGGAGGCCGAGGCTCAGCTCCAGAGCCAAGTCCAGGATGCTACCGTCGTGTCTGGACAAGATGCACTGGCGATTCCCGGAGCAAACAGTGTCCAGGGACTGCCAACTCCCTCGTCGTCTCCCAAGCCTCCACCTGGTCCCCCGCCTGGGTTCCAGCCACCACCGTTTGAGAGACAGTCTTCGGCGCCTGTTCAGGGCGACAGCCATGCGTTACTGGCGCGAGGGCAGCCGCCGTATCCACCCCCGCGAGAGCACTCAGCACCACCACCAGGACAATATGGCAACGGCCAAACATACTGGCAACCTCCGCCAGCACAATATGGTGGCCCGCCTGTTGGACAGGATGGTTTCCCTCCGATGCCACCACCTGGACCACTTTCAGCTCCCCCTGGGCAGTACTCTACACCGTACTCGATACCAGGCCCGCCTCAATATCCACCACCACCAGGTCTGCCACATTATGCGCCGCCACCACCTCATGCATACACATTCCAAGCCCATCCAACAACCGAATACCAACCACCACCACCGCCAGGCGCTTACCAACCACCACCTGGTGCATACCAGCCGGCGCCGACCAGCGAATATCACCCACCTGCCAACTCATTCCAGGCGCCATATACTGCACCACCTCCCGTGCAAGCGCAACCCTCGCAAGCGGCCAACCTCGAGCCCCCGGGCCCCGGACTCGTCCGTCGAAGCACCGTCAGCTTTGCGCAGCAGGTCATGCAACAAAACACGACCCAGCTCGACACAAAGAAGGAGCTCAGCAAGCGCGAGAAGAAGAAGAAGCACAACAAGATAGACGAGGAGGATGAGGGGGAGTCTGGTGGCGAGTCAAAGAAGAAGGGAGGATTCTTCTCTCAGCTCTTCAAGTGAACAACACTCTTGTCCGCTCTGCCTGGGATGTGGCTATCTTGCGGTACGTGTGAGCAGGGTGGTTTGTATTTAATAGTAACGATTGACGATACCAATGAGTGGAAAGAGAGAGCATGGTGATCCTGTAGTGGTGAGGATAAGAAGCAAAGGTGTGGTGACATCGCTGGCTTCTGGAGTCGGACGCATGTTTGAACTAGATTAAGAGGTTAAAATACTTGATAAATGGCACAAAACTTTTCTAAATGACGATTTTAAGGCACAAGTTTCGGACCATATCGCGTAAGCTAAGGTTCTATTTAAAGAAGTGCAATCACCTCTCCTTGCGACTACTGATCATCGCGGCCTGTCTCACGAAACGATAATGGCCTTCTCAAACACAATCATCCCCAGCAGCCAGGGCCCGGTCGCAGCAGTTGACCGGGTCCTCGCGCGTATGATGATTGTGTTTGAGAAGGCCACTATCGTTTCGTGAGATAGGTCGCGATGATCAGTAGTCGCAAGGAGAGGTGGTTGCACTTCTTTAAACAGTACCTTAGCTAGAGGCAGTTGGTGATTGGCGATTGGCGATGATGGGCTTTGGAGAGGTGTTGTGGATGATTGTGGATGATGAGCGTCCTCCCTTGGGGCCCATGGCCAAGTTATATGCTTGGTAAGCCCTTCTTAGAGTTTTTTTTTTCTTTTCTTTTTTCTTTTTTTTGGTTATATACGAGACGGCTGGGTGAAGCCATTTTGGTGTTGAACCTTAGATACGGCCGGGCACAAGGCTCGTAGCCGGGCGCAAGGCTGAAGGTTATTGTGTTATGATGCCTGGGTATGGTGTCAAGTTATCAAATTGCTGGTGTTTGGGAATTTCCCCCTCCTTTTTTTTCAGCAACTGTACAGCTCCCTCGCTTACTACTTACTACCTTAGAGTTTTTGGAGATACTGTTACCTACACCTAAGCCTTTTTATCAAAAAGTTAAAAAAAAAAAATAGAGGTAAATATTAGATATAAACCGGAACTAAATAAAAAATAAATTTTATAGATTTAGTTATATGTGGCCTGATCTTGGGAGATCCCCCTTATATACAGCAAAAAGCTTAGAAAAAAACAGAAGTCCAATAATTGATCCTCTGTGTTATCATGGTCCTCAAGCTCTGCAAACTTGCAAATGATAATACCTAGGTTTCAATAATTCTCTAACTGTGGTTTATATGGATAAGTTGGCTGGGTTACCTTCCTGACTGCCTGGTTATTCCAGGCTGATGTTCCCTCCTCCATGGAGATTGACGAGCGTTTAAAAGGAGCCTCTGTATTTCAAGAATATGTCTATCGAACACCCTCGTCAGTACTAGGAAAAGGGAGAAACTTGACGTGACAGATGTGCTCTCACGTCTTCGGACCGGGCTGCTTTGAAGGTTATTGGACGGAGTTGGGGAAAGCCTCATCCACATGTGGTTTCTAGGGCACTGTAACGAGTTTTACGAGGTCGACTAAGATGTAACGGGAAACCACAAATACATGGGTGGAAGCTTAATCACGGTACCTGCACTCGTATGAGAGGTAGTTTCGATTGTAAAGGTTTGATTCTCTCTATCAACTGGACGTTTCTAGCCCTTCTACAATTGAGTTTGGATGACACCTGGTGAGGGCATGACACTCTACGTCTTCAATAATATCCTTTGTAATCAGACTTGGAGTTTCCATAAGCTACTACTGACTTCACCTCGCCAAACCTAGTGACAATCTCTGGGCGTTGGATACGTCTGCGCTACTCGCTGGAACTGCACCGCTTTCTTCATCACCATCCCCTCACTGAGCCCACCAACCTCCCGCCTGAAAATGTCCTGCCATGGCGTGTGGCTCGGCGGGATGGGATAACCGCCCTTGGCCTCCAGCTCCTTTCGGCGTGCGTCCAGCTCCTCCGCCGGAACCAATATATCCACCCGACGTTTCGTTAGGTCGACTCGCAGCCGGTCGCCGTCGCGTATCAGAGCGAGGTTTCCGCCATCTGCAGCCTCCGGCGTCGCATTGAGGATCGACGGCGTGCCCGACGTCCCTGACTGTCGCCCGTCTCCGATACAAGGCAGCTCTCGCACGCCCTGCTTGAGTAGCCGTCCCGGTGCGTGCATGTTGACCACCTCGGCCGCGCCTGGGTATCCGAGGGGCCCGGTGCCGCGCATGACGAGGATGGTCCGGCTGTCGATGGGTGCTATTTCTAATCGCGCCTGGTAATCTTCCGGTCCGTCGAATACAGCGAGGGGACCCTCAAAGGCATTAGGATCGTCTGGGTTCTCGAGGAATATTCTTCTGAACTCCTGCGAGATGACCGACGTCTTCATGATGGCTGAATCGAAGAGTGTGCCAGTCATATGCAGGAATCCCGCATCCTGGATCATGGGATCGGAGAAGGGCTTGATTGTCTGTCTGTCCCAAGTGTGCTTCCCCTTGACTGCCTCGCCCATCGTGCCGCCCGTGCAGATGAGCGCATCTGGATGCGGCAGCTTACCCGCCTCCAGCAACTCGGCCATGACGGCGGGCAGTCCTCCAGCACGGTAGTAATCCTCGCTCAGCATCTCGCCCGCCGGCTGCATGTTGACAAGGAGCGGGATCGAGAACCCGATGCGATCCCAGTCGTCGAGATGCAGCGGCACGCCGATGTGCTTCGCAATGGCATTTAGGTGGATGGGGGCGTTGGAGCTCCCGCCAATCGCCGTGTTGGCAACAATTGCGTTCTCGAAGGCCTCGCGGGTGAGGATATCCGAGGGCTTGCGGTCGTTTTTGACCATCTCCACGATCCGCACGCCCGTCTCGTACGCCATCTGGCCTCTCTGGCGGTACGCGGCTGGGATGGCAGCGGATCCGGGGAGGGCCATGCCCAGAGCCTCGGCCAGCGCGTTCATCGTCGAGGCGGTGCCCATGGTGTTGCAGTGGCCGACGGAGGGGCTGCCGCTGGTGACCATGTCCACCATCTCTTCGTCGTTGATCCTGCCTGCCGAGTGCAGCTCACGAGCCTCCCAGGTGATGGTGCCGGTCCCGATGCGCTTCCCGTTGAGCCAGCCGTTGAGCATCGGGCCTACGTTCAGACAGATGGCCGGGATGTTGATAGTTGATGCCGCCATCAGCGCTGCCGGAGTCGTCTTGTCGCATCCCGTCAGGAGCACGACGCCGTCAAACGGGTACGCGTAGAGCAGTTCGACGAGAGTCAGGTACGACAGGTTCCGGTCGATGGTCGCCGTGGGCATCCTCGTCGTCTCCTGGATGGGATGCGTCGGGAACTCGAACGCAATGGCACCGGCAGCTCGAATACCCTCCCGGACCCGCTTCGCCAGCTCCAGATGATGCCTGTTGCATGGCGCAATATCTGAGCCGGACTGTGCAATGCCGATGATGGGTTTTCCAGAGGTGAGCTCTTCCTTGGTCAGCCCGTAGTTGAGGTAGCGGTCGATGTAGATGTTGTGCATGCCGCGCTCGTCCGTACGCTGGAACCAGTGTGCAGAGCGATACTTCTTCTTGGGAGGAGAAGAAGCGGTGCCGGTGGGAGACAGCTTCTTGAGCTTCTCCTCTACTTCCCTGGTCCTCGCGCGCAACGAGTCCAGCTCCTTCTGGTAGTCCTCGATGTCGACGAGGCTCCCATCCTCGCAATTGCCGCAGCTGCGCGTACAGTCTGTCTCGCAGGGCATGATGTGAAGCTCGGGTTGAGGTTGAGTTGCTTACGAGATAGCAGCTGTTGCTGTTGCTGTTAGTGGGTAGGCATGTGGCACTATTCCCCTCCTTATTGCTAATGTGAGAGAGGTGGTAGGTTCGGACTGGAACCACAGATAAGGGAGCCCATAATAAATGATATTGACTCCAGCAGGGATGGCGAGGGAAATGTTTCCGAGGAGGAGGGCCCCCAAGAGATACGGGAGCAGAACAGGGCACCGGCTCTCTCGCGTCGCGTCGGCACCGGTTTTCCCCTTTAGGTTACAGCTCTAAGTCTACTGCACATGCTATGGATGCAGTTATGCAGCTCGCAGTTGGCCTCTTTGATGGGGACGATAAAGAGTCCCGGACACTCACAGGCCGGGAGCCTCCCCAGAGACTGTCCGTCCCTTCCAGCTCGTAGAATCTCTGGGGAACCGATCACAGTTGCCATACTCGGTTGGTGAGTGTCGTCGATCAGCCAGCCCAGTGCCGACTCCGGAAGCGGCGTAACCTCCGAGTCTCTGAGACGAGGTGCCATCCAGCGGGGCTCAGGCGCATGGCAAGGAGCCAGCGCGTTCGGGACTCCAATTCCAGGTCGGTTGATGGCCGAGACTTATCCTGCAGGGGTTGCTTAATCATTCAGCAGCTTGTCGTTGGCTGCATGTCGGGATGGATTTGCCCCTCTTCCCTCGCTGTGCTCACTTCAGTCTCTCAATCATGCAGCCCCCAGTACATTAACTAGGCACTGCCGACGAATAGAACAAGGGGATGCAGGCCACATGACAGCGGAAATCCTGGACAACAGGGTGCTTGTCTAAGATAGACGGGAGGACTGTTTAGCTCACCCGGCCTCGCCCATTTGATATCCCCAAGAGTGATATCCCAGCACGATACACAAAACATCACTCATGGCGTGACCCAGAGACCGGGACAGGAGCCCAACGAAAAATGCATGATGCGATATGGTATGATGGGATGCAAGGTCTGGCTAAATTGCTACGTGAAATTCCGTCATCTATCTCACCCCTCCCTCCATCCATCACTCCCTCCCTCCCAACAGCCAGAAGGATGGATGCCTCGTCCCAGTCACCTAAGCCATTATCACAAGCTTTTTCGTCGGATTCAGACCCAGCCAATCCTCCTCGCGAATCACCTTTCGCGGCGACGTTACGTTGACCTTGCAGCACATGTCGCCGTCCATCTCGACTAGCATCAACCTCAACCCTCCCGCATCCCTCCCATTCGCCTCGCACGCCGCGATGATAACGAACGGGTGGAGGGCGCCATGCAGCTCAACAAAATCCTCGGGCAGAGATATGCTGGTCATCTGACGCCTGCTCTGAGGGTGTAGGACGCGGAACTCGCGGATGGGCGTGGACGATAGCCCGCGCGGTGCTTGGAGGGAGAGGAAGGCGAGGCTGCTGTAGAAGGCGATGAGACCTGGGCGGATCCCTCGAGGGGTCGCGGCCATCTGCCCGTGTCTGGACTGCATCTTGTTCAATTCGATATTGAAGTGGGATCGTAAGTCGGGGTGTAGCCACCTCTTGGGATCAGTCTCCTCGCTTGTCGGCGAGGACATTGGTTCTATGCCATCGCGGCGAAACTTAAAGAATTGTATCAGGCCCTCGGGGCTTCCCAAGGACGGTATGGGCTCTATCCCGGCGTCCGCTTGCTCTCTGGTGTAAATCCATCCCGTCCACGACCAGGAGGGAAAGCCTGGTCGTCGCGCACAGAACATGTCCCAGAACCAGCATCCCCCGATGACCTGCGCAAAGTGATGTTCTGGGATGCCGTGATAGATTGGCCCAACAAGATCCTCCACCATGCCTGATATGCCTGCAAACGCATTCTCCATGTCTTCGGCACGAGTCAGTCTTCTCTGCGTATACTGTTTGACAATGCTTCTGAACATTCTCACTTTCTCCTGCGCAGAAGCATTGGCATTTCCCATGGTTTGGGGGAGAGAGTTGAGCCCGCATGATAGCCTAGGGATATCGAAGTCCTCAAGATGTATGTCTTCTCTCCAGACAGCAGTAGGGCAGGAGAAGATTACCAAGCCTGGGAGGAAGATGACTGAGCGCAGAGAGCACATTTCTTCCTGGAATGTCCAGCCTCTGGTTCTCCATGTCGACGCCTCGAGTATGTACTTGGGCTGCTTCGGCAGCTTGGCCACAGATGTGCCTAGGATATCAACCGTATGCACATCCTCCCTAAAGTCAAATTGACTCACGCCGGAGAGGCCTTGAGAGCAGTCGGTGCTATCCGCCGCAACTAGAGTAGCTTCCGCCTGGTGATAGATTAGATACATTTGATTTATCTGCTCGTCTCGTAGCTTAGCGTCGTCCTGGACGATACACAACGCATCGACCCAGAGATACCTGATACCGGCTTCTCTTGTCAAAAAAATGGCGTCTCTGATTTTCTCTGGTATCTCAACTTCGAGCAGTATGCCTTCTGTCTGCCAGGCCTTGAGGTTATTGGCTACTAGAATCGGCTGCGCAACACTTCCCCAAACGTAGCTCAGGGCAAAATATAGCGGCGGAGGGCCATCTGGTATTGGAGTGATACAGTATCTTTCAGTATCAACCAATAAAAGACTTGTCGTCTGCTTTGAGGACGATTGTTTCTGGCAAGCCTCGCCATGATTGTATCGGCACTTTGTGATCCAGTTTTTCATCAACTCGACATTGAACATGGAGGCGGTCTGGCGAGCGAAGCCGAATTTATGGTCATGCACCGGGATGAAGAGATTCACATCTTTCTCAGGCAGGCGATAGGCTGGTCTGAGCACCTTTGGAGTTCTCCTCTCAAGCTCACCCGATCGTGAGAAGTGCGGTACGTTGCTAGGTGATTTCGGGTCCATCTCGTACTCCTGGAAGATCAGACCCTTCCAGGGTCCCTGGTTGCTTAGCTGGACTCGAACTTGCTGAATAGTATTTAGAGACAGCCGCGTACCGGCGTTCGGTATATCGTGATTTTTCACCAGTTCTCGTTTCCCTTGGAGCCCAAGTTTCTCGAAACGACCCAGAAAGCCTTTAGGGTCTGTCGAATCTGAGATTGAAACACAGACCGGGCATGACTCGGACTCTGGGTGGCTGCCGAGGGAAGTGTCCATGTGGCTAATGATTTGATTACAATAGGGCAGCTTCTTCTTGAGACTTCCGGATGCCGCTCTTGGATGGCCATCCATCGTACTTTCTAAATCATACAAGAACTCATAGCAAAGCAAAAGTGCGTTGTGAGGGCTGACATCTGGCAGCTCTTTGTTACTGCAGACCAGACACCGGTCTTTGTCATGATGACGTTCTTCTTCCGACTCATTGTCAACATCTTCGTGGGTGCTAAGGGCGTCATTTTGCAGCTTTTCGTCGAATGTTGCCTGTTGAATGATGTCTTTGAGTCTCTGATAGCCTCTGACGAACGATCTGGAAAATAGTCAGCCTGGTCCCTTGAGTTCCTCTACGGCTTGCTCGCTGACTTTATGTTACGAATCTGCTCCCCGTAGGCGTCAAATTGATCCACCCCACCCTTCATGAATGAGCAAAATTCGCAGCCGGAGGGGTCCATTGAGTAGTCCCAGGTATATAATACAGCGTTGTCATCTTTTTGACACGTATTGACCCAGTCTTTGAGGTAATCGGCGAGCGCAGTTGGCGAGCAAGTCGAGCAGAGCTTTTCATCGTCGGGTGCACTGGAAGCGCCTCCCTGAGCTAGCCAGTCAAGCATGATGGCAGTGACAGTGACCTAATTGTCTGTGAATTACCCAATGAAGTGACAGGGCATTGAACAGATCTCTGTTAGACGGCTGTGGTTTTGGGGCTCAGAGTGCCCGAGCTTTGTGCATTTCATACAGGGAGAACTGCTTTTCCTCTCAGGGGCGGGGAAGTTGAGCCACTGCATTAAGGGTGTTGGTCGTAGTCAGCCCATCACAGCGGATACTTGGAGCCCTTCCAATCAGAGCTGGACGGACTGTCCTCATTCATCAGTTAAGGCTGAATGACCACGATACACCGCTTGCCTAGTTATTATGGTGCTAGCAGCACTTCTGTGAGCTCATGATGAAGATATTGAGATGAACGATATTGAGATGAACGATATTGAGATAAATGTATGTTTGGTTCGATTTCGCCGTTTCACCTCAAGTTAATTCTTACATCATGTCTTTTTACTCCCCATATCCAACCCTTCGGTCCTACATCGCTTGTGCCCTAATATTCTCACCATCGGCAGCCCATCCTTCGCCCCTTTCCTTCGCCTCGTTTCTCACAATGTCCAAAACATTATTCAACGCTTGCTGCCCCTCAGGAGAATACCCAAACTTCTTCTCATAGAGGCTGCCTTTTTCTGTGTCGAAAAAGTCCCGCACCATTTGGGCGATGAAATTCGGCTCCCTCTCCCCCATTACCTTCCGCTCCCCCATTGCCTCCCGCTCCTCCTCTAGCAAACGCACCTCCTCCAGCAAAGCGTCAAGATCTCTCTTCTTGGCGTCCTCTGTGCCCAAGAACGCAGTGATCAAGTCACCTAATACTTCGATGCCTCTCCAGGTGAACGCGCTTGTCAACATCCCAACCGACATAACGATCGAACGTGGGATTTCCAGGCTCCAGTGTCGGAATACATTATGTAGCAACCAGCTATCTAGCTTTTTGACTCTTCCAAATGTCCTCGGATACTGTCTGCTCTTTTGTTGAATGATCTCGTCGAGTCGCACGTTCGCCTGAAACTCAGCCGACCAAGGAACGTGTGCTTGCCAGATGTACGGGTCGCTCGTTATGCTCTTCATCTGATTGAAAGGGGTAGGGAAAACACCAGGTGCCAAGGTCATTTCGTCGTCGTAGATGATAGGAAACTCAATTACGCGCGCTGTGACGGGGGTATAGCCTGCAACGGCCTCTCTCTTCTTTTGATTATCCGGCCAGAGGTCCACCTTCTCCGTCGTGAAGTGAATGAGGGCAGGGCCTCTTGTCTTCCAGATGTCGCAGAGGAACGAGCCGGGAGACGTGAGGTAGTGGAAGCTCGCGTTGCAGGGCGCCGGGTTGGCGTAGTGGTATTGCAGGAGCTGGTTGAACGCGCTGTCCCAGGGGTCCCAAAACAGCTCATCGAAGTGTAGGCTCTGGCCTGATGCGTAGATCCAGTGGTGCCAGCATGCGCCCTCGTCCTCTCCGTCTGTTCTCCGGTAGAGCGAGTTCGGCAAGGCGAACTGGTTCAATGGCGTGTCGTTGCCACCCAAGACGGGGGAAACGTCGAAGCGTTCCAGGCCGAGCTTCGTCCACCAGTTGGTAGGATCACGGAGCTGGGGGATCCAGAATGGCGCGACTCCAAGGTCGTGAATTCCCGGCGCCCCTGGCACGGAGAACCAGTCCAGCTGCTGTGCGGACTCGAAGTTCTCTTGGACATGTCTCAGAGAGGCAAAGTAGAGCCGGGTCTCGTAGTCGGCCAGAAGCAGGCCTACAATGCCGCCAAGCACAAGGTAGAAAAGAGTCAGTGGCAGTGTGACGATGAAGCCACGCCAAATGAAGATTCTGGTCCATCGGTTCAACACCCGGACGAGTGGAAAAGGACTCCACATGATGGGCGAAGGACTCGCTTGCTGCAATACTTCTAGGTTTCTGATTGTCGTGAAGAAAGAGGGAGAATTCTCACGGTTTTAAGGCCGGCAAACCTGCTGGGATTATCACCCTACAGGCCCCTGATATCAGCAAGCTGACGTCCAATTTCATTGCCAAGGTTGCACCGAGATTCGAATACCTGAGTCCCCACTGCTCCTATGGTGTGTGTGTGTGTTGGTCTTTAACGCCAGTACATCCCTGAATGGGGCAATATAGCACGATAGGATCACATCAAGGTAGCTGCCTAAATCCACGGAAGTTTGGTGAGCTTATAACCGGTAAGCAGTTCACCATCTGAGTAGTATGTAGCCTTATTTAGAGTGAAAAATAAAGTATAATGGACCATGCATAATGCTGGTCTTAATAAATCTGAAGGATAAATTGGTTTAATTTTCCCTGGGTATTGAAGGTATGACCTGTACGCCGCCAACTCGGTCGTAGTATGATGCATCTGCTGACTCTGAGTTTTAATTATCGAGTAAAGATGATTTCCTGTAGAAGATTCAACCGGGTAACTGAATATGCTGGTTTCAGCTCAAATTGATCTCACTCGTTAGAGGGATCCATTTGATTAGTGCCTTTCAACTCGTCGGGTTTGAGCATGCTACAGGATCCCTCTGGCAAGTGGACGACAGTGTGTGAGAGAGAATATCAATTCTGGTATACACATGGTTACTCGAGCATAACATAAGCCCGGATTCCGGTAGCGAAGCCCTTCATCATGCAACAAGGACCTCCCGAGACTAGTGGATTTCTGAAAATCATGGGTTGTTGCGAGGGAACATTTGGTCTCAGACGAAGCAAAAGAACGAGAACGACCTTAACGGAACTTCAAGGGATATTGATCGTGTTGATGATGCCCCTCTGTATTGGGTTCCTTACGTTCATTTTGGCGTTTAGAAAAATGCCAATACAGTAGTCATTAACGACTAGGCCTTTCTGATCTGGTATTCAGTGGCTACCCATGGTAGATTGGAGCAGTGTGAACAATTTCGTACTGTGTGCAGATAGAAAACAGAATTTATATATGTACGGCGAAACTCATTCGATTTACCTAAGCTCAGCTATATACAATTTCATCAAGAGACTATAGGTAAGTGAAAACACAATAATGAAACAGCCTTTTGAAAAGGAAACTGGCATTCCAAATCTCCGAGACTCACATAACTCAGCCAGATATCAATGTTTAAAATATGTGGCCTAGAAGTTAAGTCCTGATCGTATTTGATCAGGCTCCGATGAATGGTTTGAGATCATTGAGAAGTTGTTGGTAAGCGGTGCCCGAAGGTGGCTCCAAGTTGAACATGTAGTCTCCCCACCAGGGACCAGCAGCCCACCAGAGCCAGCCCTTCCAGACATCAGAGTTGTCGAGAAGGTATTGCAGTTCACCTACCACAGCTTCCCTGCACACATCATTGACGGCTCCCGCGGTCTCACCCAGAATACCGATCTTGTTGTTGTCCTTCAGCCACTGCGTCGCTTCCTTGACACGCTCAACTCCGATTGTGGCGGAGACACACTCCGTGTGGGTGCCGGAGGAGTCCGAGTCGAGATACTGGTGCATTTCATACACTAGAAGGTTCTGAGGATCCGTCAAATCCTTGAGGCTGTCGCCGTTGCCGCTTGAGATCCAAGACCAGGCACCACTCCAAGCATTGCCCTCGATAAAAATGTACTGAGAGGTAGCTCCAGCTCCCCGGATGGCGTCGATGGCGGCTTGGTTGAGGTCCCTCACAAGCGAGTTGTCCATGTCATGGTACTCGTTGTTGGTGTCAAAAACCACCTTGCTGTTGCTGGAGAAGCGGCTTGCCAGAGTCTTCCAAAATGCGCCGAAACCATCGACGTCTGTGATGATGTTGCCATAGTAGCGGCCATAGTTGTGTAGATCAATCACAGCATACCAGCCCCTATCATCAAACCAATTAGAATGCGGATTTTCACCATCAAATAAACAATCCTCTGTACTTACTTGCCAGTGACATGATCAACAACAGTCTGGAGACCTTCGAAATAGGTCTCGTTAATAGAGCCGGTGAGAGTGTCTGGAACGAGTCTTTCCATCCGTGTTGCAATTCGGAAGGTGTTCATGCCGGTGGCCCCAAGTGTCTAGGAGAATAGGTGTCAGCCCGGAGCGCTTTCTTCTTCCCAGAGAAACTTACATCAATCGCACCAGTTTCCGGCCAGATGTAATGTTCTCCCAATCTGCCCGGGAAAACAGTTTCACCAAACTCGGCGCCAGCTTCATTGGTACCGGTGAAGGTGAATTTTGCCCCAGAAACGCTGGAAACACCGGCCGCCGCAAGGGCGAGGATGTGGTTTTGGAATCGCATCGCTGATAGTCCCTTTGGCTTATTTCGACTTGATCTGGATTTTATTTCTCTTCTCCATAGTCCGAGTGGAAGGGATGTGCCTAGTTTTATACGTTAGTATCTCTAGTGAAACTTGGGGACTTCTGAATACGGAGGATGAGGCTCCGGGTCTACGACTGCTGCAGTGTCGATCAAACCTCTAACATCGGCACGCTCGGTCCGCCAGTCCCATGGCTCGACGATTATGAAACAGGGGCGCTGACCTAGACGGAATATTAAATGTCCATTTCACTACAGTATCCATTACGTGGCCTAGCGCCAGTCAAGTGACGAATAGTTGCTGTGTGCATTGAACACAGATCCTTGCTGAAATTGGAAGGGGAGATCATGAGATTCTGGCTCCGAACGGTGTCTCAGCAATATTGCCGCATGCTACCATAAATGGGCTAATTCTTTACAGTACGTCATCTTGCTGTTATGTTCTGAGAAATCAAGTCATACGTGGAATAGTATCCGCCAAGACGGCCCGGGTCGTTCCTGAGAGACAGAAGCCTCCTATAACAAATTCGAAGATTCATATAGATCGGGAAACAAATTCCCGATCTGTTTTGGTAATGATTCTCACACCTCGACCTCTTCGAGCTTGGTCCGAAGTGTCGCTTTGCGTACTTCTGAAGTTGTTGCGTGATAAGTCCTCTATTCAGGGCCAATCATCCAATTTAAAAAACAGCAATGAAGAACGGGAACTCTCCGAGGGTGGTTGTGCACATGTGAGTACGAATTGGAGATTAAAGAAAGAAAAGAATACTTGGATTCTATCAATCTAGAATTCACTCATTGATTTTACAGCTTGATTGCTATTTCCCCCGTTATTGGCTACTCTTGGAAAGACCAGGAGTCGTATCTTGTTACTAAAGTTATTGCTTTATTCCTCGTCTCTTATCATCCCACCGATCACTACATAGTAGCTGACGATTTAATGCTGAGGGATTGGCGAAAGTGAAAGGTTATGCGCCTCGTTAATCTCTTTTGGGCCTATCTACGGCAAGGATAACGTTACCTGTGAATAGTTTCTGGCTGTACAACACTCAAGAGTTCATAGAAGGGTGAGGTGGAATATAGCACGTGCTCAACTGGTAAACGCATTATAACTATCACACATTACCAACAGTTCCTTCCGCATAATGCTTGGAAACTTCGAGAATATGGGAGTTCAATTGATAGAACTGTTCACCACATTTCCTGTTGGTCGGATGATAACAAGCCAATAATCGCATGCTGGTTGCTTTGATTACTGATTGATTTGTAGTTGTTTCCGTAGTGTCACCATTAATTGATGATCATAAAAGTGTACAATTGGCCTTCCAAAGCTCTACGCGGGTGCGAGGTTACGCATACGAACTTGACATTCAACACGGAGACAGGAGCGTGGAAGGTAATTGGATTTGAGAAGATGTACCTGTACTGGTACGCGGACTTGGAGGAGACGGGTCATCTGTTCATTAATTCACCTCTCCTCGCCGGCACCCGCTATGAATCCAACTCAATCAAATCAAACATGTAGACAAATATAATGTGATCGCCCTAGAACTTCTCAACATAAGGCCTAATATCAATCTCCTGAGTAAAGGCAGAGCGATGCTGGGCATGGAGCTGCCAATACGTCTCGGCAATCTGATTGGAAATGTTAGAAGAGCTGTCTGATTGAGACGGAGGAATTGGACACTTACGGCATCAGGTTGGATCTTCCCATCTTCAGCCCCGTTGTTGACATTATACTCACGCGTCCGCGGGATATCGATGACACCGTCGATGATAGCGTGAGCCACATGGACGCCGCGAGGCCCGAATTCACGCGCCAGAGACTGCCCGAGAGCGCGGAGGGCGAACTTGCCCGCGGCAAAGGATCCAAAGTATGCCGATCCCCTGACCGAGGCGGTCGCGCCCGTGATGATCAGTGAGGGAGGGTTGGGCGAGTCAGGCACCGAGTCCAGGAGGAGCGGCAGAGTCTGCTGTGCGAAATGGAAGAATGACTTGCTGTTGATTGAAACGTTAGTCGCGGCATACAGCAGAGCTGCGATGCGGGATATCAGTTTCACACGTACACAGTGCCATCGACAGCGCTATCCAGCTCATTAGCTGCGAGCTCCAAGAAGGGCTTCCGCGAGAAGCCTCCGTTGACATTAAAGATGGCTGCTGCCAGCCTGCTCCCAGGGAGCTGCTCTTTGACGGTCTCGAATGCCTTCTTCAGCGACGCAGGATCATTGACATCTGCTGTCAACCCAATGGCTTGGCCACCACTCTTCTTGATCTCCGCCACGACGTCCTGGTAGCTCTCTGGTTTGCGGGAAAGCAGCACGACGGGATACGCCTTTGCGAATCTGACGGCAACGGAACGTCCTGTTCCAGCTCCGACACCAGCGACGACTGCGAAGAACGACTTTGACGCCATGTTGAAGGTATGAATAGCAAGTATGTTATTGGAGCACAACAGGTTTAATATCACAATAAAATGGCTAACTGGACGGGGAGAGATAGATTGGTTGTACGCTGTTCACGGGATGCTCGCAGGATATACTCTATAGATATTAAATACGTCTGTCACTATGATCTAATTCGCTTCGCGTATGACGCCGCCCACGTCCATCCGG